TATGTGCCCTTTAATACTTGATAAAAAAAAAAAACTTTCCTGGTGTCACTTTAAAAATGTCCTTAAGAGAGTTCATTACATAAAAAGGTTTTCTGGAATCATTAAATAGCAGGACAGTCCAGTAAAATATGTTTTACAGTTAGAGGAGTTGTGCAGTACAAACATTGAATGGGGTCTTCATCTTTAAGCAAAAAGGCATGGGTTAATCTTGTTTGTCCAATACAACATCTGGTAAAAATCACTTGATTAAATCCAGTCTTAAAATTCTATTATATTTTATTCTATTAAATTCTATTAAATTTATTATATTCCAATGCATCCCAGTCCTCTTACTTGTTAAAATGCAAATACTGATAAAATATCTCAATACAAATACAACAATACAAATGATGCCATCATTAACTCTCCCTTGACTTGTTCTAAACTAGTTTGAGATTTATTTGTTCAGTTGAACACAAAAGAAGATATTTCGAGAAATGTTTTAAACCTGTAATCATTGGCATCCATAGTAGGTAAAACAAATACTCTGGAAGTCAATGGTTACAAGTGTCCAGCATTCTTCAAAATATCTTCTTTTGTGTGCAACAAAGAAGTCAAGGGTGAGTAAGTGATGGCAGAACTCTCATTTTGGGTGAACTACCCCTTTCATGACTCTGAGGAAAACAGTTCAGAATCGAACCTGTACCTGTACCAGTACCTGGATGGGAGACCACATGAGAACAATAGTATCTGGATGCAACTTTTATGATGCAAGCTGAGATTGCATCACTCTGAGATGCAATGTCAGACACAATGCACTCAAATGGAGTGAGTGACATGACTGTGAGAGGGAAGGTTAGGGGTGCGGCTAGGATGAACCCATTAAAACGCATTGGCTGCAGCTCAGATTGCACTGCACCAGGTCTGCATCCAGACCCCTCTCCATGGGAAAGCTAGGCTGCTCCTGGAAGTGGTGTGAGGCCAGCAGGGGCACTTAACCTGGGGTATGTGTGGGTCCTAATGGCCCAGTATTGTAAAGGGGGCTCTAAACTGCTCAGTGAGTGCCGTCTTTCTGATGAGACATTAAACCAAGGGTCCTGACTCTCTGTGGTCATTAGAAATCCCAGGATGTAGAGGTTTAACCCCAGCATCCTGGCATTCAAATTTGCCCACTGGCATCTGCCCATCATGGCCTTCTAACCATCCCCAGATCACAATTATCTTCATCACTCCACCAATCAGCTGGGGTTTGATAAGCGCTATAAAAATGTTAAGAATTACTTCTTATTATTATTAAAAGTCTGAAATGAGATTTATATGTTTGCCAGAAAAAAAATAGTATTATATCTTTTTTTTATTCTTTGGCAGAAACAAGCTTCCATACTTTAGGGACCTACAACACTATAAAGTAAAACAAAACCAAATACAGTAGTAACTTACTTCTCTGTTTTTTTTAGGGTATGGGTGGTCAGCATGGTTATTTCGGCTTGTGGCTGGACTATGATTTTGGACATGGTCACAGTAGAGCTCGACCGCGCTGCACCACGTACGGCAGTCCTCAGCTCTCAGCAGATGAGGACTTCAAACTGGACACCCTGGAAGTGTGGGGCGTCGGGAAACTACCTGAAGAACAAGAAGAGGTCTGTAATAACATGCTGAATTCGGTATTTCCATTTTGATTCTAAAAAGGACCAAAGTAATCATGATAAATGTTTTGTGTTCAGGATGAGAAGAAGAAAAGTATTCTAGATGCTGATCTGGAAGTACAAGCCATGATGGAAATGACAGGGAAAACCCTGCATAGTCAAGGCCTCAGGGAACCCGAGGAGGATGAGGATTAGTGAAGGAGAGGAAAATAATGAAGCTCTAACCAGCAGTGTTTGTTTTCTGTGTTTGGTTTGGGTTATTTACTTACACTAATAGAGATATTGTAAAAAAAACACTGTCAGGAACCACTTATCACATATTTTTACAGTCTAGTTTTAATGTTAATATGCAAAATCCGGGAGCTGGTTTCCTGCTTTCTGTGGATGATTAAAATGATCACACAAAGACATTCTGTTGAATGCTGCTGGCTAACATTGATTATAGACAATATGCGTCTGTTATGTCATATGTGGTTACATTTTGACTTGACTCATGAGTTTAATGTATTAAAGTACTGTATTTTGGAAAATTCATCTATTAAATGGAAAATAAAAACATGTTTTCCTGTAGATTTTTAAATTTTTCCAAAACGCAAATGTCAGAGAGGCATGGGCTTGTGTCTTCTGGATACTCTTTAGTTCTGTTTGAAACATCCACCAGAGACATTAAAGGACATAATAAATGATAAGTAGGCAACTGGTGTAATGAAGTTTAAACTGTACATTTGATAGATGTTGTTCACTGACATGATTTCCCACAAGCCTCACCTTGTAAAAAACCAATAACTGTTTATTGTCTGCTAGTTTGCTGGAGTTTGTTGCTTTTACTTTGCTTTTCAGCATATACTTATATTATTATCACCAAGTGGGCATTTCTAAGAGGCTGCTGTCACGTAAAAACAAAAGAAATTTAGTACTCCACTTAATTTCAGCATGACAGAAATATCTAATTCAACTTTTTTTGAGGTTTCACTTATATAAAACTAAATCAACGTTTTAAATCATTTAAACAGTATTTTATATGGAGGGCTGTTTCTGCAACAAGAACCATAATTATTACAATATAAACAATTTCAACTTAGTTCTGAGTTGTAAAAAAGATGGTAATGAATTGTGAATATTACAAGATAAACCTTTTAATTAGAGGGCTCTGAGCTGTAAAAAAGATGGTAATGAACCATAAGTATAACATAAACCTTTTATTAGACAGCTTTGAGCTGTAAAAAAGATGGTAATGAACCATAAGTATAACATAAACCTTTTATTAGACAGCTTTGAGCTGTAAAAAAAGATGTTAATGAACCGTATATATTACAACATACAGTAAACCTTTATTTAGACAGTTCTGACCTGTGATAAAGATGGTTATGAACCGTAAATATTACAGCATAGACCTTTTATTAGACATTTCTAGACAGTAAAAAATATGGTATTAACTGTAAATATTACAACATAAACCTTTTAATACAGTTCTGAGCTGTAAAAAATTAATAATGAATTATATATATTACAACATAATTTTTTTATTACAGTTCTGAGCTGTAAAAAATATGGTAATGAACCATCAGTATAACAACATAAACCTTTTATTAGACAGCTCTGAGCTGTCTCAGATGATAATGAACTGTAAATATTACAATGCGAACCATGAAATTTGATGGCAAAAATGTTAATTAGCCAGTTATAAATCGTTAAAAACAACAAAATCTAAAAAGTACAGTGCAGTGGGTGCAATCCCACATAACCAATAATGTTGCTACCATATTTTTTACAGTAAAGTTTTGGCAATCCACAGCTTTTACCATAAAATTTACAGTTTATTTTTTTTACAGTGCCGAATAAATAATTAAGAGATATAAACTCAGAAATTCATTCATTTTCTTTTCGGCTTAGTCCCTTTATTAATCCAAGGTCGCCACAGCGGAATGAACCGCCAACTTATTCAGCACGTTTTTACGCAGCGGATGCCCTTCCAGCCGCAACCCATCTCTGGGAAATAAACTCAGAAATGTAATATGTAAATCACAATTCCGAGGGGAAAAAATCTAAATTACAAGATGTTAACGTGGAGTTGCAAAGGGGGAAATCTGAATTCTAAGTTTGTTGCAATTCAGATTTTTCCCCCCATGACTTACGTTCTAGCAATTCTGAGAAGAAAGTAATATTTCTCCCTCCTCTGCCTCAGTATTTTAGAGCTTTAGATTTACTTATTAAATGGAAAATTAAATGTATTCAAATAGATAGTTTGATCCCAAAAACACCTGCTGAACTGTACATTTGTACATGTGCATTTCTTTGAAATAAATCTAAAATGAAGTTTTGTATTCTCTTAAGTTCTCCTAGTCACAATTACCACAGAAACATTAATTCTTTCATTTTGCTTTCAGCTCAGTCCCTTTATTAATCAGGGTTCACCACACACCGGTATAAACCGCCAACTTATCCAGCATGTTTTAGCATCGTGCTGCTCACTGCGCCACCATGATGCCCCACAGAAACATTAAAGAACATAACAATTAATAACGTAATAAAATGTAGACAACCACGGTAATGAACTTTAAACTGTTGCTCCGTTAGTCACAGACCTACCTGACTTCCCAGCATCTCCTTATCATTCATTCATTCATTTTCCTTTGGCTTAGTCTCTTTATTAATCAGGGGTTGCCACAGTGGAATGAACCTCTAACTTATCCAGCATAGGTTTTCACAGTGGATGCCCTTCCATGCTGCAACCCAGTACTGGGAAACAAATATCTCCTTTTTATGTATTAGGAAATGATTGTTTATTGCTTGCTGGTCATCAGGGCATATTATAAATATCATTCAGCCATGCTTGTTTCATCAGTTAATAAATGATACCCATTTTAAAGTGAGCATGATATATTAATTTCCATATTATAATGCAGTTTTGCATACAGATTATATACAGTATGTAACCCAACAGCTTCTCGTCTGTTAACCTTTCCTGCATTCTGAATGCAAATGAATAGCAGGAATACACTAGAAAGTGACGCTAAACAAGAAAAACAGGAGACTGCAAAATACCACATTTACATGCCACAAAAGATGCTTCTTACTAGCTTGGGTGATGAAATAACAAACCGTGGTAACGTTGTATTAAAATAACTCGACCAAATTCCCTCACAGCCAGCGCCCAGCCGCCAACAACAGGTGCTTTCATTTTCACAGTTTCAAACTGTAACGTTATCTGTAAAGCACGCATAATTAAAAACGCTGCTATAAGGCATTCGGCTTGTACGTAGAATCATACTTGTAAGTATTAAATAAATTCTGTTTCTGAAAATAAAACAACAAACGAGAGGGTGAAGGACGTCGTGATGTCACGATGACGTCGAAAATGGCAACATGCGACTTTCCTCAACCTGAACACCCATCGTTTATAATCGCTTCGTCTACATCCATAAGTAGCTTTTTTGGCATATATCTTCTCAGGCACGAGGGCACGCTAGTTTAGCAGGACTTTGCACACATCGCCCTCTCTTCCCAGGGGATTTTGCATAGATAATTTTGCTTCCGGATTTTTTTTTAATTCTCATAATGTTCTCTTCACTTCCTTGTGCTTAGCGAATAGAGGAACTGACCACATTGAAACTAGACTGATCATAGAGAGATTTTTCCTCAATACTGTATTATTGATTTATTTCTATCATGAGAATTCGTTTGATTGCAGCAGGTGGTTATCGAAGCGGTCATTGAAATTCCTCTCCAAACTTGGGTGAGTAGTGTTATTTAGATATTATAGCTTGCTACTGTAGTTGTTTATGTATGTATGCTTGTATGTATCATGCATTTGGGTTTAAGGCCTACGTTTTTTGTTAAATACACAGTGATCAAGTTTAAGAAGTTTTATAAACTCGATATATAAGCTCATTAATTCATCTTCGATATGAAAACAGTTATTTTTTGCAACAGTGCACAATAATTACAGTACAAACCTTTCCTGTACAGTTAAAAAATGTAAATTGTGTACTGTCTTTACAGTCTTTTTACTGTCAAAGTTAACTATTACGTTTTGTTGTTATTACAACGGTAAAGAGAAACACTGTGCACTTAAGGTGTAATCTTCAGTTATTCTTATCTTGTCCACATTTGTGTCAAACTACAATTGATTATTATTTTTTGTTGTTGTTGTTGGTTTGTTAGTCAGAGTTTTTTTTATCTTGATGCTTGTGTTTAAATGTCAGAAAAAAGCGAGAGGTTTCTCTCTCTCTTTCATACATCAGCTTAAAATGGAAGAATGGAAGGTGTGGGTGATGTTCAAAGGTTTCTGGATGGAAACTACATTGATTTTGCTGGGTTAATGCATTACTTTTTTAAGAGGGACTTGCTTTGGGACACTTCCACCTTACTCTGCTACTTATTTGCAATGCAAATTTTGGCTTCTATGGGGAACATGAAACATCTGTTTTGCTTGCCATGGTTCAGCAGGCTGGAAAACGGACTTGTTTCTAAAAGGTGGACTGTTAGTCACCGATAATAATGCTGGTGCTATTTCTTATTAGGGGGTGATAATTTCTTTTATCAGAGCTGCAATGCATGATAGGGCATTGTTCTTCTTTAACCCCGCAACATATGTAAAGGAAGTTTTTTTGCTCTCGACATTAAAGCTGATGTTGTGTAAGAATGTATAACTGTATAATCCACAAAAGTTCAGCAAAAAATATAAAATTGATGATGGAAAAAAAAATCTAAATATATTTATTAATCAAGTTTTCATTGGTCAAGCCACAGGAATAAGCAAAATTCTGAATAATGATGAAGGTGTGATATAGTGGAATAAAATGATGTCTAAAACATTAAATGGACAAACAAAGAAAAAGCTAATAAATAAACCAGAATTTTAAAACTTTGCTCCCACTTTAACTTAAGTTACATCAACTGCTATGTATAGTGACATTAAAATGAATAATTGATACTATGTAACTAATATGTAGATACAAGTATCTGAATAAAATGTATAGTTTAAAATACCTGTGTGTGATTATATTTTAATCAATTTCTGTGCATCTAAATTTGCACCACTGAAGCTGCCTCTTACCTAGGGGTGTGTGTTATGGACAAAATATAATCTCTCAACAGCTGATTTGGGGGATAATAACAATTTATCAATATTTAGCTGAGTGTGTTTTCGCTGGTTCCTGGTTTAGACCCTTCAATGACAATTAAATATAACAAGATAATATAACAGCAAAAAGGTCGCTGGGTCAAACCTCGGCTGGGCCAGTTGGCATTTCTGTGTGGAGTTTGCATGTTCTCCCTATGTTCGTGTGGGTTTCCTCCGGGTACTCCGTTTTCCTCCACAGTCCAAAGACATTCGCTACAGGTTAAATAATAAGCTAAATTGGTGTGAAAGAGTGTGTATGGGTGTTTCCCAGTGTTGGGTTGCGCCTGGTAGGGCATTTGCTGGATAAGCTGCTGGATAAGTTGGCGGTTCTTTCTGCAGTGGCGACCCCTGATTAATAAAGGGACAAAGCTGAAAAATGTAAGAATGAATAATTCTATTTTTGAAAATTATTATGGATAGTACGCAAACTGTGATCAATTTCAAGAATTGAATCAGTATCTCAGTCAGGTTTACAGTTCCCAAACAATAACATAACTGCCCACTGAACTACTTTATGTCTGCTGCCTGAACTGCTGCACATTTAAACCACATTAGTAAAAACTGACATCTTATCAAGAAGGAGTCAAACCTTATGCTAATTATGGCTGTAAATAACAGACAAATCCTCTTAAGGCACCTCACTATTTTTGTTCTCCCTTATTTACCCCTTTATTATGTTTTTTTACATCCCTCAAGGATTCTAGTGCTCAAAAACAGCACTTTAAAGCTTGCTTGAAATCAAAATGAGCAACGTTTATTTAGCTAGCTTGCATTGTTATTCCTAAGGTGAATATAATTAATCTGTGCAAGTTATTCACTAAAAAAGGTGTTTGTTTTGGTAGTCTTCAATTAAAGTCTCACTATTTGTTTCTGAGTTTGGAGTAGTGGTCCTTCTGTTGGTGCCAACTGAGGGCTTCCTTAGCAACTGCATATTAATACCCTCTCTTAACTTTAGTTTGATTTGAAGGAATGATGTGCAAAAGAAAGCTCTGCCCCCTACTTAATATTCAGTTTCCGTTGAAAATTACATCAACAAGCTGAAAAAAAAGTCTTGCTGCAGAGTTTTGGTAATTTAGTACGTTGATGTAGTTCCAACAGAAAAAAAGGAATATTGAGTAGGGATGGGGTTTTTTCTATGCTCCTCCTCTCATCCTTGACTATCAGCAAACTAATATTTAAAGGGGTGTGGCTAGGCATATTTCAGCCAAGCCATTAAACTAACATCATCAGAGTAGCACTGCCATCCTAGAGTTGAAGATTATGGTTAGATTGGTTATTATGGTTGGTTATTGCCCAACTGAGCCTGGTTTCTCTCGAGGTTTCTTTTCTTCACTTTTGTCAATTGGTAAAGTTTTGTTGCTTGGTTTAGGATCAATGGATCTGCTCTTCAGTGTTTGAACTTTCAAGAGTGAAAATTAAACCACACTGAACTGAACTAAACTAAACTTAAACTCTGAAAACTGGACTGACACTTTTTCAATTTAATAGAACTTCTTTGTTAAGCTGCTTTGACACAGTCTACATTGTAAAAGTGGTATAGAAATAAACATGAAGTAAACTGTATTTTTTATTAAACAAGCTGTTTTTTTCAGTGGATTAACGTGCATGGATGAATTATTCATGTTAAGAAATCAAGTAAATTTTGATTTCACTCAGACTTTAATTCTCCTAAAATCAAAAGACTGTTAATATAGACTGAATGAAGTTGTAAAGATCTTACTGCATGTTAGCATGCATATTCTTTTCATGTTCATGATCTATTTACATCCATTTTGGTTTGTTGCAATTGGTTTCCTCAAACAGTTTGAGTTGCCTTAACTTTTTGGGTTTTACATTGTCCCTATACTAAAGTGGTAACACTTATTGTCAGTTTGAACACTGTTAAAACAGCAATTCCTACATCACCATAGATGATAAATATCTCTAAGCATAAGAGTATCCTACCAATAAAACTGTTTTACAATCCATGAACATTGTACTTTAACAGTTTGCCTTTGTTTATGGCACTATAGAGTAATAATAATAATAATAAACACTAACTTTTTTGTTACCCAGTGAAGAAAGTAAGTCCTACTGGTTTTTAAAACGACATGACAGAATTTCCATTTTTTGGGTGAACCATTTATTTAATATTTGATTAGATCCATGCAGTATCTTGACAAATTTGAATAGAAACCTGACCTGCGTGCTTTGATATTCAAAGTACAGACTTTTGTTTGCTATATAATTCAGCACAGAGAGCAAATGTGCCAAATAAGTGTCTACATTAATAGCATGTGACTATAGCGCACCTCCTGCCTGTCATATTTAGGTGATTGTCTTCCTGTGGTCGTGTGTGTTGTGTTTGTCAGTGTGTGGCCGGACGCAGAGATGGCGGGTCGTGCTCATCAGGGAGACCTGACCGAGTACAAGAAGAGCCTCATCAAGCGGGACTTGGAGATGGGGATAGTGATGACGGTGTACAGGCAGAGGATTGAGAGACTCACGGTGCAGGTCATTATGGAGACGCGGCAGGTGGCCTGGTCACGCACCGCCAACAAGACTGAAGGAGTGTGTGAGTGCCCACTTTTTAAGGGATTTAGGCTGTGTGTTTTATTTGAAATGTGTCCTGCTTTGCCATTTAAGCTGTAGGATGTATATTATAATATTTGATTTAGACATTAAAAATTATACTTTATTATAAAGTGTGTTCACAATTAAATGTGTTCAACCTAATGTCTTTGCGTTACATATATAAATATACAAATAGTTGAAGTAAGAATTATTAGCCCTCCTGAATTATTAGCCCCACTGTTTATTTTTTTCTCCAAATTCTGTTTAAGAATAAGGAGAGAAGTTTTTTGCAACCCATTTCTAAACGTAATAGTTTCAATAACTCATCACTAATAACAGATTTTTTAAATCTTTGCCATGATGATAATACAGAATATTTGACTAGATATTTTTCAAGACACTTTTAAACAGCCTAAAGTGACATTTAAAGGCTTAACTATATTAATTAAGTTAACTAGGCAGGTTAGGGTAATTAGGCAAGTTATTGTATAATGATGGTTTGTTCTGTAGACTATTGGAAAAAATATAGCTTAAAGGGGCTAGTAATTGTGACCTTAAAATGGCTTTTAAAATTAAAAACTGCTTTTATTTTAGTCAAAGTAAAACAAATAGGACTTTCTCCAGAAGAAAAAATATTATCGAGACATACTGTGAAAAAAATCCTTGCTCTGTTAAACATCATTTGTAAAATATTTGAAAAAGAAAAAAAAGGGGGTCTAATAATTCTAACTTTAACTGTACATTAGTTTAGTCAGTACTGAAGCCAGAAGTGTAAAAACCTGCTGATAAATAGATAGAGCCTAATGGTTTGAAAGAGGGTTGCAAAATAGAACCAATAATTTTAGGTATGTAATAATTAATGTAATAATAATAAAATAATGAGTATATTTTAGTATATAATAATTATAATAATAATTAGTATATTTTGCGGCTGCACAGCATTTTTTTTTTTTTTAAAACAGTTTTACACTTAATGACATTTTAGTATGGTAAATCATACAAAAAACTATAATAGCCATTTTTTTTTACTAAAAAACCCTTAATCAAACAGAAAAATCAATCTACTAAAGCATAAATGTGCAGAAATATAAATACTGAATTCTGAAATAACATGATAAATATTTTGTTTTAATGCCTTTTTTGTCCTTGACCTATATATCAACATTAAATTTTTAAAGCAATCTATTTTTCTATAGAATATAAAATCTGATGATCAAATGTGTTATTAATAATATTAAACAGCAAAAGTCAGTCTAAGGCACTTAAAAAATGTGGAAAGAATATTCAAAAGCCTGTATAAATATATTTGTCCCAATTTTTTGAGTGCCTTGAACTGACTTTAGCAGTTTATACTGATGAATCCCTCACCAAAAGAGCACTTACACATCATTTAAGCTACCTCTGAGCACATTTTGTTCACTTTTGTATTATTGTTATGAAGGTTGGAAACAGTTGTGCTACACAATAATGCACAATTTACAATCTAATTAGTATGTTTGACCAAATTATGAATTTATCAGTAAAAACAAAGTACTTTTACCAAACTTTTTAACTGAAATGTAAAGTCATTAGGAAGAGTGAAATGTAGTAGATACAAGTTTGCAACATTAAAAAGTTATTTAGTGTCAACCGAAGGAAAATAAGATGTAACATGATCATGTAGGAAAAGACTATAGTGGTGTGACCAGTAGACTCAATGTCTATTGTCAGTAAATGTAGATCCATCACACCCGCCTTTCTCACCCTCTGAGGTGGCACTTGCACAGTCACTACAAACACTGATGAACCCTATTTTTTCTCCTCACCACCTAATCAGTCTGTTGCTCCTTTTGCTCATAACTGTGAAAGCTTTTACTTTATTTACATTTTTGAAAGTTTTGATATAATATGCCCAGCACTTTGCTATGCCCTTTTTATATATGTAATGACATATTTAGTTCAAAACACAAAAATATATATTATAATATATATTTAGTAAATATAAACTTTATTCAATATATTGACTAAAGTTAAATATAATATATATTTAAGTTTTAATTATTATTTTTTATTTTATTTTTTTTATTTGCAATATTATTATTTGCCTAAATGTCTTTTTGAACTTTTATATTTCAGTCATTTTAGTAAATCAGCTTTAGTTTTCATACGCAATGTTTTCAATACAATTATTCATCACAAATTATATTTTATTTTATTTATTTATCAACTTTGATTTCAAGTAATAGAAAATATTTTAATTAGGATGTAGTAACAACAACATCAACACTAACTTGATCTACTTGATTTATTACTGTAATCTTATCTTGTATCTCACTTTTGCAGTGGACATTTTTGAAATCCGGGAAGTACGACCAGGAAAAAACTCCAAAGAATTTGATCGCTTCAAGGACCACAAAGATAGAAATACAGACCCAAACACATGCTTTACCATATTCTACGGCTCTCAGTTTGTTCTCAACACTCTCAGTCTGGGAGGTAAGTGAATCCTCTTGTACATATTACACATTGTAAGTTACCATTGTTTAAAAAAATCTCCGCAAATTTAATTCCATCATATGTCACGTGTTATGCTACACCATATATCATGATATATGTAAGCTACACAAAACTTGCTTAATTTAATTTCACCAAAACGCACAGTTTGATCATGTCAGTTATTGCAGAATAACTGTTAACTGTTAGTGTCTCTGCGTACTAAAGAACTTACTGCATCAACATGTTAAAACTGCACTTTTAAAATGGTTTAACATGGTCAAACTGTGTGTATCTGTGTACTATAGAAATGTGTTTTTTTTTAAAGTTCTGCCTTACCTTGGTCAAACTGTGTATAAACAAATTTAAGAAATGCTTTCAAAATTGCCACCTCAACAGAATCAAACTTTGAAATAATGTACATAATGAAAATAAATAGTATTTCATAGGCACAGCTGGTTTAAAGTCTTTTATCAAATATAATGCACTTGACATGTATTTATAATTTAACATGATTAATCATTTTTTTTAGTTTAATTCATGTACCTAGTGCTGAGAGGCTGTAATAATTGTATGGGCTTTTAAAGACCCCCATTCTGCCCTTAAATTGATTTGGCAGACCAAACTGTAAGTTGATAGTTTGACGGATGGAAGTATCCACCTTGTTTACTACATCACATAGGCCTGCGCTGATCAGCCTGATGGTGGCGCTACAGAAATTTAGCATCATTTGATAAAAGTTTTCTAAAGTCCTAGAATTTTGAAAAAGATCCTAGCCAAGGTTTCTCTCTGAACCTCTGTAAAACCACTGCCATTTCATTGTACACTGGTGCATTTTTCACCATAAAAAAATTATTGGCCATATTAGCATTTTTTGCCGCATTTCAGAAAAATGATTTCCATCCACACTATACAGCATACTGTATAGCACATGATATGCTACGTTGCCTACTTGCCACCTAATAAAGGCTGATTTATACTTCTGCGTCAAACGCACTCATAGCCCTACGCCGTGGCCGTCGGCGCCTCTGACATGCATCTCTCAAAAAATGTAACTAAACGTCGCAACGACGCGTAACGCAAGCTCTGTGATTGGTCGGCTTGGTATCGCTGATGAGTCTGGGCGGGGCCGAGAGCCGTGCGACCGGTGCGAGCCCGATGGAGCGATTGTTTACAAGTGTGGAGTCCCGTGAAGGAGCTCCGGATGGAAAGTTTTGTTTAGTGTTTACCTCATAGTTAAAGTTGTTGCACGTTCGCTGGTTCCTGCCTCAAAATGAGCGAGTTTGAACCACTTGTACATCCCGGAAGCGTTCAGAAAGAACAAAACACAGGCGAAGAAACTCAATACAGAGACACATTTACACCTCACTGCCAACTAGCGTTTTGGAAGTGTTAATGCAGACCAACAGAGACAGTGCGCAGAAGTATGAATGCACAGCTACGCGCGTTGCATGCGCCATTGGTTATGCCGGTAACTTGACGCAGAAGTATAAACCAGGCTTTACTTAGCTGGGGACTATTTTCAGACATTGCTTAATATCATTGGGCTTGCAGTCAGTTTAACAGTTTTACTCTAGTACAGTTTTAAAATCAGTCCATTTACCCAAAAAAGTAAAACGTTCTTTTAAGGCTTACAGTATGTAAATGCATTTTGCTTTCTTGTTAAATAAAACAGGTATTCTCTTATTTGTCTGGTTAAAATTGACTGTCAAATGAAGAACTTAGCATTTGTTTAATGTTGTGCGTAATATCATTGTGCCTGCAGCTATGGTATGGCAGCAAAGTTGCTTGGTTATATAGTATAGTTTCTAGCTACTGTACATCGACCTAGAAAATTGCAACCTTTCATTTTCTTTCAGTCTTAGTACACAATATAAATACACAAGAGTCAAGCTTTAAAGATGCAAAAATTGTCAAAATGTTTTTGAAATTCGAGAGAGATGCTAACGGTCTAATCTGATTCAATGATTTATGCTAAGCTAAGCTAAAAGTGCTCTTCAGACCTTAAGATTGGCTGAATGCATTAAAAAAGGGCAAAATGACACACAGTTTAACTCTAGTGGAGTTGTAAAATCAGTCTATTTGCTCAAAAATCATTCATTTAAAGCTTATGGAAATGCATTTTGCTTTCTTGTGAAAAAACAAATATTCTCTTCTTTGTCTGGTTAAAATTGACTGTCAAATGAGGAACTTGATGTAATCCTTAAATCAATGGAGCAAAAGCTAGCTAACACTGTGCGTAAAATCATTGTGCCTGCAGGCATGGTACAGCAGCAAGGTTGCTTAATTATAAATAGTATAGTTTCTAGCTACATCAACCCAGAAAATAGCACACATTCATTTTATGTCGGTCTTAGTACATGATGTAAATACAGAAGAGTCAAGCTTTAAAATTACAAAAGTTATCAAAACATTTTTTCAATTTGAGAGAGATGCTAATGTTCTAATCGGATTCAATGATTTACGCTAAGCTAAGCTAAAAGTGCTCCCTCCAGTCCTGAAGATCGCATTAAAAAATGGCAAAATGACAAACGGTTTAACTCTAGTGGAGTTGTAAAATCAGTTTATTTACCCTTTAAGGCTTATAGAAATGCATTTTGCTTACTTGTGAAAAACATGTATTCTCTTCTTTGCTGGTTAAAATTGACCGTCAAATGAAGAACTTGATGTAGTCCTTAAATCAGAGGAGCAAAAGCTAGCTAACGCTGTTTGTTTTTTTCACAGCTGATTCGGTGGAAGATGCAGAAAAATGGCTGACAGGATTGGAGTTACTCAGAGATGAGACACTGGCAGCTCACACACCAGAGATTATAGAGAGGTACACACACTTACAGATAGTGTACCCTTAATCTGTAAAACAAATCATGTACTGGTTTCTTTTTCTCTTCTGTAGTTGGCTGAGGAAACAGATGTATTCAGTTGATCAGACGAAGAAAAACAGGTTCTCCTCTTTCTCTTTCATATATTTTCCACCAGTATCACTGTAGTTTCTGTTTCTTCCTTCACGCTGTTTCCATCTCTCACAGCATCACCATGAAAGAGCTGAAGTCCCTTTTGCCACAGATGAACTTTAAAGTACCTTGTGGACGCTTTTTGAAGGACAAATTTGCGGTATGAATGAAACATTGTATACATTATCTTAACGGAAGTACTGTACATGCTTTGCATCATATGGAAAATTGTAGCGCTGCAGAGCAGGAACTTTTTCTTCCCTTAGGTTTGGATAATGGTCTGTGTTCATACACAAGTTGTAATATTTTCTTGTAAAACTCAATATTAGTATTTTCAAATATTTTCTTTCAGGCATTGGGAGCAAAGAAGGAGGTCCTGGATTTTGAGCAATTTCACAAATTTTACAATTCTTTGATATTTGAGAACCAAAAGTCGGTAAGAGTGCAGTTTAGCTCTGTATGTAATGCAGTTACAGTTAAATTCAATGTGTTCAAAATATTTTTAGAAGACATTTCTACTGCCAGTGCTGTATTTTTTTATTTAAATAAAGTTAAAACTATTCTCAAAAAAGAATGGACATTTGCAAACAGTATTATACACATTTTAGTCTATACAAATAGCATAATAAAAACACTATACTAAAATAGTGAAATTTTACAATGAAAAAACGAAAGATTGTTAGACTCGTAGCCAGCCTGGTAAGAGGAATGGTTATTTTTTCTCAAAAAGTGGACCTTTTTGCAGTTATCATTTTCTATTTAATTAAAAGATTTAAATACATTTTAAGCACTATTTTTAGCTGCATTACCTTGTTGGATGCACATCATAACCACACTTTTTAATAATACCAAAAATATTTCCGAAAGATTTATGATAAATAAATGTGAAATACAACTTATTTTAAAATACAAATTTATTACATCATATCTTATTAAAAAAGGAATCTGTTAAAGTTTTAAGTTAAAAACTGTACCCTATTGTGTCATTTATTAGGCAAATAACAAACTGGCCAGCACAATCTACCTTTCCCAGTCAGAGTTTGGCCATTTAAATAATAAAAAAATAATTAAAACATTGTAATAATAATGTAGTTTCACAATTTTTGTAGCCTTTCTTCTAAAAAAGTACATTGAAAAATTCTTGGATAACAACAATAAACAAAGTAGTGTTCAAATCAATATTATTTATCAAAATTAATCATATATTTATCAATATATCATATCAATATTAATACTAGCCGCTTTTGGTGCTTCACACCTTATTATTGCTCATTTTTTGTTCCAAGAATAGGTCTTGAAAAGATTTAGAATAAAAGTTTCATGTAAAAGGTTTTCTCTGTTTAAAAACAATGCAGTAGCGACTTCTCCTATGTCAGATTGTAAAATGAAAATATTTTTTAGCATTGGCCAAAACTGATTAGCTGAAGTCACACTGAAGCAACAGCCAACAGAGTTCGTCCAAACCACCCGAACCCCCCTGGCTACGTGCCTGCAATATATATATTAACATGTCATTTAAATAAACTGCATTTATTTAAACCGCATTTACTACAATAATTTGCAGTAGAGTCTTTTTTTTTTTTTTTACCTAAAATATTTATTTCTCCTACATGAATATAAACTAATGTAAACTCTATATTATGCAATTAAAAAGGATTTTTAAAATATATTTTAAGATGTCAATTATTATTATTTTTTTAAATTTTATATAATTATTTTTTAAAGAGAATTTTCAGCATCAAAATAGTTTTTTTTTGTCATTTTGATTAATGAAAAGCTCAAAATAATAGCATATATTTAAACAAGCTTTTTAAACAATGTTAAAATCTGTACAGTTATTTTTGATTGTGTATCATTATTAATTTATGTTGTTGGTCTTGTTAGATTTTAGATGAGTTTAAAAAGGAGACGTGTGCTTTCATCCTGGGGTAAGAAATACAATTTTAGTTTTTTCAATAATCTTTATAAACATGTAATATATTCTACTAATGTTATGTGTTTTCTATATTTTTATCTGCAGTAATGGTGATCAGCCTATTCAACTCAGTGATTTCCAAAGGTTCCTTTTATATCAGCAAAGAGTAAGGCTGACAAATATTCATGTCTGTTCATCTTTCTCACACACACACACACACACACACACACACACACACACACACACACACACACACACACATGTACAGTATATGTTGATATTGGTGATTTACAGGGACTTTCCATTGGCGTAATGTATTTTATACAGTAAAAAGCATAATACAATACATAGCCCAATACAATACAGTTATATAACCTAGCCCCTAAACCCAATACTCACAGAAAACCTGTGGCCAAATTTGAATGTCAGAAACTTTAAGTATAATTTTTAAGCATTCAGAATTACAAGGACATCAGGCATGTCCTCGTAAACCACTGTAAAAGTGTACAACTAGGTCATACCCATGTCATTCTACAAAAAAACTGTCCTTGTAAACCACAAAACACAGATTGTCAACTACTGTATACCTGCTTCATTCAGACACTCACTGTTATTAAAAATGCTGTATTTTGCAGGAGACTTGGGCTAACAATCTGAATCAAGTCCGAGAGTTAATGACCATCTTCATCGACGACACCATGAGGGAAACCAATGATCCTGCATTTATCCTTGAAGAGGTACAGCTTCTAGACAGATTTATTTATCTTATATTCATTTATACTGGTAGCTGACGTGTTTCTGTCTCTTCAGTTCCTCAGTTTTCTCTTCTCCAAAGAAAACCAAATTTGGGATGACAAGTTTTCCGAGATTTGCCCACTGGACATGAACAATCCTCTGTCTCACTACTGGATCAACTCGTCTCACAACACGTCAGTGCTGCTGCTCTTCATGCTGCTTCTCCTCATCGTCATCTACTTCCTGTGTTACTTTATGTGTTGCTCTTTTTTTTTTGCTCACAGATATTTAACTGGAGATCAGCTGCGTAGTGAGTCTTCAACAGAAGCGTATGTGCGCTGTCTGAGGCTGGGCTGTCGCTGTGTTGAATGTCAGTGGATCTCACTCATCTCTTAATAAAATATTATTTATTATTCTGTCAAACTAAGTGTTCATGTTCATGTTGCTTTCTTTATTTCAGTGGACTGCTGGAATGGTCCAGAGGAACCTATTATATATCACGGCTGGACCAGAACCTCCAAGATAAAGTTTAAAGATGTGGTGAAGGCCATCAATGATCACGCTTTCGCAACATCTGAGTTAGTCAAACACATACACAAACACTTTTTCTGTGTTGTTTTGTGTTAAGTGGGTCAGTTTTACAAAGCCTTTCAAGAACACGTCCTAGTTACTGTATATTCTACCAAAAAAAATAAAAAATTCAAAGGAGGACTAATATATCTGACTTCAACTGTATATTGAGTGTCCTGGTGGTGCAGTGGGTAGCACAATTGCCTCACAGCATTTCTGTGTGGAGTTTGCATATTCTCCAGTGTTCATGTGGGTTTCCTTCAGGTGCTCTGTCCAAAGATATGCGCTATAGTTTAATTGAATGAGCTAAATTGGCCGTATGTGTGTGAATGAGTGTGTATGGGTTTTTTTCAGTGTTGGGTTGTGGCTGGAAGAGCATCCACTGCGTAAAACAGATGCTGGATAAGTTGGCGGTTCATTCCTCTTTGGCGACCCCTGATTAATAAAGGGACTAAACTAAAAAGAAAATGAATGAATGATTTACATTTATTTTTGGATTTATTTTTGGATTGTCACACAATTTATATAGTAAAAAGCTAGTTTCTCCCCTTAAGTTTGCGTTGTTGTAGCAATAATGTCTTAAATATAACAAATTTGGGTTGAAGTAAGTATTTTGGGTTTTCTCATTTCTAATTAAATTGCAATCACAATTTATATAAATCTTAATGTTCCTAAAATAGCCTTCATTTTCTTTATGCACTGGCAGATTTTATTATTCATTGATTTATTTGATTTGGAGAATAAATGTGACTTGCATAAGTATGACTTGCATGCCTATGGTAATTCAGTTATTTTTATACACAGTATTAATGTACAATTCTCAGTATTAATAACCAATAACTATGACTTTTGTCTTAATAGACTCCTAATTTGCTGTTTGTTAACAGTATTAATAGTAAATAACTATTAATGTAAAAGTTTTGATATTGGAAAATGATTTTGGTATTAGGGATGTAGGAAAAAATAGTTTTGATGCAAAAAGTTTTATAAGTACTAATAAACAGTAATATCTTAATAATAGGCAAGTAAAAAGCTACTAGTTAACAGTACCATTGGGTACTTAAACAACTGTGAATACAATTACTGGTATTCCTCATGATAATAAAAATAACAAGCTATTTACATACCATTTTCGTATTTCTGGAAATGCAAATTGTTTTCGGTGTCCACTGTTGTCAGGTATCCTGTGGTGCTGTCCATAGAAGAACACTGTGACGTCAAGCAACAGAAAATGATGGCTCAGGTGTTCAAAGATGTTTTCCAGGACAAAATCCTGATGGAACCTCTGGAACCAGAAGCAGAACAACTGCCATCACCAACCCAGCTCAAGGGCAAGATCATCATTAAGGTAAAAAAGCTCTTTCTGTTTGCAATGTGACACATACCTCTAGCCATATTTATATTCACATAATTTTAATTTGCATTTTGGGATATCACGTGGATTGCAAATACATGAATAGATAATTTGTGCACAATTATACAGAAAGACCTTCAAATAAACTACAATGGAAACGGATGTAACAAATAAATTCCTCGAAAAGCAGTTCCTCAAAGCTGTTTTGGCAAATCATGTGATTGCATAACTGGACTAACATGTTTTTAGGTCCCTGAGCTAAAATCTATCATCAAAATTATTTGCTTAAACAACTTTGCAGACTTGAAAAAGAATGTGTGCTCCAACCTATACCTTTGCCTCTGACAACAAGATAACGCAACTTTTTTTTGCATGTTATTAATGCAAACAAATGATAGATTTTTCATAAAGAATGAAAGGGTTGTATTATGATTATTTTTATTCGATGTATTGTAAGGTGTACCCAGAATCTGTCTGTGGAAATTTGGCTCAAATTAAACCACAGATTATTAACTATACCGCACTGTCAATGGCCAGTAAATTGTCCGGAAGCAAAAACACTCCATTTGTGTGTCTCTTTAAATGCAAATGAGCTGTTGCTCCACACCCCTTTTTCAGTAGAGGGCGGTGCCTTTACAGCTTGTGCATTAGCAGCAACAAACAACACACTTAAATGCATTTTAAAGTCTTGTCGGTTTAAGCTCTTGATATATTATAGCAAATTTTTAGCAAACAAACACTGAATCGATTCAAACTCATCACACTTGAAAAAACATAGGTACCTAGGAAAACAATTCAAAAGAGTGAAAAGCTAACAAATAATCCTGCACAAAAAGATCAATAATTGCTCTAAAATGTATTAAATGTAACAGTGTTGCCAACTTAGCAACTTAACAACCCTCTTAGCGACAAATTTTTAAAAAGCGACTAGCGACAAATCTAGCGACTTTGTGTGTTACTGGAGATTTTTGTAGACTCTCATGTGTCCATACTGTACCGTCATTACTCTTATCAACGAGCTGCAGGTGATGCCATCAGCCCTTCCCCCGCCTCAGAGCACTGACATGCGGCCCAGTCCTTATTTATGAGTCTCTCCTACCTGCAGCCTGAGAGCAGATCACTCCTCTGCGTACTGACAGTAAATGATTTAGCACCGGTGTGAGATATTTCTATTTTAGAGACAAACCAATCTGCTTCTCCCTTATTTAAATAATTTAATTTGACCATTTATTCATTTCTTGTTTACAATCAGATATTTTAGTGGCAGTTTCTAAACTTTATTATCCCTGGGAAATACTGCAAATTCAATAAACATCTATATTATATAAATGTTCCTTTATTAACCATAGGCTCTTGAACAAACAAAAACGGTAGAACGTGATGACATCAGTAATATGCAAATTAATGTATGTTGTAATCTAGCGACTTTTAGCGACTTTTTCGGCAGAGCTTAGTGCTTTGTCTTTGAAAATAGTTGGTAACACTGGTAACAAAGATTAAATGTGCGAGCACAAAAAGCACATCACATGAGCGTTAAACTGATCTCTCTTTTAGGTCTGTGAAAGGCAATGTCTAGAACTGCAATATTATGATGAATTCTGGCCGATACTGATAACCAAGAACTACATTTAGAGACCGAATACCAATACTTTGGCTGCTAAACACAAAACTTGATATAATTTATGTCAGAAATTGATTACCAAATCTAAAATTTGCAAAGAAATATAGTGAAACGATTTTTTGAACACCTTAACTAGCAATAAAATAAAAGATGTAAGAAATAACTTGTTTAGGAGTTACTTTGTGCTTTGCAGATCATTTTATAGTTCCAACCAGGGCTGCACGGTATTGGAAAAATCTTATATTGCAATATTTTATTTTTCTGCAATAAATATTGCGATATGAATACAGTTTCACAAGATAGTTAAAATGGCACTATTTGATGGTTTCCGGGCAGTCTAACAGTATTCAGGTACAGAAATTGAATAATCACAATGCAAAAAATGCTTTACTTATTTGCTTTGTCTCGTTTCTTGTCCAAATATCTAAAAAATTGTAGATCAAGTAAAAAAAATAGTTTTGTCAGAAGACAAAAGAAAGAAGAAATAAGGCAAAATTATACGTTTTTCCTTAAAACAAGCAAAGTTATTTGCGAGTGGAGTAAAATCTTGTTTTTTGCTGACTAGAATGATGAAGAACAGTTTTTTTCATTAGAAACTGAATTGGAAATGATGTTTTTTAGTATAGTCGTGAACTGAGGTGGGCCGGTCTTGAAACTCGAGGCTTAAAACTCCAGGGCTGAAAAGAAGTCCCACTCTGGCCCTGGAATCGATATATTGTGCAGCCCTAGTTCCAACAGCATTATGAACTAAAAGAGATTGAAAGTATAAAAACATACTAGGATCCCTTTCTTTATACAATTCTGAATCAGAGTTTCTTTAACAGCACAAAAAACTGAACATCGATCAGACCTTTGGCAGAAAGGACCTTCGAAAAGGAGATAAGCAAGGAGAGCTCTTCATCTGGGATCCAATAGATGAGGTTTTAAACTTCCTTCTCTGATTGTTTCATCTTGGCTTTCAGTTTCATCACTATTAATATTATCATTTCTGCTGAACTGTGTTTGTGTTCAGAGGTGGTACAGGCACTACTGTGTGATTGAGAATAAAACGCTCTATTATGCGGAGGAGAATGATGAAGAGGAAGAAAAGGTGAGTCTGCACTTCAGAATGAGATTCAGGTTAATGGTGGCACAAATGAAGTCTGATTGAGACTTCTCCTCAGTCGGTCCAGTCTTGCACGGAGCTTCATCAGTCTGAGCCGTGGTTTCATGGCCGGATGTCCGAGGGCCGAATGACTGCAGAAAGACTGCTGCAGGAATACTGTGCTGAATCGGGTGGAGTTGATGGAACATTTCTGGTTCGGGAGAGTGACACCTTCGTAAATGATTGCACACTTTCATTCTGGTAATGTAGATCTCATATAAGAAGATGTTTTTTTGTTTGCATTGTTTGCATGTGTGTATGTTTATGTATATATTTACTATACTATTTACATACTATATATGAGCAATTCCAGCGTTATTGATGTGACATTTGTAGCAAAAACTCAAAACATAAATTCGCATAGAAACCATATGTTAACAATACATTGAAGTTTTTGCTTATATTTTCCAAAACAACTGACCGCGAGTTAAGGGACCAGAAAAATATCAATCTGCAAACATTTTTTTATATTTTAAATGAGGAAAATAAACATGTGTTATGGATGTGACAAAAAATTCTGCAAGATTACAGTATACAGCATACTTTGTAGAATTTCTGTGAATTAAACTGCACAACCCAAAAGAAACAATGCTAATCAAAAGGAGAAGAGTTGTCTCTCTATAGAACAAAAAATATTGGTTTTATTTTATTTAATATTTTCAAATTTATGAGGAAAAAGTGCTGTTATGGATGTGACACTTTTCCGTTATGGATGTGACAGCTTTGAAATTGCCACTTTTTGGCAAATTAAAAAGAATAGTTTTAAACACTGACAGAGACATTTATGAGTATTTTTAAAGTACTGTAAAATACTTGCCTACAGAAACAGTTTCTGGGTTTTTTTATGTAACTTGGTGAATTTTTTTTTTTTCATGGCAAGGTTGACAAAAATCATTGTCGCAAAATTTTGTGTAGTATTGTTTTTTATAGCCACATATTTTGGATGGTCGGGACACTGTTCAAATTCCTGCCACACCACAGTGCACCATCTGTATAGTTTAACATTAAAAACAAAGTATTTATGAATAGAAAATGCATGCGGGTGTACAAAGCCTCAAGCTGTTAATATACGCTTGTCATCTAGCGTGTGATCAGTGTCATGTGACATTATCGTGCCGTACATTCAAAGCCTGTTTGAACTAGGCCACATGAGTTTATCACTTGCTAAACTTCTACATATTGTATATATATGCATCCTGTTGTCATATGTGTTGCCCCCCCCCAACCCCACTCTCTCTTTCTTCCTCCCTCGCTCACACACACACACAGACACACATACTGTAAGCATGTATGCTCTGCATCATGTCCTCCAATGTGTTCAAACAGCTGTCCAACAACACGGATGCATTATTTTCCATTTGGTTTAATTTTCAAATATGATACAGCAGCTTTAGCGGTAAAGTCTAGTTTCTCTGTTTAGATAAATTACAGAAATCAATGATTGTCAAGGTCCAAAACTGTATAAAGATTTAAGAAGTGTCAATTTGTGTATATATTCTCAGAAAAACAATAAAATAAATGCTGTGAAATTTGCTGCAATCTTGACACTTAATTGATCATTTTAGTCGCTAAAAATCTGCTTTGTTTTGCCTTTTTGGTGAAATCCTGGAGGGACTGGATAGAATACTTATACTAAGAGAAACAAAATATGAATGATCTGAAAATCTTGAAAAATAAAATAAAAATCTAATTGTTATCATGAATTGAGTAAAATAAAATGTACTCATCCTCAAAGCCTTTAGAGTTTACTTTTTTGGGGGTTGCTGTTGAACATAAAAGGTGATATTTTGAATGAGTTGGTAACTCGCAGTTGTTAACTTTTATAGAGATTTTGTCCCCTAAAATGGCAGTCAATGGGTACTGATTACCAACATTCTTCAAAATTTCTACTTTTGTGTTCAACAGAAGAAAGAAATAATAGTTTGGAACCACTAGAGGGTGAGTACATTTTCATTTCTCTTTTTTATCACCCTGACATTATATTTGATTTGGTAAAACCACAGAATAAACACATTGTCACATTTAATTATTTCCCTTTTCTTTTACAAAATTGTCTATTTGTTTGAACTTTGCTTATTGTTTTAAACAATCAATTAATGTATTGAAAAAAATACTACTAAAATGACAGCAAACTGTATTATTAGATACATTAAAAAGAAGTGGGGAAAAACAGAAATTAAGTTTAAACTGACATAATAGTATGCTTTGACTAACTACTATAGTGTCTTTTTAAAGGAAATGTTGTATATTTTTGAAGATTTGTATAGATAGCATATAATTGTTATACAGTGCTCAGCATTATTGAGTACACCACCTGAAAATGAGTATTTTTTAAATCAATTTCTAAGTGAATATAGGTAACTTATATTAGTAATATAAAACTAATATATTGCATATTAGTGCATTTGAACCAAACAGATTTATTGAGCAGAGATATTTATTAAAATTATATTTTAGTCACAGAACATTTTTAGAAATGGAAAGATAATTTCAAAATTCATTTCAATTCATACAAAATATTGCAAAAAGTTTACAAAATACAACATTTTAACAAAATTGTATTGCTATTTTTGAAAATGTTATTTAATATTTTCCCTATAAAAATATGGGCTACTAATTTATAAACTGTTATTGTAAGTTATTCTGTTAGATAAGCTCCAGATTTGGTTTTCGCACTGACTAAACTAATGTATGTATTTGCACATATATAATGCAAAGCATCCTATAAAAAAATGTATTTAAATGAAAGACTTGTGTGTGGTGTACTCATATATGCTGAGCACTATATATATCATAAGGTCCTGTATGAAAAGAATGTCCCTATTGATTCTTTTTAATGACTGTATTCTTTGGTCATGCACAGATTTTTTTTTCTAGAATTGTCTTTTTGCTTCTTCTAGGCGCAGTGGACGAGTTCAGCATTGTCGAATCCGTTCCTGCTTGGAAGGAGGACACACAGTTTATTTCCTGACAGAAAACCTGCACTTCCCCAGCGTGTATGCTCTCATCTATTATTACAGAGACAACCTGCTCCGCTGTCAGGATTTCAACCTGCGCCTCACTGAATATGTGCCTAAACCAGACACGCACCAGTTGGAAGGGTGAGTCAAAACTTGATACCAGAGACTAAAATTAACATTTATATGAACCCGATGATAACAAAAATAGGTCTTGGCAAGTGTATGAAACAGAGTTGCTTGGGAGTTTGCTGATAACTATTTTAATAAGTCTAATAATGCATGACAACACAGTATGTTTTCGATTCAAATATTATACCATGTTTTTCGTGAGAGGTTATGAGTCTTTTATCATTTAACAAACAATAATATTAGTTTTATGTAATTTTACTGTTATTGGATAAAATAATAATAATATTAGTAATAATAATAATATTAATATATACATATAAATAACAAAAATCATAATAAAATATAATATAATAATATGAATAATTAGTGTTATAATAATAATAATAATAATAATAATAATTATTATTATTATTATTATTATTATTATTATTATTATCATAATACAGTTGTTCTACTTCACAGTAGTTTTTTTGTGGTATTTTTCTTTGATTTTTGTAATTTTATTATTTGATTAAATATTAATAAAAATGTCAATAATTCTTCATACTATGATTATATAGAATAAAATTATTCTCCGTTCTCTATACAGTTTACAGTGTACTCTATACATTATACAGTGATATTTCTTCATGGATTTAATTCATAACTATTATTATTTTATTGTTATTATATTAAATTATATTATTTGCATTCAGAATTTGGATAGTGATGATAATAAATATAATAATGCAATTATTTTTATTTATCCGTCTATGATTATATTAAACATTTAATAATGTTAAATACAGTTCAGTAGTATTTTTAATTGTTTTATAAATTTAATCTTAACAACATAATTAATATTAATATTATTATTATTAACTATTGTCATGAATACTACTACTACTACTACTACTACTACTACTACTACTAATAATAATAATAATAATAATAATACTACTACTACTACTACTACTACTAATAATAATAATAATAATAATAATAATAATAATAATAATAATACTAATAATAATAATAACAATGCATTTATTTTTAGGAATATGATTATGTAAATTACTGTTATTATTGTAAAATATGTACAGTATCTTTATTGATTAAAGTCTAATAGTTATAGTTTATTAAGGCCTAGATATTTAGCAATATATTAATTAAAAGCATTGCTGAGAAATGGCTAACAGTATTGTAGCGGATTATTAATTTGTAAATTTTTAATAATTTACATGCATTTAATCAAATTATTCTACTTTTTATTCTGCTATCTCTCTTTCTTTCCTTCTTTGTCTCTCTCTCTCTCTCGTTAAATAAATGCATATTTACTTTCACTACCCGCAAAAAATGATCCCAGGCCAGTACATTCACAATCAGAGTTTGTGTCCGTCAGCAGGTGTTGTTTTTCGGAGTGTTGTTTTAGGTCTTCTTCTGCTTTGGCACTCATAAACAGCCTGATGGTGTTCACCACATCCCGGCCAACAGGGCTGCAGAAGAGCACGTGGTCAAGCTCACGCTTACAAACAAGCATCTGCAGGTGCAGCACTGACATGAAGCTGTGGTTTTGTTGTCTATAGGTGGTTTTACAGTAACTTGAGTCGGGGTGAGGCGGAGGACTATCTAATGCGGATCCCTCGAGACGGAGCCTTCCTCATCAGACAGAGAGAGGATTCAGACTCGTATGCCATCACATTCAGGTGCTACTCTTTACAAATCCTCAATGCAAATATACGGCAGAAAATGCTTTGAATTAAATGTGAATTTAAGGCAGGTTGCAGGTGAATAGGTAAAACAAAACGGCTATTTCCAGATTTTTCCAGTTATTCCTAATTTTTAATTGTTCACATGAACAAATTGCACACATTTTTAGTATTCTACAAAAACGTAGTATTTGATTTTCTAAAATGTTACGTTTGAATATGCAAATTATTTATTATTATTTCTTTAAGAATGCACTAATTTGCATACATTATTAGCGCAGAAATCTAAACATTGAATAAAGTTGGGTTCAAACATGTGAACATTTTTTTTAACATTGGAGTCAAAGGTTGTTTTTTAAAAAAAGAATTTTTGGAAATCTCTTCTTTTAATTCAGAATTATGCAAACAGACAGACATACTATACAATTTCCATTTTGTTTTGTTGATTAAAATGTGGCATATAATCAGGTAAATTATGTATGCAGAAATCCCTCAGTAAAAATATAATATTGAATATAATATATTTCCCAGTGATGGGTTGCAGCTGGAAGGGCATTCGCTGCGTAAAAACGTGCTGGATAAATTGGTGGTTCATTCCGCTGTGGCGACCCCGGATTAGGGACTAAGCCGAAAAGAAAATGAATGAATGAATGAATGTAATGTATAAAATAAACATAATATAATTATACAATACAGATATGAATGAACTGATAAAGTTTGGTTTACAGTATGTAGGATCCTCTGAGATAGAGATTTATGGCTCAGTGCAGGGGAAAAAACTCATTTTTAGAATATGTGGAAAAAATTTGTTAAAAATATGAATTGTGTTTGAAATCTAATTAGTTGATTTCAAGTGCAAGAAAACATGCATATTAAAGTTTTATTGAAATATTAAAGTTGTATTTAGTATATAGTATATACTTAATATACCATAGTTTATATTTTATTTTGTTTTATGATTGAGTTTACCATGTAAAATGTTTTTAATTATTGAAAATTCAATGCAAATTGTATAACTACTTATTGTTTTCTGTATTTTAATGAGGGTTTAAGTCAGATTAATAGAATTAATTATTTCACATATTATTTATTTTCACAACAACTTAATTATGCACTTAATATTATTTCTGTATAAAAAATAAAAACAAAAATTGGTCAAAAGTTTGGGGTTAGTAGAATTTTTAAATGATTTAAAATAAGCTTATCCTGTTCAGCAAGGCTGCATTTATTTAATCAAAAATACAGTAAAAATATTAAAATTGTGAAATGTCATTGCACTATAAAATAACCATCCAAAGGTTTTCATTTATCTTTTAATTTAATAATTTATTCCAGTGGTTTTAATGATGAATTTTTAGCTTAATTACTCCAGTCTTCAAAGTCACATGATCCTTCAGAAATCACTTTATTTATGGTAATACTAATAAAAGCAGTAATGACTGGAGTAATAATTTCATCTGAAACTACATATAATATAAAAGCAGTTATTTGAATAAATTATTTTAATAAATATTTAAAAAAATCTTGAATAATAATAATTATTATTAAATTATTAATATTTCTGTATTATTTTTTTAAAACTTTATCGGAAAACCCACATAAGCATTTTTGAGTTTTTAATATTTTATATAATAGTGATTGTAATTATTGCCAGTAACATCGTTTTCTTGGCTTTCATGGTCTGAAACAGAGGCGAAGGCTTGGTGAAGCACTGCCGGATACACAAAGACGGCTCTATGTACATTCTGGGCACTTCTAGTGAGTTTGACAGCCTGGTGGAACTAGTGGACTATTTCCGAAAGAAGCCGCTGTATCGAAAAACAAAACTGCGCTATCCTGTTACACCAGAACTAGTAGAGCGCTTCAGTTCGGTAAGAAAAAGCACTCCACCTTCTGTCTTCACTACACACTGTTAGTGTTTGCGTGCAGCGACTGCATTCACTCTTCAAAGTGATCAAGAGCTTGTGCACTTCTTCCTTTGCTCAGGCCACAGTTTGCATGTTACACTCACAAGTTTTCATCTCGAGTTGCTCTATTAGCCTCTTCTCCTTTTTGCAATCAGAGCTCGACATAATAGTTTTGATTTATTAGCACGTGTATAAAATGCACATTTGTTTTTGGATAAACGGTCAGTAAAACAGTTTTAAGTGTTTGGTTTTTCACTTTCTGTGGCTGTGCTAATGTTTTTTTCCTCCTGTCTTCCTGTGGCTAGTATAACATTCAAGCTAAATGTCTGCCGCCTTCCACCACAAGATGCATCTTTTGTTGTCTTCACCTATAAACCAGACTATAACTGCACCAAACACAATTGTGATTAGTAAAATCCAATCGTTTACTCTTTTATTGTATTTTTAATATTTATTTTGTATACCAAATATGATTAACTGCTTATTTGTTTTTGGATAAATGGTCAGTAAATCAGATTTATGCATTTGGTTATTCACTTTCTGTGACTGTGCTAATGTTTTTCCCCCGTCTTCCTGTGACTAGTATAACATTTATGCTAAATGTCTGCCGCCTTCCACCACAAGAAGCATGTTTTGTTGTCTCAATCTAAAAACCAGACTATAACTGCACCTTACATTATTGTGATTGTTAAAATCTAATCTGTTTACTTATTGTATTTCAATATTTATTTTGTATACCACATATGATTGATTAATTATGTGTTGAGTTTTATAAATTTTAATTTTTCATTTTATACCAGACATGATTGTAATTTTTCATTAATATATAGAGTTGAAGTCAACATTTTTAGCCCACCTGTTAAAATGTAATTATTGAACTTTTTTTATTTATATAAGTTCTGTTTCCTGGAAATATTTTTTTTTTCATCACACTTCTACAGTGAATATAATATTTTGAATCCCATATTTGTAATAAGTGATTTATTTTATCTTTACCATGATTATAGTACATCTTATTTTACTGGATATTTTTCAAGATACTAGTATTCAGCTTAACCATTTAATTACCCAACCAAGAAAAAAGTTTTTGGATTGCATTTAATTAATTTTAATATCATTAGTTAACACACTTAATGCATCAATGCAAAACACATCCAATCATTTATAAAATATCTGCCTCTACCAGATATAATACATACTGTATACTATGAAATGTCTAAAAATATTAACTGTGAGACCAATTCATTTTAAAACATAATCAAAATAAAACATTTTTAAATACTAAATTATCTTAATTTTCCTTTAAACATGATTTCTTCTTGTTTTTTTTTTTACAATAAAACCCAAGTCAAGTGTTGTAGTGCAACTATATATATATTTTTTTTTTGTAAACCAACAATGCTGTTTAGTGTAAATCATTATTTAAAACAGTCAAAATATGGTCAACTATTTGGTAGAGCAGGCAGTTAAAGGGTTAAAGTGCAATTTAAAGGCTTAACTAGGTTAATTGGGCAAGTTAGGGTAATTAGGGAAGTCATTGTACAACAATAATTTGTTCTGTAGACAATCATAAAAAACATTGCATTATGGGGCTAATAATATTGACCGTAAAATGGTTTTAAAAATTTTTAAATCTGCTTTTATTCCAGCCGAAATAAAAACAATAAGACTTTCTTCAAAAGACAAAATATTATAGGAAATACTGTGAAAAATTCCTTAATCTATTAAATATCACATATATTACAAATATTTGAAAAAGAATAAATATTGTACAGGAGAGCTGACAGTTTTGCCCTCAACTTTTTGTATGTATGTATGTAAGTATGTATGTATATATGAATAAATGTATTATTATTGTTAAGTTTCAAACTTTTAATTTAGAGTTAAGACGTTAAGTAAACATCTATATTTTTTAAGTTGTTGTATTAAAATAGCAACTATTGTATTACAATAATTTAAGTACTTTTGTACAGTTTAAAACACTGTATTTATAGTATCTATAACCAATAAATATTTATTCATGTGAGTTTTTCCATGTTATATAGTTGTAGAGTGTAAATTAATTTATGGCACACATTATGTTCATATGTAACACAATCAGGCATTACCCCCAGAACATAGTTTGCCTTTATCATGGTACCATTAATAGATGTGAGTGTTTTATCTTTAATAATTTTGCCCTCAACTCTGTGTGTGTGTGTGTGTGTGTGTGTGTGTGTGTGTGTGTGTGTGTGTGTGTGTGTGTGTGTGTGTGTGTGTGTGTGTGTGTGTGTGTGTGTGTGTGTGTGTGTGTGTGTGTGTGTGTGTGTGTGTGTGTGTGTGTGTGTATGTGTGTATGTATGTATGTGTCTATTATATGAATACAGAGCTCAGCATATATTAGTACACCCCTCACAAATCTCTCTTTTAAATTCATATTTTCAATAGGAAGTTATACAATATTACATTTGTGCATAGACTGTACATGAAGCCGAATTTGGAGCTTATCTAACACAATAACTTATGATAACGGTCCAAAAATCTAGTACAGCCAAATGTATATGTTATAGAAAAATATTAAATACAAACTTTAAAAAAAGGAAAACTCAAGAGAAGCAAAAACATTGAAAAATTTAGTTAGTTTTGTAAGTTGTAATTTTTTATTTAAATAGTTTTCTTGAATTTAATTGTATTATCCTTCAATTTGTAAATATGTTTAGTGACGAAACTATTATTTTAATAAATATATCAGTTTTGTTTAAATGCAACAAAATACATTGCCTATATTCACTGAGAAATTGATAAAAATATTAATTTTCAAAATGAATTATGCTAAGCACTGTATATATTATATTACTTTTAAATTAATTAATTTATTTTGTTAAGTTTCAATAAACTTTTCATTGTTTCTTTTACTGAAGCAGAATCCGTTGTCCACCACTAATCTACAACTCAAGACTACTCCGACGTATCGCTTACAATGTCTAGATTATAGATTGTCCTTGATGTCCAAGTCTATCATGCTGACAGAAACATCTTTCTTTCTTTCAGATAAACAAAACAGGTTCGCTGTATGACTCTAAGCAGTATGTTGAGGCTAACGAGATCGAGCCGTCTCTGGTAAGCTCTTTGAACATGCACAAACGCAGGTCATTTGCTGTGGGCTGGGGAGGAAGTGGTGTTGCTGGCTATCTTTCTCACAGAGGAAGCTGATCGTCTCGAAAGAGGAAACACCGCCTGGCTTAAAAACAGCTATGTCATTTTAGCCTGTATGACACATATGTGTTTCTAATGCTAGTGTACTCTTTTATTTTAGACTTTTTACACTGGGTACGTTTACATGGATATCAGCATTACAATTATTAACATTATTCTAAGTAAGACACAATTACGATTATGAAGTTGCTTTTAGAATATTCTTTTTATTCCTATATGAAACAAATACTATATTAATTTATAATAAATACTAAAGTGGTTTTAAACGATACTATAGTAAAGTGTATTATACTGTAAGAATTATAGTATTTACGACACTTTGTCTAATTCAGTTTTTACTACAGAAAAGTGTATGTATAGTAGTAGTATATTGGGTAATTTATTCAGCTTTATAGTTGTTATATTACTTTAGCAACTGTTGAATTACACCAACACTAATTCAAGTACAGTTATACAGTTCAAAACGCTACAGTATTAATAACTAATTACTATAGTATTTTTTTAATATCACAATCCATGTGATTTGTTCCTGCTTACATGTACATGGGCCATATCCGATCTGTGCCACATGGGAGGAAAAAATCGGAAATTGAGTCACTTAAACAGTGCAGTTTAAATGAGGCCTAAAAGTAAAAAGAAAGTAAAGATTTAACTGTTTAACCGTTTTCTCCCTAGTGAAGCGTTAGGCTTTTCCACTTACAAAGTCTGCTATGTAAACAGCAAATGCGCCACGGCATGACAAAACTGACTCTTGGGAGAATGGGAAATGAGACTCTATTGGTTTAATGCACGTTATGCTCAAAACACACCCATAACTCATTACGAGAATAAGCACAACTCTGTTAGACCATGCGCCGGGGTGCAAAGCGAATTATTCCGTCCTTAAAATAGCAACAGTGGGTTCAGATTCACTCTTATTGCTTTTGAACCATGCACTTTAGACTTTGCGCCTAGATTGTTAAAATAGTTATGTTTGATAACTGTAGAGTCAATCTTTTACAACTTTAAAACTTTTTCCTGTTTTGGGTTTTAATGTAATACAGGCGCTGCATAATATCATTGTACCGGCTGCAGCCATGGTACGGCAGCAAAGTTATTCTGCTAGAATTAAGAGTATAGTTCCTAGACATATCAATTTAGAAAATAGCAATTTTACTTCTTTTTTTGTTATTAGTACAGAATCTAATGCCAAAAGAGTGAAGCTTTAATTAGGAAAATTATCAAAAACTCTGTGGTCATTTTTGAGCGAGATGCTAACGGTCTAATCGGATTCAATGATTTATGCTAAGCTAAGCTAAAAGTGCATCCACTAGATCCGGAGATCAGCTCATTGGGTCAAAATGGTCAAATCCAACAGTTTTCCAAAAAAAGTGGAGTGTTCCTTTAATATTGAAGTCCATTTAATGTATTTACTTTGAACCGCTGAGAGTGTTGTGTGGTCTTTTTCATTGCTCTCTTAAAACTGAGTTTATTTTGATGTGTTGCAGCCCCAGAACACAGTGAAGGCTCTTTATGACTACAGGGCAATGCGTCCTGATGAGCTCACCTTTTCAAAAGGTGTTTTGATCCATAATGTGACCAGGGACACAAATGGATGGTGAGATTCTGAGCAAGTTCTGTTGATAAGATGTAATAAATGCAATATTTATTTTTGCAAATAAGCTGCGGCAGTGCAATGATACGATGAGGTATTAAATGATAATGCCACACAATTTTCATAAATACAATGGAAGACTATTAGATACTGTACATGCACCACTACAGAGTGCACTACTGTTCAAACGATTATATTACATTCTATACAATTATATAACGTGTTTTTAACTAGTCTCATAACCATATTGATAGGTATAATACTTTAAAATAGCTGTTTTGTTATGTTAAAAAATGCAGTTTATTCCTGTGATTCAAAGTTGAATTTTCAGCATCATTAATCAGCCTTCATCATGCTAATATTATGATTTGCTGTTGTAGAATTTATTTTAATTGTTTTATTTTATTAAACCTGGCATTTTCTGAATTATTTGATGACCACGAATGCAAAAAAATATTAATTATTAGTTAATTAATTATTATTAAAAAATTAAACCCTCTAAAAGACATTAACTGACAAACACAATTATTATAGTTACAAATATAAATGTGTATAAAATTAAATTAATAAATTAAATTAATAAATATATATATATATATATATATATATATATATATATATACAGTTAAAGTCAGAATTATTAGGCCCCCTGTAATTTTTTTATTATTTTTTTTATATTTCCCAAATGATGTTTAACAGAGCAAGGACATTTTCACAGGATGTTTGATAATATTTTTTTCTTTCTGGAGAAAGTCTTATTTGTTTTATTTCGGCTAAAATAAAAGCAGTTTTAATTTTTTTAAACACCATTTTAAGGAAAAAATTATTAGCCCCTTTAAGCCAATTTATTTTGATAGTCTACAGAAAAAAAACATCATTATACAATAATTTGCCTAATTACCATAACCTGCCTAGTTAACCTAGTTCTGCCTTTAAATGTCACTTTAAGCTGTATAGAAGTGTCTTGAAAAATATCTAGTCAAATATTATTTACTGTCATCATGGCAAAGATAAAATAAATCAGTTATTAGAAATGAGTTATTAAAACTATTATGTTCAGAGATGTGTTGAAAAAAACTGCTCTCCGTTAAACAGAAATTGGGAAAAAAAACAGGGGGGCTAATAATTCTAACTTCAACTGTGTGTGTGTGTATAAATATATATATATATATATATATATATATATATATATATATATATACAATATATATAAATTACATTTTACAAATGAAAAGATTGTTTTTCTATCTTAAAAATAAACTATCTTATCTTAAAAATCATATCTTCATGATATTACCAATGGTAAGCTGTCCAAGTATCATGTAACTTTTATATTAGTGCAGCCTTGTAGGCTCTGTTTACATCTGGCTTTAAGATCTGTATATCTATTTGATCTCTTTTATCTTTTGTCCAGTTTGGATCACTTTGCTGTACTTTACGAGGCCATGGTTTATGGATGGGGGAATTATAGTGCTTTTTCTGATCTAATAGTGCAAATTAAGCTCACATAGTTAACATGAATGCTGGGGAGAGCAGCATGAACAAAAACAGAATGCTGTGGGTTTGTTTTAGAATCAAGACTGCTAAGAGGACATTAAGAATTTTATGTCACCTGCGAGCCAAACATATTTCAAATAAGAAGTTTAAATTCTGTCTGGTTTTAAATGCTTCAACAACACATCTCATAATGTTTAAAAATTAGGTCAGTAGGCGGAGAGTAGGTCATTTCTTCTTCTTTTTTTTTTTTTTTGAGTGGCTGTTTGAACACACTTGACCACACAATCCTTCAAATTATGACAGCAATCATGTCACATGTGTGACCTCTGGAAGTTGTCTGGAAGTGGTCAAAAGCAGACAAACTTGAAAACATAAAAAAAAAACATTCACACCTGTACTTTTTGTCATCTACTTGTGATCAGGCTGACAAAAACCGCATCTTAATAAATGCATCAACACACAATTCTGTCAAAAACAGTTATCTTATTTACTGAAATGAAACATTCATCAAGTGTCTTAAAAGCCACAGGGTGATTTTTAATTTTTTAAATACCATATGATGATTTCACCAGCATTACATTTTTTCCCTGTCTATCTTCTGATCCGTACAGGTGGAAAGGAGACTATGGTGGAAAACTCCAGCACTATTTCCCTTCAAATTACGTAGAAGAAGTCCAATCTGATGCCAATTACCAGGTAAAGCATATAAAACATTTGGATATTCAGCATTCCAGATATGCCATTTGGTGCTAGTTAGTGCAGTATTTTGCATGCCGATTTGCTTACATACACAGAGAGTGTCTTGAACATCAACATTAGATGTTCTCTTTCAGCCCGAAGAGGAAAATCCATTAGGTGAATTGTGTAAAGGCACAGTGGACATCTCAAAGTGCACTGTTGGTAAGAGTACATCATTTTTATATGTTTTTTAAATGAACTTTAAGACTTAGACTTAATTAACAATTAATTAAAGGGGTAGTTCGTCCCAAAAAGTAACTTCTGTCATCATTTACTCTATTGTTCCACACCTTTTTGAATTTCTTCTGTTGAACACAAATTAATATACAGTAGACTGAAAAACTTCCATTGTATTTCTTTGTTTTTACTGTGGATGTCAATGGATGCTGGTTTATAACATTCTGCAGAATATATAGTATTGTGTTCAACAGAAGAATTACATTTCTAAAAGTTTAGAACCACTTAAATGTTCCTTTTTTGGGTGAACTACATGTAAAACTTTCATCCTTTCTATTCGCACAGCATTTCAATGGTCAGTTAAGCAGAGACATCATTAACAGTTTTGAGATGCTTGCAGCTTATGTTTAACATTTGGGAATAAACTAATATATGTACAGTAATAAAAAATATTATCTCACATAAAATCATGCAGGCATCATTTGCCAATGTTTAGGTCTGAGAAGACATTTATAATACAGTGTGTATTGTCCATTAAACATTAAATGCTTGTACAGTGGTCCCTCGATGTTTGCGGGAGTTACATAACACGCAATAGGCGAAATCTGCGCTCTGTGCAGTCTAATAAAACACACAACATATTAAAGCGCCTTTGGTGTTTCATTGTTTTCTATAAAACCAATCCAGAAATCGAGGGTGTATGAGATCAGTAGCATGGTCATACATACTGTAGACCACGGTGTTAACATTCATAAAAACCTTTAAATAATGTTAAGTACATGTCAGCAAATTATTTAACACTCTTCTAATGGTTTCTGGATATTTTAATGAAAACATTTTACATTTTGTTCCTGTAAATCGATTGGTCGATCGTGGGAATTTAGCTTGTTTTTCTCACTAATTTCTTTGTTTCCAGTTCGCTCTGCCAAACATGGCAAACAAGTGGTGGTAACTCTGCAGTATAAGGAGGATAAAGAGAACATGATGCCATTTGATTTGGCCACCGAGACCACTGAAGAGCTGTACGAGTGGTATCAGGTGGCCTGGGACATTACGCAGAGAGAGGAAAACCTAGTGTTTGAGGTCTGTCTCGTTCACATTTTTTTTTTCTAAATGGGGCCGACTGGGGCTAGTTGTCACAAAGGGGAAGTTTTGAGTCACTTGTCTGGTAAATACAGTATTATTTAGTTTAGCCAGACAAATTCAGGGGTGTTTAAATACTAGGTGTAGCCATAGAGAGAAGATTTAACTATAAAGATGTTCTAAAAATACAGTATAGTCAAGTATTTTGAGTGTAAGGTTGAGGTGGGGTTTATAAATGGTGACAATTCTTTTGCAGAAAGAAAAAACGAAGGAAGTGGAGACCAGAGATGAAGTGGCCAGTGAGATGTCAGAACTGGTTGTTTACTGCCAGCCACGCAGCAAAGAAAAGGACGGCTTTGGTATAGAAAATCAATATTTTTTTAAAGAAATTAATCTTTTTGTGTATTATAATGTTATAAAATCTTTTTTTCTAATAAATACTTTCATTTTGAATATCAAAAAATGTCTATCTGAAATAAATGAACTAATACTATGACTAATAAAAAAAGATTACAGTTTTTTCTAAAAAACAATAAGCAGCACAACTATTTTCAACACTGACAGTCATAAATGCTTCTTGAACAGCAATTCTTTCAGAAATCATGTGACACTGAAGAATTACTGACCCAAAGATAAATCAACTATAAATGTATTTTCTTTCCCATTAAGATAATTATACCTACAAAGAAGTCCGCTCCTTCGTAGAGAATAAGACGCCCTCCAGAAACAAGCTGACTCAGTTCATGTTGTATAACCGCAAGGCTTTGAGCCGCATCTATCCTAAAGGCCAGCGGGTGGATTCCTCCAACTATGACCCGTATCCGCTGTGGATGTGTGGCTGTCACATGGTAGCGCTCAACTTCCAGACGGCTGGTAAGATGAAGTGTCTGCAACGCATGGAGTAATGCATCCTATTAACATGAACTTTTTCCTACAAATTATTGTATTTGTGGCTATTTCTGCTCCCACTACACCCCTCAAAACAGGCCAGATATTGACTACAGAGGTGGGACCAAGTCATTGTTTGGCAAGTCACAAGTAAGTCTCAATTCATTGCCCTCAAGTCCCGAGTCAAGTCCCGAGTCAAGACAGGCAAGTCCCGAGTCAAGTCCCAAGTCAAAGGCAACAAGTCTCAAGTCAAGTCCAAAGTCCTATAGTTTGATTTTCGAGTCTTTTCGAGTCTTTTTAACAGAAAAATGAACTGTAAACAGATTATGTATGGTTGTAAGATCTGTATTTATTAAACAAACCTTTTTTTATGAAAGAACATATAGAAGATATATAAAAACACAAATGTAATTTTCTGAAAAAGTGCTAAACAGTGCTGCATCTTGTCTAAACAGCACATTGCACAAGAACGAGTTCCACTACAATAGAGTCCATTTTGCCTCACATCACACAGAAATTGCAGGTCTACTGCTGTCTAGTTCATTAAGTTTAGTTGTGCTATGTTATGTCTTCTGTGATCAACTTGTGATTAACTAAAACTACATAAAATGCAATGTAAAATTGTGGCACATATTCTAAATGAAGTTGGCTACTTTATACAAACATTAACGTTGTTTTTTTCACATAACAATGAAGAACTTTGCTCTCTACCTTGTGTGACGCTCGTGCACCGATTTCCTCTGTGGACAAAACTGCTTGCGAGCTCTGAAATATACGCTGCTCACGCGCAAATTTTCTCGCTCTCAAATATGCAGTGCTCACGCACACATTTTCCTGCGTGCTCTCAGAGATTATATACAGATTTTGAGTCTTGTGTTTCCTCTTCCTTTCGTGCTTTTTTATATGATTTATATTGAGGGACTATTTATTAACAAAAACCAAAATACTAAAATAGACTTACATATTAAATTTTTAATCTAATAAACCATAAAATTTTGGCTGTATGTTTTATGATGAGATATTTCCAGTTACAAACACTTAAAGACACAGAGAATAGATGTTGGATGTAAAGAATGTATTTTGTTTTACAAACATTTATTAATCATCCGAAAGGTGTACCATACTAATCAAATAAAAAAAAACATTTAAACAAAAATATAACTAATGCAAGCAGAAATGTAACTGTGATAAAAATAAGGAAAAACTTGATTTGGCATTATAGCCTACTGTACTATTCACTCTTTAAATAAATCTCACTATCAATCCCATTTTATCATGGCAACTAAAATAAAATGAACACGTCTCTGCTGTCTTCCACATTATTTATGAGATTGTGGAGGACATTTTCCATGTCATCCTCTTCATTTTGAGGAAAAGCTGTTCCACAGGGCCCCTGAACACATCTATTGGCATGGACAGTGTTTTGAACAGTACTATAGTAAAGTACTTTAATTAATTTGTTGGGGTCATATTATAGTTGCTTTGGTAACACAAGTGTAATATAAACAAATTACCCAGTGCTGTAGTTTTTTACAATATAGGGTATATTATACTACAATTCACCACACTTTACTGTAGAAAAACTACACTCTGTATTTTATTTTATCAGTTCACTATTCTTAATACTAAAGTATGCTGAAGCATTCATTAACAACTTGTAAATAATACTAGGCTTAAACATAGGCAGTATACCTTATTCTCAAAAACACTAGCATTTATTATAGAATTTACCTTAACCTCATAGTTTTTAATGTATTGTTACTAAATAGTGTAGCAATATATAAACCATATTAACATTCTGGAATAATCAATTTACCAGGAGGATCTCTGGAGAGCAAAAGCAGGAAAGGTTTGAGGCGCCAGTGTGGACAAAAGTCAAGCAAACGCAGTGAGACTGAATACGTGCACGAGAGACCAGCCAATCAGATTGAAGTACCTGCCCACTGGTGAAAGTAATGTCAGAGCCAATCAGATTTTTCTTTCTTTTCATAAAGAACGGGGTTCAAATCCCACTTAGGCACTTGTAAACTATCATTTTAGACCATTTTGTCAAAAATCCCTACTGAAAAAAACAGCTTGAACCAGCCTAGGCTGGTTTTAGCTGGTCGACCAGGCTGGTTTTAGAGGGGTTTTGGTCATTTCCAGGCTGGTTTCCAGCCATTTTCAGCCTAGTCTTATCTGGGCAGGCTGGGAGATGACCAGCTAAAACCAACTTGACCAGCCTATAGCCAGGCTGGGAGCCCAGCCAAACCCAGCTATGTCCAGCTTAAACCAGGCTGGTCAAGCTGGTTTTAGCTGGATTTTGCTGGTCAATTCAATTCAATTCAGCTTTATTTGTATAGCGCTTTTACAATGTAGATTGTGTCAAAGCAGCTTCACATAAATGGTCATAGTAACTGGAACAGTGTGGTTCAGTAACTGGAACAGTGTGGTTCAGGTTTTAGTGTTTAAGTTCAGTTCAGTTCAGTTTAGCTCAGTTCAGTTTCCAGCCTGACCAGCTAAGACCAGGCTGGAAATGGCTGGAAACCAGCCTAGAAATTACCAAAACCCCTCTAAAACCAGCCTGGTCGACCAGCTAAAGCCAGCTTACCAGCCTAGGCTGGTTTAAGCTGGATTTTTCTGCAGGGATATTGTTATGTTTAACAATTTATTAGAGCCACAAATTATCTAAAACTTGTTTTCATGTTTGAATAGGCAATAAATGTGCTAAATAAATTAAAATAGAAATACCCACAGTGAAACAGTTATATAAATTTAAATATTAGTTTAAATACATTCATAGTGGTTTTAAATATATTTTAATATGTAAAGTAGAGTTCAAATTCAACAAACTGAATAAAACAAGTCTTCGTTTTTAGTTTATTTAAAAACAATTACAAATGGAGTAATTCAACTCACAATTAAATGATCTCATTGAGTGATGGAATAATAAAGGTAAAACTTTAATTGAATGATCAGTCAAGTGTTTTCCAATGAAATCTGTTAAAATAAGAGTCCTACAAAACAGGAACAAAGACACTCATGAAACGAAATGTGATTGTCAATTGTATTTTTTATTAGATGGTTGGTTTTAAGTACCTTAAAAATAGTAGATAAGCCTTAAATATAGAGGGGGAAATACAGAAAAACAAACAAACAGAAATTCAACAATATAGATGCATTACATTACAATCTCGCAATAAAAAATTAATTAAAAACCATATAGAGGAATAAAATATTGCTAAGAGGCATAACATCAACAATAATACAAATACTTTTAAGGTTTTAAATACTAAATAAAATTAATAGTATCAATCCAAAATATGAAAAAGGTAACACTTTACAATAAGGTTGTATTAATTAATTAAGTTTATCTATGTACTAATGTGAACAAACAATGCAGTGAAGTACAGTTACAAATCATTACAGTATTCATTAATTAATGGAAATAAAATTATTGGTTAACCTTTGTTAAATCACAGTGCAATAACATTAATGTTAACAAGCATACCTTTAAATTGTAATTATGCAATAGTAAATGTTAAACTATAATTAATAAAGGTTTAAAAGTATAGTTCATTATTAGTTTATGTTAGTACATAGATTAACTAAAAAAAACCTTATTGCAAAATGTTACCAAAAAATAACAAAACACTTTTTTCACAGTTTTAAGAGCTTTAAAAATAAATTATACATATCTAGTTATTATGGCATGTAATTATTATTACTACTAATTAAATAGTTAGAAAAAACTGTCAGAGGATGGGCAATACACAAAAATAAAACATAATATGCGCATTGACACAAACGACCAAGTGCAAAAACATAAATTACAGCCATGTTCATTCATAATTATGTGAAATAAATGACGAGAGGGTAAGTTTGGTTAAAAAAACTGAAGTTCATTGACTTATGCACAACAGTAAAACAATGCTTTTGCACAACAGTAACACATTGCGAGTAGTTAAGTATCTTACCTTTGACAGATGTTGTAAATCCGCTGAATAAAACAAAAGGAGTAGATCGCGGATGTGTTTATTTCACTCTCCGAGTCAGAATGAAAATGGCATCTTCAAATTTCCCGCTGGTGCAAAAACACGGAAGTGCGCCACAAAGCGCTAGTGGTCGAAAGTATGCGCGCATGCTTTCTGTCTCACACACACACACAGAGAGATAGAGCGCTCCGTGTCAACATACTTTTTATCTTTGGGCTTTTTATAGAAAGTAGCAAGTCTTTACAAGTCAATAGGCGCAAGTCCAAGTGAAAGTCCGAGTCATTTATGTTCAAGTCCAAGTCGAGTTGCAAGTCTTTTCATATTTTGTCAAGTCGAGTCTGAAGTCATCAAATTCATGACTCGAGTCTGACTCGAGTCCAAGTCACATGACTCGAGTCCACACCTCTGATTGACTATATTAAATAGAATTATAAACACTTTAACATAGTATACTACTACCTTTAGGAATAACAGTGAATTGCACTTGCCGAGCCATTAGACTATTGTTGCGCAGGAAAAGTATACATGCACTATTACATACCTTTGGTCAATAGTAACCCTATAGACTTATTACAAATCATTCTTTACAAACAGAAGATCTAGGATCTTGTGTGCAGCATTAACAGAAATGTCCTTAACATTAAAATAAGTCAATCATAGATAATCAAGAAGTGGGGAAAGGTCATGTTTTTTTAAGTTTCATTTCAAGCTGTTCAAACACTGGCAACATATAATTGATCTTTAATCAACTCTTAATATCAACCTTTAATGCTAAAAATGTGATAAAAGAATAAAGGCCCATTCACACAAAGCATGTGTAAGGTACAGCCGGTTAGTCCAAGGACGGTGTCTACTGGTGAACGAAGGTTCACTGCATGTTCGGTCTTTCCAGTGCACAATGTTAATTTACTTTAAATTTAACTCATATCTGACTCCAATTTTAGGTATGAGGTGGTTTAGAATATTAATATATGTATGCTTGTTTTATCTGACTCCAATTATAAAACATCGATAAGATTATTTTGTTTCTTTTAATATTAGTTTAGATTATGATTTAATATTCTCTTTGATTCATTATTTTATATTATTCTAGTTCATTCGGATTCCTATAACATCTTGAGTCTTGTACCAGCCGAGTATACAATCTCTTAAGCGCAAGCATGTCAGTCTTGGTCACTAAACAGAGGCGATTAACCGCTATTCTAAAAAGGCAGAACCGTACTTACTCAGATTAGATTATTTTTTGTGTGGTCCTCATAGATCTGCTATCTATTAAATCAAACAAAGCTGTTTAGTCATACTATGATCATTACTATAGAATTAAGCAGACTTAAATTTAAACTATTAATAACTTTAAAACTAACTTTAAACTATTAAAAGTAATCACTATACGATTCAAATAGTATTATAAGTTTAAAGATGAAGGTCTATTTATCTTAGATAGCCTTTTACAGTATAAGTATACTTAAATTAATGCCAATGTGTTAGTTGGAGCTCTAAGAACATTTTATAGCATGCCACGCTGCTCCGTTTATCGTATTTTAGTCTTTTACTAACCTGTACAGGGGCTTGTGGTGCTATGGACTTAACAATCTACTAGATATAATAACACGAACTCTGTTTGAGTAATTCAAAACATAATTCATTAGTCAGGTAAATGTTTGTTATGCAAATTCATTTAGTCAATTCATAAACGATCAATACATCAAATTTTCAAAGATAAATCCAAGATTAAAAGATACATACTTGACCTCAAAATATACAGTGCATAGCATGGAACATGAAGTTCCACACTACGGGCTAATCTGATTACAGAATCGCCTCGAATATTTAGAAGCTTTTCCTTAAGTAGTCAGTACAAAAATCTCCACGAGGAAAGAGGTGTGTTGAATAACAAAAGGCATTTGCATTTAGTGGAAGAGTTTCTGCCTATAGGCATTTGAATAGAAGCCCCTAGGTAAAGGCACACCCTTCGCAGGGCTTCAGAAGATATCTGAAGCTATATGTCTATTTTGATTATGTCTATTTCTGAGGGAATGAGACCATTGTACCAGTCGCACTGAAACATTTCAAATGATATCAAACATGATAGATAAAGTCACTTGGATTAATATAGAACACTCAAACTTTGAAATGACCATTCTGTGTGATTTGGGTGAAAAGGGAGTGAGTGAACAGTGGGGGTTTTCGGGAGATGTTTCAAATGAAAATGAAGGAAAGGAGAGGAGCTAGCTTTCCCACATTCCCACCTGGTTGGGTGGATACAATTGTCTCTGTGTTTCCAGCTCATATTTGAATTGTCAAAGACATCAAAGTATTTGTAGTATTTCAAATAGGGTTGTAACGGTATGAATTTTTTACGGTATGATAATCGTCTAAAACAATACCACGGTTTGACGGTTTCGCGGTATACGGTATGTTACAAATGTTACAAAATAATAGAACAGTGAAGCAAATTTGACTTTTTCCAAATGATATATTTTTAGTTACTATAAACAATACCACTTACAATGAACAAATAAAAAAATAAGAAAATAATAAATAATGTGTCAGAGTCCAAATAAAGTCCAAATAAACATGGTGCAAATCCTCAGTAAAAAAATAGATATAAATATTTACTATACTATAAATAGTTACATAACGAAACTAGATTCAATATGGAACATCCTTAGGTTTTATGTGCCAGCATGGATATGGTTGTCTGCAATGCAGACAAACAGCTGCACCTTCATTTGCGTCTTTTGAAAACAGCAAGAGCAGCAGTTCGTCTTTGCAGTGTCACTGTTTTGTCATGTTTCTGTGCTGCTGTGCATGCAAAAGTACTTAGTATGAGAATTATTTCATGCAAAACTTTTTTTTTTTTGCGTTTTATTTAGCCGCGCATAAATGTATGCCTATCTCTCATTCCTTGTTGTTCAAAAAGCTCACTGTTGGTCCACAAACAAAAGCGAAACCTATGCTTATTGGTTGTGATATAGCGAGTTTGAACCAATCTGGGCATGGAGGAGTGACAATGCATCAATGTATCATGTCTGGTTTGTCCGGAGACACAGTGACGAGCGTTTCTTTGTCAAATCAGCGTTGTCAAATTATGTGATACAGCACTGGAAAGCTGAGATTCTCTTCTTTATGCCAATCTTTGAATTGTATGAATCGGATCAGCGGATCAAAAGTTATAAAACATTTAAGAGCAATACTTATTTTTAGCCGCGGGCGGCTGTCTCGGTCTTTAAGGGTTAAAACCGTTGATATGCAATTGTTCATGGTATGATAATCGTGCACGTTCAAATCGTGGTAGACCGTCATACCGGTATCTTGTTACAACCCTAATTTCAAATCTTAAACATGACAATGATAAACAAATTCCCCTTTTGCAACCATCAGATGTCCTCAGTGAGCTACTAGCGCATTTGACCAATGAATCCAGCTCGTATAATTTATCATTCTTTCCCATAACCAATTGTTTTCTAGATAATCATCAATTTTCTTTAATTAATCTTTGAAAAAAGAACTTTGTGTTAGCTATACATATGTTTAACTTGACTTCAATTAACATCAAGCAGTGTGCTTCTCCACAGTGTTGTCTGTAGCTTTAAATTGCAGTGTATTCTGACTGGCTGTCAGTGTTTTATCATTTATTACTGGAGGAAGTTCTGAATTTGATCCTATCAATATCGTTTCTTCACATCTTTATTATTACACTTGTGGTCTGGGTGTTTTACTTTCAGAATGATTTTTAGAACACTATCTTTATCATTATATCTATAGGTATCATGCTCAGTGTGGACATGCCTTAACTAGTGCTAAGACTGAGTGTATATTTACAGAGAAAAAAATCTTAAATATTTTTCACTCAGCTAATAAAGAAATATAACATAACAGCACTTCTTCTCTTTTCAGATAAGTACACTCAGCTGAACAGCGCCCTCTTCAGTCTAAATGGAAGCACAGGATATGTACTGCAACCTGAGCTGATGCGCAGAGATTCATATGACCCTCAACAGGAGAGGAAGAACATCAAATATACTATCGGAATCAGAGTGAGACATGATCTTCGTGTGAACAGAATACAGTCTGTTTTGGAACTGTGCTATTTGAATAAAAGCATATCATTCCTAATGTATTATTTTCCTGATGCTTAGGTGATTGGAGCACGGCATCTTCCCAAACCAGGACGAAGTATTGCCAGCCCCTTTGTGGAGATTGAGCTGTGTGGTCAAACAGATGAGAGCAAATTCAAGACTACCGTTTGCCGTAAGCAGCATCATTTGTTGTCACAGAAATGCAACCATAGTTTTATTCATTTTTAATTACTATTTAGCAGTTTTATTTATTTTTAGTTAAATTTTAGTAATCGTGTTGTACTTTTTTGTTTTCTATATTAGATTTTACACAGTTTAAATATCAAATTTAACTGAATTGTCTAAATACAATTATTTTTATATGTATTATATGTATTTGTTTTATATGTATAGTTTTAGTTAACTAAGAAATGTGAAAAGTGGTGAGAGAGGCTTATTTTTTTCCCCAAACCTATTTAAAGAATCATTTGTATTATTTTATGAGAATTTGACCCTATAAAAAGGTAAATATTTAGAACTACAAGTAACAGAAGTAACCAATATAATATTCTATATATGTAATATGATATTCTATAATATTCTATCATACTTCTCATCTAACTGGTAGCTACATGAACTAGTTATCCCCTGAGCATTATATAAAGTATGAACAAATTATTAATACATAATAATATTAAATATAATAATGATAATACAATTATTATTTTTAATAAATGCTTTTGTCTGATGTTATTAAAGGGATAGTTCACCCAAAAAATACAATTTCCTCACCATTTACTTGCATTCAAGTGGCTCTAAACTTTTTGGAATTTCTTGTGGTGAACACAAAACATGATGCTCTAAACAATGTTGGAAAAAAGCTGTTACTGACATCCATAGTATGAACCAAAATAATATGGAAGTCAATGGCTCTTCAGTATATCTTCCTTTGTGTTCAGCAAAAGAAAGGCACTCAAACAGGTTTGGAGCAAGAGAATGATGAGTAAATGCTGACAGAACATTCATGTTTGGAGTAACTATTCCGATAAGTATTCCCATTCAGCGGTTTTAATGAAATACATGTATCTACAGATGACAATGGGCTGAACCCTATATGGCAGCCTTCAGAGATGTTTGTTTTCAGCGTGTATGAGCCGGACCTCACCTTTCTACGCTTTGTGGTCTTTGAAGAGGACATGTTCTCTGACCCAAATTTCCTTGCCCAGGCTACATTCCCAGTGAAAGGTGTCCGCTCAGGTAAGCTTGTCGACATTTTAACAACATGCATATTTAAGCTCCAAAACTGAGCGTGATGTTTTCACAGGCTACAGATCGGTTCCTTTAAAGAATGGCTTCAGTGAAAATCTGGAGCTGGCATCTCTACTGGTCTGTGTTGATGTACAGCAGGTGGAGGTAAGAAACAAGTGGCTTTTTCTTGGAGATATTATTTATTTCAGTAGAAAATAACTGAATAAAAAGATGATTTTTTTTCTTTTTAAGTGTTAGTAACTTCGTTACTTTGTATGGTAAGTAATGTGTTACGTTACTTTTGCGTTTCTTTTATTACCTGGCTGAGGCTTGATCTTTTTGAGAACTTGATTTGTTTTTCTTTCTCTTTTGAATAGAGGAGCTCTGATATTAACAAAGCACTGTATAACCTACAGCTACATTTAACTTTTAAAAACACATAAAAAAATATATATTTTAGGATATTATCCCAGAACTTCCTGACCTCAGAGCTCTACATGCCTTATAAACAGATTATTCATTCATTTTCTTGTCGGCTTAGTCCCTTTATTAATCCGGGGTCGCCACAGCGGAATGAACCGCCAACTTATCCAGCTAGTTTTTACGCAGCGGATGCCTTTCCAGCCGCAACCCATCTCTGGAAAAACATCCACACACACATTCACACACACACTCATACACTACAGACAATTTAGCCTAACCAATTCACCTGTACCGCATGTCTTTGGACTGTGGGGGAAACCGGAGCACCCGGTGGAAACCCACGCGAAGGCAGGGAGAACATGCAAACACAGAAACACCAACTGAGCCGAGGTTCGAACCAGCGACCTTCTTGCTGTGAGGCGACAGCACTACCTACTGCGCCACAGCCTCGCCAATATACAGAATATTAAACGTTAAAGAGCAATGTGTTTTCTACTTTTATACTATTTGTCTTAAGTAAACTCACTGTCCATTGAGACAATCCCCTTTTCTTTTTCTTTGATGCATTCAAAATAATAAACACATTCTCTCATTGACTGCATGATTCATTGTGACTACTTTCATTTTTAATTCAGCAGTTTATTTTTTAAAAGCTAATTTATTAAACTAAAAAGTAACTCGCATTATATTTTCAAAGGAACTCAAATATTATCTTATTATATAAAAATAATGCGTTACTTTAGTTACTTACACAGTATAGATCCAGCAGATGATGTCATCATAGTTGAGTAAACTTAGAGCACAATAAATGGAAGAGTACAACTAATTTTTTTTGTCTTATTTGCTGAAATAATAAAAGAAAAACTTGTCGATGATGTTATCAAGACTTTCAAAAAGGAGTGTGAGATTGATAACGGCAGCCAGAAGAGAGAAAAATGTCAAATTTACTATCCTACTCATCATTACAAATACCTCCTCGCATGAGCGATGTGAGTGCGCATCATGGTTTCAGTTTCATTCTTACTCAATCCGTGTCCAATAAAGAAGTCTATGTAGTCTCTTGTCAGATGTTGTCTTTTAATCTTCACTCAGAGATACATAAACAAATAAAAATAATCAAAATATAACATCAAATTTCAAACATCACGGATGTGGTAAAGAACACTGTGTGACTCCACTTTTAGAGAACGCAGTGCCGTCAGACTTAACAGACGCAATTCTAAATAAAGAGCCTGCACACAATTTTTAACATGCTTCATATCCTCAATGCAAAATGCACAGAATATCCCTCTGAACAGCACATATGAATAATGTAAGTTCATAAATGCAAATAATTCGAAACAAAAATATTCAAAACTGAAATGCATCATATAAACTAACATTAGTTATTGAATCTGAGCAAATAGGCTACTTCAAGCGATAGTTCACTTATAATAGAAATGCCCTAATAGAAATATATGCAAACTAGTGCATATGTAATGAATTAATGGAACACCTGAGGTGTCATCCCTTAATGAGACTACTATGTAGATCTAATGGAAATCCCCTGTCTGACTTGTTTCTTTAGAAAGCACAGGAGGAACTTTACTCCTCCTCGAAACAGTTGCAAAAGAAGCAGGCGGAGATGAGCAGCGAGTTCTGCCTTTACGACACTCACTCCAACCTGCGCTCCAGTGGCCCTCAACGCCGCGAAGACCTCTCGCAGTTCACTTACTCTGAAAAAAAGTGAGTTCATGGTTTTTGTGTGTGTAAGTAAAAAGATACATCACAGCCTCAATGAAGATATTTACCTCTATCCATTTCTTCTTATCCATACAGGATAAATAAACCACAGCAAAAGATAAACAACAGCAAGTTCTACTCGTGAGGGAAACGGGCGCCTCTAAGTCTAGTTCCCTCTCAAACTGCATTGAACATTTTTAAGGGTCTCTTCCTCTTGATTCTGCTGCTCTAGTACTACTGGTTCCCCAACAGGCCACAAAGACAGGAAGTTGCAGTTTTTCACTTCTGTGGTCACAAAGGACCAAATTGGAGAGAGCGTTTGAGAAATGCTCATCAGAAAAAAAAAAAAAAATCTATGTAGTAAGTGTAATCCGTCAGCTAGATGTTCGACCCAGACCACAGAAGCTGAAATTAATTTAAATTAAAAAGTGCATGAAGGTTTTTTTGTGTATGTTAACTGTGATAATTGTTAGTATGTTATGCTTTTTTATTCAAATTTTTTACACGACACCGTTTCTTATTAAAATCGAGATTTGTATGTGATTCTGGACCACAAAATCTTATGTTTATATTTTTGGAAAAAGTCAATAATTAAAGTGGCCGAGAGAGCTTAATGTGCTGCATACACGTTAAAAAATGCGCTGCAATTTCCCACAACGCAAACAAATTAATAAAATATGCTGCAAGTTGTAGGTGAACTTTGAAAGTGAGTTTTTTGTTTGTTTATTTTAACGTCCTGATTTCCTTGTCTTCTGTATTTCATTAGCCTTAACATTCATATCCTAAATAGCTGGGTCCGTCACATTTTAGAGTCTATTTAATACATTTCTGTTGCGTTGTGAGAAAATGCTGCACGTTTTATTGTTTGCTCTTCTCAATTTGCTGGTGTTTTTTGTAATTACATGCATTTTCTTAAATTGCAGCACAGTAAGCATTCTGGACCACCTTAAATAATCAATGAATGGGTCAAAAATGATCGATTTTTCTTTTATTTAAAAAAAAATCATTTGAGCATTTAGTAAACGTCATTTATCACAGGTTGTACTACTAAATGTTTTTTTTTTTATCTGTTTACTAGCATGAACAATGAACAATACATTTAGGGCAGTATTTGTTCATATTTGTTAACATTAGTTAATGAAAAATACAGATTTTTTTATGTCAAAAACCATTTGAATATTAAGTATAGATCATTTTCCACAATTATATTTGTACATTTCCTACTGCAAAAATATCAAAACTTAATTAAGTAATATGCATGGCTAATCGAATAATTTTTACAAATTTAAAAATAATTTTCTCAACTCAAATTTTTTTTAACTTAGATTTTAATAGTCCTAATTTCTAATGTTCTATTCTGATAAAGTATCACGTGATGTATAAATCTCAATTTTAAAACACTGACAGGTTTTGTGGTCCAGTGTCACATACAGTACTATGAGTTTTGCTCATTTGTTTCCTCAACAGTGTGAAAGTGTATGTTTTTGAAAATGCTACTGCTATTGTATCTGTGATGTTATGCATATGCAACATCTTCAGTTTATATGTGTGACGACTTGACAACCAAATCAACAATGGTGGACTACAGGACAGTATGTGCTTCTTCAAGAAGTGTGTTTCTTCAAGAAGTGACATCACCAACTATTGGCCTAGCATGTTTTTAGTCAATTTACTGGTAATAGATATCATTGGGATCATAAATGATTGTCACCTAAACAGAAATCTTTCACTTTTTGGTACATCATTGTTTTATAAAAGTGCTGTTATCTAGATGTTTTTTTTTTCATTTGCAGCTGTGCTAAACTTTTTTTTTCCATCTCAAAGTTTAAAATAACAATCAAGACATGTTATTTATTTTGTTTCTTTCTAGTTTTAATATGCATATGGATGAGGGAAGTTTTATCATGTTTGGTTGGATGATATACAGCCAGTGGATTGTCAGAAAATAATTATAATGACCATTTAACTATGGATTATCTTGATTATGTCATGGCTACTCACCAAATAAATAAATATGGGCATCAAATATTAATTAGAGTTTTATTATTGTATTTTTATTATCTATTCTAAAACAATTCACCTTGTACTTTTTTCCTCTGCTGTATTTTAAGCTTTTGATTTTGTCCGCATCAACTGTTTCACTATATTTTAAGCTAGCAGTTAAATAGTTTTCTCTGGTTTTAAGGTCTCAGGCAGTATATTAAAGGGGTAACACTGTCACATTGGAATTATAAGGTTCTATCTGCATTCTGAAAGATTTTGAGATATTGAGCTTTAAAGTTTTTGCATTACATAGTGCAAGTGTTTTCAAACTGTGGGTCGCACAGTGAACAAAGGTAGGTCACGCAACGTCACATAGCTGCAGCTATATTTACATTGCGGCGAATCAAAACCAGTACGATAGATGGCAATAACTCAAAAACCTCTTACCCTAAAAATATCTAAAGTGTGTTTCCTACAAAAAGACAAAGCTGGTTATGTATGCGGAGCTCTCAGTAAGAGACCATCGGAAAAGTGCTTTTTTTTTTTTTTTTTTTTTTTGCTCCGTCCTGTGTTTTATTTAAAACACTACTAATTTTCTCTTAAATGAGCACAAACAGTTACTAAAGTAGTCGAATGCTTCATTATAGATCTATGCAAATACAATTAAAAGTGAAGTAGATTTTATAGCTTTATTTAATTTCTGGATAGGCCATTGATTTTAATAGGCTAAACCTTTTATTTTATTGTCAATATTTTCTAATGTTTGCTATGTATTCTATCCTTTGAAGCTTTTTGTTGTACCATATTTTTTACATCCCAACATTGACAGATCGCTAATCAATAAATATCTATTGTGCTATTTGTTCGTTTTAACGTCACCTAATTTTATGGAAGGGCATAGACGTTATATGGAAAATAGTAATAGTAATGTAACTACCCCATCATTCCTTCCTCAAGCAAATGTGTAAATATTAGATCTATTCAGCAATAACGTTAATTGCATTGGCATATTTATCTGACGTTTTCCCAGCTTGTATTAGTCGATCAAAAAGCTATTTAGTTTCTTATGACTACACTAGCAGTGGAATTTACTGCGATGTGACAGGGATCATAATTTGATCATAGGGAGGCTTGATCATAATCAAGGTGTTTGTTTAAAGGTTGATCATATTCTCTTCTGAAAAAAGAAGAGTATCTTTTTCAACAAAAAAAATTATCACAGTTACAGCCAACATCCCACAAAAAAGCACTTCGAGCCTCATTTCGCAAAATCCAAAAAGCCACACACCATATATTCTTGACTGCTTTGAATGGATGCATTTTTATACCCATTTTTCCATATTAAAATATTATGGTGAGTCTTGAGATTGAATTACTTGCCTAGGTGGGTCCCGGAATAAAAAAGTTGGGTAATCCCTGATCTAGTGTTCACTTGGAAAAAATGTACACTGTACAAAATTTCAGACTATATCAGCCTGGATTAATATTACAATACCACCATTAAAAATGGCAGCAAGCAAAGCACATCTCTACCCACTCAAATGAAGTAACATGAATGACATAATGAATGAGTGTTACTGTACTTAAATGTTTGTTTATATATGCATATTTTTTTCATTACACCTGAATATATAGCTGCTATAAATACAATCACAATTTAAAATGAACAGATTTACATTTGTCCCTCACTTATATTAATTTGATTGTGTTATTTACATATTTTTATAGGATTGTACTTTTATTCACAGAAAAAGTTTTTTTGCTGCTCGTTCAAACTACTTATTTAAAATGAGTTGAAATAACACAATTTTTTGGGACAATTTAAATGTTTTATGTTCAATTTACTAAAATTTGGAAAAAAAACTTTATGTAAGCTGTTAAGTACACATCACTTATCTTTTTTGTCATGAGTAGTGTAGAAAAAAAGTACAGAGTCTTAAATGTTTTATCAATCATGCTGTATTTATATGTTAAATATGTTGTTTTTTACTTCAGATTGCGAATATTTTAAAATATGTCCTTGGCTTATGTCTGGCATAATCTGCCTTCATTTTGCAACTGGGCAAACAGTTTGAGCAACATTTACATGAAGCAATCCAACAGACTTTTCACTGTTTCTCTACTAGTAATTTTCTCCACTACTTTTAAATGGCATTGTAGCTTAAAAAAACTTTTAAAATGGACAAGCAAATGATAGGGGTTTATAAATTGCATCTTAAAATATTGTTTTATTCTAACTGAAGCTAGAAACCCAAAGTCTTATTTTGGGATAACTGTTAAGCTAAAGAAATAGCACCTCAGAAATATCTCTCTCAATCTCTCTCTTTCCAGTAAAGTCTCTTTTCAGATCTTTAAAAAAGTACACCCCTTTGCTTTAAAACAACGTCTGTGTCATGTTTGTCTCTTATTTTTACCAAGAGATAGTTTTCTTTAATGGTTTAGAAGCCTGTGGCATAAATCATAAATACAGGTATTTACTTAATTATATATACTGAAGTATTTATATGTTTAAAGGTATTGACAGGTAACTTGTATTATCGTAATTGCGACTTTTTTTTTTTTCTGGAAATGCTTGCTTTTCACCACAGGACATGAGCTATGTTGGTTTATGTCACATGATATGGTTTTTCAAAAGAACTTGTCACAAAAATAACCACTATATGGAAGTTCCTCGTCATTTCTAATTTTGTGTTGAGCTCTGAAGCTAAAAGGTAAGTGTGCATTACATTTATATTTTAACACAGTTATTGCTTTCGATAATATATGGTTGAAAAATCTTCTTTTAAAGACTTTTTATATTTAATGAAAATGTTTCTTGTCTGTGTTTTTAAAATTCACATGGGAATAATATCTAGTTAATTCACAGGAAAAAAAAGAAAATGAAATTACAATATATAACCGTTCAGCCTTTGTCTTGTTTTTTTCAGACCATAAAATGCTGAATAAAAATCATATTGTCTAAATTTATTTATCATGAAATAAATCATCCCTTTTTCAAAAAGATGCGTAGGCCTATCCCGGGATGGTCTGAAATTTTAAGTATTATAGGGATTATTTGATTATTGTGGTTATTGTTTTTGGAGGAAAAACAAACCTAAATGTAAATGGTAATGAATTTCTAGGTGTTGTATTTCATGTTGCATTAATCTTAAATCTGCAATTTTTTTTATTCTCTAGGCGAGTCATACGGGTTTTAACAACCAAGCTTACACACTGTAAAAAATTATATGATCTATAGTCATGACAGCTAATGTTTTTAATTCATTGTAACTTATTAAACTAAGTTAATCATGTTCTAACTTAATATTATAAGTTAAGCAAGCAGTTTTAAATCAGTGTCAACGGACTCATAAGGTTAATTTGATTAAAAAAAAGTTTTTAAGGCAACCAAGATTTATTTTTTACAGCATAGTCTCATGAACAAGCAGTTATACACCAAAACTAGTTGTCAAAAATATTTTAAAAAATTGTTAAATATAAAATACTAAATATAAATATAGCACATTTTGGTTTGTTTTTCCATCAAACCCTATAATATAATAGCAGAACACATTGAAAATACTACATGGGACCATTCTGACTAGTGATGCTCCAATCAGGAATTTTGCAGCCGATACTGTGTACCAGTTCCTTATAATGGTGAACTGCCGATACCACCGAATCTGATGCTTTGAGCCAGGGGTGTCCAAACTCAGTTCTGGAGGGCCGGTGTCCTGCTGAGTTTAGCTTCAGCTTGCTTCAATACACCTGCCAGGAAGTTTCTAGTATATCTAGTAAAAGCTTAATTAGCTGGTTCATGTGTGTTTGATTAGCTAAACTCTCCAGCACACTGCCCCTCCAGGACCGAGTTTGGACATTCCTGCTTTAAGCTTTATAATGCATAAAGCACATACGCATGATGCTTACATCTCTCCTTACCTAATGCCGAGTTCAGACTGCATGATTTTCAAACTAGTCATGTTACAGATGTTTTCACACTGCATGACTATCTGGGCTAGCGTTTCGTCGCTGCTTTGTTTACACTGCAAGATGGATCAGCGACAGGGACTTTCACATTGTATGACTTTACTATAGGAAGAATCGCCAACAACTTCGTCCAAACTACGTCTAACAGCCAAAAACACGAAGTATATCTTTTGTTATTAACTACATAATGAGAAAGAAGCCTTTAATGGGGTAGAACATGTACATGTTTGCTCACCTGGGTTTAAAGGGAATTAGCCATTTCTCCTCAACGTTGATAATAAACTAATTTCTTTCTGTATGAAACGTCAAACAGACACAGTTGCTCCTGAGTCCTGTCAAACCTCAATTCACACGGCATGATTTGAATCGCCGACAGCTCCAGATATTTAGCATGCCAAATATCTCGAAGGCATCGGCGACTCATCGGCGATTCTCTCAGATCGCGTCTTTGAAAGTTCATACTGTGTAATTGTCACTCACGTGCACGAGCAGCGATTTGCCTGTGATTTCAGGCATTTGTCGGCGATTTCTCAAAACCTGTCGGCGAGCCAAAATCGGGGCTAAAATCACGCAGTCTGAACTAGGCATAAGAGAATAAAGATGTTGCATATAATTCCTCAAACATCTTATAACCATTTAATGTGGATATGTAATGGAAGCAGCTTTACAGAAAATAATAGATAAGCAGATACAAAAAAATTGATAAGGAAAATCACTAACAAAGCGATTTAGAAACTTTTCAAAAGATGAAAGAAAAATTCAACATGTCTCAATGAAGTTTAGGGTGCATGTTTGATGCATAAGAAGTTAAAATGCACACCTATAAATCCATTGCTTCTTTACTGAAAGGAAATAGTTCCATAAACTACTGTGTATTGCAATAAGTAAGATAAGTTATATTATTACAATAAGTTAAAAATGTTTTGATATTTTAAAAGATTTCAGTTCTTATATGTCCTCTGCTTGTAAATTTGTAAACAAACAACTGTAATCAGTTCATGGGATGGACCAGATTAGCGAGTACTGATCAAGTCATGAACTATAATTATCAACCGATACCGATCGATCGGTGCATCCCTAATTATGACCATTCTTTTTTAAGCTTAATGTTGGTCTCTTTTCACTATCATTGTGAATTAGTGCAAGTGGGTCTTTTCTAAAATAAAGGACTTGTAAACAAACCAGGGAGAGTAAATGATTCATCTAATACTTTCAGTTCAAAACAGCAAAATTTATCCTGCTTCCGTCACTGAAAGTATTGGTCTTTTTTAATGTATAAACATCTGTCAGATATGTAATATATTTACAGTTGAGGTCACTGTATATCTGTTTATCTATTATTTACACCTGACTCTCGTTCACCATTTAAAACTAAAGCATGAATTTATGAAGCATAAATTGACTTTATTCATATATGTGAATAGTAAAGCCTGTTTCTGATTTGATTAGCCATCTCAGTCATTTCACTATTCACTTGGGATAGTTTGTTCTAATCTCTGTCATTAACATCTAAGGCAGATTTTTGTATGGGATCCAGTGTTGAAGGGAGTCAGTAAGTGGAACGAGCTGATGGATGATGTCAAGCAACGTAAGATTATTGAGCAACTCCAGATGGGATCTGAAATGACGGTGTATCAGAAAAGGACTGAGAGAATCACTGTTCAGGTCATTATGGAGACCATGCAAGTGGCTTTAACACGCTCAGGTGACAGGATAGTCAAAGTGGGTAAGTCACTTTCTTGACACTAGATTTTAACAGATGAATAAATAAATACCTTGTATCAGTGTTAAGGTTTTAAGTTCCAGTCACACTCTATTTGGGAACATGCTTTATTTGGTATTTAGGTTTAGCTATTGGGTACAGTGATGTAGAATAAGATCATACTTTATAACTACTAATAAACAGTTAATATCATAATAATGGGCTGGTATTAAGCCAGTACAAAATAGTGCAATTTGTAAACTAAAGTGTTCTTTATATGCACTAGTTCTGGATTCAGTTTTTAGAAGATTTGCTGCATGGTGTCCTTCGAATGAATACTGAGCTTATTCAAATGTTCAATGTGCATTTGCAGTGGACATTTCTGAGCTCAAGGAGGTTCGCCAGTGGGAGACATTCAAGGATTTCCAGCGATTTAACGAAAACAGGGGGAGTGCATTTCGAAGAATTTTTTGCCAATCTGAAAAAGACGTTCAACAGGACAGGAAAACCTGTTTCACCATCTTCTATGGATCTGATTTTACTTTAAAGTCACTGAGTCTAAATGGTATGCAATAACTTTAATTTATTTGAAATGGATACTGTAATAGCTGGTAGCCATACTACTGCTCAAAAAATACATTTTATAAACTTTAATTTACCAAAGAAGCATGTTTGTAATGCGGTGTTCCAAAACTTGCATATTAGATCATACTTAAATTTTTCAGTTCACCAAACTTAGTCTAATAATTCTGACTTTAACTGTATCTTAAGCAGCAAGTTAGAATATAAAATGTTTATCTTTGTCATTACACTGTAATGTTTACTTCACATAAAATGTTTATAAATCCGTTTCCTTAAAAGCGAGAAGTTTACTTCATAAAAAAAGTAAACTTTTATGTTTAAACTTTTATATAACTTTTATATGTTTACTATATTAAAGTGAGTAAAACCATTGTAAGTTGGAACTGTTAAGTTGACTTTATTTTTATAATTATGCTTTATACTTGATTTTAAGGCAATGGGTTTACTCACTTTTTTAAACTAAAGTCAAAAAATTGCTTTAAAAGCTAGAGATTTATTCACTTTTTTTTTAAAGTAAAGTCAACTAACTGCTTTAAAAGTAATGGGTTTACTGCATTGTTAAAAGGTAAAGTCAACTAATCACTTTAAAAGCAAAGGGTTTACTCACTTTTTAAAAAGTAAAACCAATCGCTTCAAAAGTGGTGAGCTTGCTCACTATTTTAAAGTAGTCAACTAATCGCTTTAAAAGCAATGGGTTTACTCACTTTTTAATAGGTAAAGTCCAGAAGAAAAAATATTATTAGACATACTGTGAAAATTTCCTTGCTCTGTAAAACATATTATGGGAAATATAAAAAAAATATTATATACATAATATACTTACATACACACACACACACATATATATATATATATATATATATATATATATATATATATATATATATATATATATATATTTTTTTTTTTTTTTTTTTTTTTTGTGCTGATCCAAGCTTGTTTAGCAGGAGGTGGATCAACACACAATTCACTAATGAAGCAAGTATTATGCCAACTTGCCAGTTAAGCTTCCTAAAAAAACTTAAAGATGCCAGCAGCACATATACATCACTGAACATAACATATGCTGGTAAACAGCTATGCTGGCAATTGTACACTTACTGGAATAGTCCCTATGGAACAGACTGTAAATGCCTAAAGTGTACTGTGGTGAACAATCTTGACCTGCTTTTTGCAACTGTCTCACCACATGTCTTTATATGATAATGGTGTGCTTATTCTGAGGTTTGCTGTTTCATAGCTCATTCAGTGGAGGATGCGGAAAAATGGCTGACGGGACTGGAGTTACTCAAACAGGAGACACTGGCAGCTCACACACCAGTTATTATAAAGAGGTACACACAGAGAATCTTTAACTGTAACTGTAGAGTTACTGTACTTTTACAGTAACTGTAAAGCGAATCAAATACTTGTTTTCTCTGTTTTTCCAACTATTGTAGTTGGCTGAGGAAACAGATGTATTCGGTTGATCTGACAAAGAAAAACAGGTTTTCCTCTTTCTCTTTTAATTACATCTCATTCACTGTAACTCATTTACCACTGTTTCACGCCATTTAATGTCTCTCACAGCATCACCCTAAAAGAGCTCAAGTCTCTTTTGCCACAGATGAACTTCAATGTGCCAAGTGGACGTTTTCTGGAGGACAGATTTAAGGTGCAAACAATACTGAAAGTTTATCATTGAATTTTGGTTTTACATAAATTAGTATAAATGTTGATTTTGTTATTCAAGATGTCCATTTCATCTACTAATGACTAGATTTGCTCGTTTAGAAGCACTTATAACACATTTTACATGTTTGAATGTTGTGTTTTGTTTTCAGGAGGTTGAAGCAAATGATTATGTCCTCGATTTTCTGCAGTTTCACAAATTGTATGAAATTTTAATATTTGAAAACCAGACATTGGTGAGTGTGCAGTGTAACATTCAGTGTAACATTTCATTTTCATGTTTTTGAGGATTATTATCATGCCATATTAATTTGTTTAGCAATATCAATCCTTTATTATAATATAATATTATTCCCATTTTATTAGCTGATGGAGGAGTTTGAAAAAGGGCCTGCACGCTCCATAATGAGGTACAATTATTCAATGCTTTGGTTTCATTTTGTGCTTTAAATGGGCCATATCATTGATTTCAATTCAGTGTATTAGGGCTGCATGATATTGGAAAAATCTGACATTGCGGCAGATGACTTGAATAGCTCTGTTCAAAGTAAAATCATTAATTAAGACTGGATATTGGATATTAGATTGGATTCATTTAGATCGAAATAATCTTGTAGATGAGTGAATCAAAGAAATTGCAAGAATTAATAAATAAGATAAAAGTAAAATAAGTAGTCGGACATTCAGTTACAGTAATATGATACGATATTATGATATTTTTCCCCCGATGATGATAGATCACGATATCGACGATACATGACAAGAAAACCATCCACAAAATATCATGATATTTGTAAATGAAGAGGGTAAACTGCATCAAAAGGTTATAAGATGTATTTCTTTAATAAACAGCTCATATATTTCTTATAACTGCAACATTGATATGTTCGATCCACCTTTACGAGAAGCGCCACCTCATGCATATCACTTTTGTCCTGCCTTTTTTTTTTTTGCATAATTAAATCTAATGTAAAATGTAAATACTGTACATTCTTCATTGCTGATAACTCCACATGTGAGTATTGCGAATACACACATTGCGATATCAATGCTGAAATGATATATTGTGCAGCCCTGAAGTGTATTGTAGCACTTTTCACAATAATTATTATTCCAAAGCAGATTTACAAAAAAAGGTGCACAATATTACATGAAAAAAACTGTTTTAAGAAAATACAGTTTACTTGTTTATTTAGAGGTTACACTATAAATCATTCATTTGCCATGCATTTCTCTGCAGTAATATTGATAGACCTGACTCTTCTGTAGTTGCCCTCTACGATTTTCAAAATTTTCTTTTATATCAACAGAAGGTAAGACCTAATGTTCAAAAGCTTGTTTTATTCAAATAATGAATAAGTTTTTTAAATGTGATGTACTCCTGTGATGGATGCACAGCAGAACATTGAGCAGTATTACTCCAGTCTTAAGTGTCCAATGGCACTTCAAAAACAGTCCTAAAGCTGTTCTGGTTAATATCAATATTTAAAAACAAAGTTTTTAAGTACAGTTTTTTTTCTGTCTGTAGGAGGCCTGGGCCACAGATTTAATTAAGGTACAAAATTTAATGACCATCTTCATCGATGACCCCACAAGGAGGACAAAAGATCCAGCCTTTACTATTGGAGAGGTAGAGGTTATAAAGATCTCTCATTGCATCAAATAAATGTCCATCAAGGTGATAGTTTGATAGATAGATAGATAGATAGATAGATAGATAGATAGATAGATAGATGGATGGATGGATGGATGGATGGATGGATGGATGGATGGATGGATGGATGGATGGATGGATGGATGGATGGATGGATGGATGGATGGATGGATAGATAGATAGATAGATAGATAGATAGATAGATAGATAGATAGATAGATAGATAGATAGATAGATAGATAGAAAGACGGACGGACGGACAAACAAACAAACAAACATACAAATAAATAAACACATGCATTTCTTTTTTTTTATTTTGCCAGTTCCTCAGTTTTCTCTTCTCTAAAGAAAACCAAATTTGCGATGACAAGTTTTCTGAGATTTGCCCACTGGACATGAACAATCCTCTGTCTCACTACTGGATCAACTCGTCTCACAACACGTCAGTGCTGCTGCTCTTCATGTTGCTTCTCCTCATCATCATCTACTTCCTGTGTTACTTTATGTGTTTTGCTCTTTTTTCCCCACAGATATCTGACTGGAGATCAGCTGCGTAGTGAGTCTTCAACAGAAGCGTATGTGCGCTGTCTGAGACTGGGCTGTCGCTGTATTGAGTGTCAGTGGACCACAGTTTCTTTTTTCTCCATAAAGATTTTACTTTTCTGATAATGCAATGTTTTAAAAACCTGTGTGCAAAAATAGTCCTTGCATAAAAATAGCATTTAAAAATGTACAAAAATAAGCTTTTAAAATTTTTGACAAGCTCTCTTTAAAAACTACTGATGTGTTAACTGAACACGTATGTCTTGTTGACAGAAAAGAGCTAATATGTGGCAAAACTTGATTCTAACTAACTGTTTAGAGTAATTTTACATGTGGCACAATGCATAGCCAAGCATGACGCAAGTGTTTTTTGCTAGTTTTAGCCCATCGCAGGTATTTTTTTCACACCCTGTGTCATGTTGTTTCAGTAGAAAATGCTCATTGTTGGCATCTTGCCTGCTTAATTGACCAACGTAAGTCAGTGGAGTAGTTATTGTTATTTGAAAGTGCGTTAGTGCTTATTACACACATGGATTCGCAGCAGCACACAAATCTCTTTAAAAATAGAAAAATGAAAGTATTCAAATGTAAAAGATTATGATTGTCTCCATAAATATAATGAATGCGCAATTGCATGACAACTCACTCTTAAAAGGAACGGGAGGTGAGACTAATGCACATTATGCCCAACACAACCCTTACCCTATGCCTAAACCTAACCCTAACCCAAAACTCATTAAGAAAATAAGGTAAGGCCCTTATGTGTGCGATGACCAATTTTTTCTGCCTGCTAATAAGCAAATCTGAAATTCTTTTCCCATGTTATACACCAGCCATAATCACCCCCTGGCTTAACCTGCCTGCCACTATAGCCATACCCCAAACTCTCTTTATTGCTCAAGTTAAAAAATACTTTACTGATCTTGAGTTGACCACTCTCAATGTTTTGATGATACCAAAGAGGCTCAAGTTTACTTTTTTTAGTGGTGAAAATCTCATGAATGGCAAGATTATAGTAGTCAATGGGCAGTTAATTTTTAAGTTAATTTATTTTGACATATCAAATAGGGCTGGCCCGATAAACGATATTATATCAAAACACAATAAAATTTATGTCAATAACAATGATAAGCTCTGAACTTTTTTACTCTATATTGATCTAAGAGCCAATCACACAGCAGAAATGTTCAACAATGTTAATCTTAAAGTGTGTTGATATTAGAGATGTACTGAATTTTTGACCACTGAAAATGTTATGCCATTTAATGGACACTCTACTTTTTGTAGATTTTTGTGCATATAAATATTAATGTTGGGGTACTCTTTTAAATCTGAAAGCATTAACAACTTATATTGAAATATATATCATTATTGTTAAATATTGAAAATAATTATCAAGATTTAATTGTTTGCAATATTGCCCAGCTCTAATATCAATCTAACATCACCTTTAATATTGTTTTTTATCCATATCAGTGGACTGCTGGAATGGTCCAGATGAACCTGTTATATTCCATGGTCGAACCATGACCTCCAAGATAAAGTTTAAGGATGTGGTGAAGGCCATCAACAATCATGCTTTCGCAACATCACAGTTAGTCATCAAAAACACAAACACATTTAATGCCATTATAATTTTGCGTTGTAAATTCAGCATTATTATTTTACATCTTTTTTTGGCAGGTATCCTGTGGTTCTGTCTATAGAAGAACACTGTGATATCAAGCAACAGAAAATGATGGCTCAGACATTACGAGATGTTTTCCAGGACAAGCTCCTGACTGAACCTCTAGATCCAGAAGCAGAACATCTACCCTCACCAAACCAGCTAAAGGGCAAGATCATCATCAAGGTAGAAACAAACCAGCTGTTTTACCTATTTTGAAACTAAAAAGCTCTTTCAATTGCTTCAGTCTATTTTATTCTCTTTGACAGCACCAAAAAATAAAAGAGAATGACCACACCATTAAGGTATTCACAAAACACAACAGCTGCTAATCACAACCATGTCAAAATAGCACACACTAAAGGCCTTTTCTCAGCAATAACAATAACTATACACTCTTTAAATAATAATCTGATTTAACAACAGGAAAGTCCTGTATTGTAACAAACAGTGTTGGGGATAGTTACTTGTGAAAGTAATGCATTACAATATTACATTGATATTAATATTAAGTTAAACCCCCAAAAAAGTAACTAATTGCGTTACTTAATTACTTTTTATAAAAAGTAATTTGATACAGTACTTCTGTGATACTTTTCTATACCTGGCTTTGGTTTGATCTCTTTCTGAACTTGCAGGTGTTTTTCACCTTTTTAATAGAAAAGCTCTGCATTTAACAAGCTAACTATATAACCTACACCTTTACTTACCATTAAAAAATGTAGGATATTATATTTTCCAGAGTCCAGAGCTATATGTGCTGTATATACAGATTAATGAAAGCTTGTAAAGTATTGTGTTTGCTACGTTTGAATGTTTTGTATTAGTTAGTAAGTAAATTCACTGTCCATTGAGATAAAGATTGCAATAAAGCCTATGAGTGCTAACATGAAGTAATTTATATTAAGGCAAAAAATCTTTAAAAACTTTAAACCTTTAAAATGTTTAATAACAAAATATAAAGTAAGACGATAAAAAACTTCCCTAAATCAAAATAAACCTTTGAGGTTTATACATTGAATAAATTTCTTCACGTGGCCTTAACAAATGTGTAAATCATTTCCCAAAAGAGAAAACAATCTTACTTTATTACAAAACTGTTAAAATAAACAAAAAATATGAAGTAGTCGCTTCTACAGTAGACAGTGGCTGCATCTCCTCAACAATAAAGACATAACTTTAATTTAAATTTAATTCATTCCCAGTCCCTTTATTAATCCGGGGTCGCCACAGCGGAATGAACCGCCAACTTATCCAGCAAGTTTTTACGCAGGGGATGCCCTTCCAGCCACAATCCATCTCTGGGAAACATCCACACACACATTCACACACACACTCATACACTACGGACAATTTAGCCTACCCAATTCACCTGTACCGCATGTCTTTGGACTGTGGGGGAAACCGAAGCACCCGGAGGAAACCCACGTGAAGGCAGGGAGAACATGCAAACTCCACACAGAAACGCCAACTGAGACGAGGTTCAAACCAGTGACCCAGTGACCTTCTTGCTGTGAGGCGACAGCACTACCTACTGCACCACTGCCTCGCCCCTTTTTTAAATTTAGTTAAATTAATTGTTTTACCTAGAGAACGTAAACTGATGTCAATCATTTGTTGTTTAGCTGGAGGTTTTCAATGTTGTGTTTCTTGCAGTGGTCAAAAGTTTTACTTACACATAATCCACACTTAATAACAATCCATTTCTTTTCTGCGATGAGTTAAAAATAACAAAAATCCATTGCAAAATCGTAAGACTCTGGCCTGCCATTGTTTCTGTTTCTGACTGTCTGTAATGGTGAAAAATGATTCACGATTGAATTGTTTGTTTTAACCGGATCTTCTAAGTGAACCGGTCGAACCAGTTCACCAAATTGAACTGAGTCGGGATGAAATAGTTGCATCTTCAGTTGGCTAAATACTTACTTTTTAACATACACCCCCTGACTTGAAACAAACCAATATCCTGAGTTCTTCAGTTACTAGAACAGTACACTGACTTATCTGCTGTGCAAAAAGAGACCTTATGATGATGAGTGCACACTCACATTTCCTGTGTGATTTAATCTGATTAAGGTCCTTTTTATTCCTTAATATATTTTTAAAAAGCCAGTTAAGCAAGGTAAAAAGTAACTTGTGTTACATTTTTCTAAAAGTAACTCAAATATTATTACATATTTTTAAATGTAATGCTCTATATTACTCGTTACTCTAAAAGAAGTAATATTATAACGTGCGTTACTTCTAACGCGTTACCCCCAACACCGGTGACATACGATGACACCACAGAGGAAAATATAATTTGATTCACTTGGAGATCATTTTGTGTACCCGTTGAATGCTTAAAACACTGAGTAGATCTTAAAATATTGCTCTAGTAAACAAAATTACATTTCAATTTTTTTTGTTTATTGGAAAGTGAGTGCAATATTGTAATATCATTAAAATGATGACAGGCTACTAATATCTTGTCTTCACTCTAACAAAATAAATGCATATGTGAGTTTGTTTCCATTAGTTTTTTGTGTATCATAATGTATGTAATTTTCTCATTTCCCTGAACAGCCAGAGGAAGAAGAGGAAAACACTGCTGTGAAAATAAAATTAGACAACTTCAGGAAAATTGCAAACACTTACAGGGAGAAGGTTGATATGTTGTACAAATCTGTCTTTCTCATTTGCATTTTTATTTTCCATATTTTCTCAATTTTCCATTAACAAATCCAGTTTTTGGTCAGCGAATTTTTCTTTTTTAAAAACAGATAAGAAAATCAAAAGAAATCAGTTTAGTGGAGAAGGAGGGAGAGCTTTCCATCTGGGATCCAATAGATAAGGTGCTTTAAATTAATTGAAATTTGATTTGCTTTTTTTTTTTACTACCAACGTATTCCTAATGAGATCATCAGTTATAATCTCTCTCTCTCTCTCTCTTTTTTTTTTTTAAACAGAGGTTTTACAAGCATGACTGTGTAATCTCAGATAATAAGCTGTATTATTCTGAAGAGAAGTGGGAAGAACAGAGTACACAGGTAAGTCATGATGGAGATTACAGACTTTGTGTTGGTAAACTCATTTGTACTCTTTAATATCAGCGTTTGAATTCTTTCTGAAAGATTAAGGACAGTTCAGAGCTGCACCTGTCAGAGCCCTGGTTTCATGGACGTTTGGCCGAGGGCAGAATAACTGCTGAAAAACTCCTGCGTGATTACTGCAAAGGGACGGATGGAAATGATGAAACCTTCCTGGTGCGGGAGAGTAACACGTTCATTGGAAACTACTGTATCTCCCTCTGGTAACCTTTCGGCACTCTTCTGCTTTTGAAAAGTTTGAATTTGGATAACAATTACATTTTCTGACACATCTGTGCCACAAAATGTACAACCAGACGTGTATAATACAGTATTTTCTTTATGTGAACCAAAGTTTTGGCTGCTCAAGAAACTTTTCATATGATATACTGTCGATAATGTTATTATTAATAACTCAACCTAACAACAATTAAGCAACAAATTAGACGGATTTCTAAAAATTTATTGGTACATCACTGGAACAAATGACCAAATTACAGGAACAAATGTTACTTCAAACTCTAGTAGTATTTCATTCATAATCATGCTGTATTGGGATCAAGTAAATGCAGCTTTGGTGAGCATTATATTATATGATATGATATTATATGATTTCTGTAGGACACGTGGGAGAATTCAGCACTACAGAATCTTCTGCTTCCCAGAAAATGGTCACAAAATCTTCTTCTTGAAAAGCAAAGAGTGCTTTCCTAGTATGTGTGCCTTGATCGATTATTACAGACAACAGAGTATCGACTATGACAGATTCAACTTGTGCCTCAAGAATTTCTTGCCACGGCTAAATTTCGAGCCTCTCCACCACATGGGGTAACACAGTTTTTCGATTACATTTTAAACTATTTAACTAATGCACAAATATTCCAAAAACACACTCACAAGTTTGAAATTTACTGGTATTGATATACTTGTGAGGACACACACATATGCTCTCATGTAATTGTTTTATAATTGTTGTTAGGTGGTTTTACAGTAACATGAGTCGAGCTGAAGCTGAAGACTGTCTTTTAAGGATCCCTCGAGATGGAGCCTTCCTCATCAGAAAAAGAAACGAGCGTGACACCTTTGCCCTTTCCATCAGGTTCCCTTAGTTTATTTCCTTTACATTTTCTTTATAGTCCTCTGACATTTACAGTATAGGCTGTTTACAGCTGTTTTAATCGATTTGCATTACATAACATTAATTTAGCAGATGCTTTTATTCAAAGTGACTTAAAAATGAGGATAAAAAGGACTTTTTATAATTTATTATTATCACATCTTTACAGAGTGTTGTAACAGAGTGTTTGTAAGTAAATGTCTGGTGCATATAGAGAAAGTTGAAAGTGTTTGCTACAGGTAGTTTGTCATTGTTAAGCCCACTCACCTGTGTGAAGCACACTCAGAACTGCAGTGTATTTGCAGGAACATCAAGTGTTTATAAGAAATTATTTTTTTCTGTCTCATTCGTACAGTGTTTAAAAGTTAATAAGTCTTTTCTTGTTTATTTAAATGGAGAGTCTGTGAATAAGAGTACAGTTCAAGTCAGAATTATTAGCCCCCCCTGTTTATTTTTTCCCCCAATTTCTGTTTAAAGGAGGGATTTTTTTTCAACACATTTCTAAACATAATAGTTTTATTAACTCATTTCTAATAACTATATGATTATTTTATCTTTGCCACAATGACAGTAAATAATACTTCACTAGATATTTTTCAAAACACTTCTATACAGCTTAAAGTGACATTTAAAGGCTTAACTAGGTTCATTAGGTTAAGGTTAGGGTAATTATGGTTTGTTTTGTAGACTATCAAAAAATAAATAGCTTAAAGGGGCTAATAATTTTGTCCTTAAAATGGCTTTTATAATGTTAAAACTGCTTTTACTCTAGCTGAAATGAAATAAATAAGACTTTCTCCAGATGAAAAAATATTATCAGACATAATGTGAAAATTTCCTTGCTCTGTTAAACATCATTTAGGAACTATTTTAAAAAGACAAAAAATCAAAGGGGGCTAATTATTCTGACTTCAATGATATATGTGAGCTTTTTCTGATATTATTTTTGAAAATATTGTTATTTAAACTTAAAGAATTTGCATATGAACAGGAAATGAGAAAATTCATGCAGAGCTTTTATTTATTTATTTATTTGTTTGTTTGTTTATTTTTACAATTCTCTAATAAAATTATTAGAATTGGGGCTGGTAAGACTTTTTTTACAAATTGATGATTTGAGTATGATTTTAGATGGCAAAATTAAAATCTCGGCTCCATTCCACTCCAATTTTAATGCCCTTCACCTGCAAAATTTTCTCCTGTTTTTACGTCATTGATTATTTTACGAAAGTGTCCTGTACTGGTGGACCATTTGAATGGGTTTAAATGGAATGGCCTAAAAACTCTTGAGAACTACACTTGGCACTTGGAAACTACATTATTGTGACATCACAATTGCGTTGCATTCTGGGACATAGAGGTGCTGGAGTTGACATATTATTTCAAAATTGAGGGATCGAGGGTATGTCCATGTAAGCTTCTCTCGTTCACTTGATGAAGTAAAACTCACTTTGGCGCCGGGGATTTCCTAGAGCAGGGGTCACTAATCTAGGTCCTGGAGGGCCGGTGTCCCTGCAGGGTTTAGCTCCAACATGCCTCAACACACGTGCCTGGGTGTTTTAAGTATACCTAGTAAGACCTTGATTAGCTTGTTCAGGTGTGTTTGATTAGGGTTGGAGCTAAAGTCTGCAGAACACCGGCCCTCCAGGAACAAGTTTGGTGACCCCTGCCCAAGAGGGAACAAAGGAAGGAAAGTTCACAAGTAATGTTTGAGATTTAGGTTAGCAGCCAAACAGTAGGTGGCGTGTTGTGAGTGTTCTGTTTGAGTAATTATTTTTACCCTCTCATGATCAGATCTACAACACACATTTTTATATTAAGCGTAAACAAGTCCTTACCTCTCTATATGTAATTTTATTTGTTTATTATGTAATGTATATTGTGTTTATTTGTTACCCAGATCTGAAGGTGACATCAAGCATTACAAGATTTTCAGAAAAAGCAGTAAATATGTGTTAGCAGATGCCTATGAGTTTTTTAGTCTTGAGGATATGGTCAGCTGTTTTAGAAATCAGCAATTCGCCGGCAAGACAAAACTACGCTACCCGGTAACGCCACAGTTAGTGGAGCGCTTCTGTATGGTAAGAGAAGAGAAAGTGTGAAGGAGAGAAAGAAATTAGCCAGATATATGAATTATTCCTTAAAGAAATACAACAGCTTTGACCATTTACAAAATGTATTTGATAACTTCTTATTTTTCAGGAGGATCTCTCAACATACGATAGTGAGCAGGACAGTGAGGTAAGTACTGTGGTACTTGTTTCTACTTGTAAATATACTTGACTAAAAGATTATTTGGATATTATACTAGTCTACATTTTAAGACACCCTTAAAACGTATTAAATGTTTCAAATGATGAACTATCAATCCAATTTGCATATTATCTCAGCTTTCTACAATGATTTTTATTTCAAGAGTTCACACTTAACTTATGATTTACAAAAGCTTGTTTGGCATGCTGTCCCAAGAGAGAGCCCTGAGCTCAAGGGATCCTTCCTGGGGCGAGGGGAGAAGGAGCTCAGGACGATCTTAAAACTCCCCCCAGCTTAGGCCAAGATTAACTTCCTGAGAGCAAGACGTCTGGTAAAAAGAGACTTAGGTTTATTTGGTCTATAATGAGGGCGACACAATGGCGCAGTATGTAGTGCTGTCGCATCACAGCAAAAAGGTTGCTGGTTCGAGCCTCGGCTGGTTCAGTTGGTGTTTCTGTGTGGAGTTTGCATGTTCTCCCTGCGTTCGCGAGGGTTTCCTCCATTGCTCCGGTTTCCCCACAGTCCAAAGACATGTGGTACAGGTGAATTGGGTAGGCTAAATTGTCTGTAGTGTATGAGTGTGAATGAGTGTGTATGGAAGGGCATCCACTGTGTAAAAACGTGCTGGATAAGTTGGGGGTTCATTCCACTGTGGCGATCCCGGATTAATAAAGGGACTAAGCTGAAAAGAAAATGAATGAATGAAATAATGGTCTATAATGTAGAGCGTATTTGGGTCTTAAGAGGAAAACGGGAAACCTGGGGGAAACCCACGTGGACAGGGGGAGAACGCACCAGCTTCGCGCAGAAACATCAGATGTTCCAACAAGGAGCCAGAGCCATTGGAATTCTTGCTGGTAGCTGGGCCAAGATGCCGCCCGTTCTGGGTAAAGGTGGAAGAGGGGAGGAGGGGTGTTTTCTTTAAGACGAAGATTGTAGATTTGTTATAGAGAGAAAAAGAGGATATATATATATATATATATATATATATATATATATATATATATATATATATATATATATATATATATATATATATATTTATTTATTGACCTTATTCTAAAATGCGGAAGTGCGCCTGTTTTCGCGATTGTCTTAGAACTTCCGATTCAGTCGCCTATGGATGGGAGAAATGACTAGGAATAATAAATGGCAGAAAACTACTTGCTCTACAAACAAATGTTTGCATGACTATACAGACCAAGTAGAATAATATATTAAGAAAATATCAAATTGCAACATCAAGCAGCGTAACAAGCAGTTTTTAACGTCAAAAAATGAATGGAAGTGAATGAGATCGGAAGTCTCGAGCCAAAAAGATTCAAATGGCAGCGCCTGCTCGTCGGCGGAGAATAAGGTGAATAGTAAGTTAGGATCCTTTGATTGGAGAATTGTGATTAGCTAATTTGAGCCAGCTGGGTCAATCATGAGCGAGACTCCTCTCGCAATTAGTTTAACATATTAAACTTCACTTAATGTATCATTATTCATAATATTTTGTATAGATAAATAAATTGTATAAATAAGAACAGCAATCATATATTGAATGCTTAAAGATGTTTATGCAAGATAATAATTTACTAAAATGTAATATTTTATTTACATATAATTTAAGTACCAAATACACAATTATTTTAATTGTTAATTTAATTTACTATTTAATGAAATTGCTTGTAAATATGCAATTGTGTATGTTTTTATGTAATTATTCAAAACAGATTTTAAATTTTTTTTTAATAAAATTTTATATATTTTTTTCAGGTTATTGAAGATAATCCATTAGGTGATCAATGTAAAGGTGTGGTGGACATATTGAAATGTAATGCTGGTAAGGTTTAAAGAATAAAATTAAGGCTTTTTTACAATAGTTTGCATTCTTTAACAAAATCTTCACTGAATATCAAAACAACAAAAGACTCTCTTGTTGACCATTCTTTACAGCACGCAAAGCCAAACATGGCAGACCCCTTGTAGTGACCCTGTTGAATAAGGAGAACCAAAAGCTAACTGAGTTCACATGTGAGATCGTGGAGCAGTTGGACGAATGGTACCTGGTCATTCTGAACATCATCCAAAGAGAGCAAAGCTTGGAGAAATCGGTCAGTTGAACTGTTATCTGAGATTCCACACAAATTACCGATATATAGTGTGTCTTTCTGTCTAGATTTACACATGATTGAATTATCTGCATCTATGCACTGACAATATCTCCCTAACTTCTCAAAACAGAGAAAAGCAGAAGTGGAGTCTAAAACCAAAATAGCCATTGAGATGTCAAACATGGTGGTTTACTGCCAATCTATCAAAAAAAAGACCTTCGGTATGTACTGTAATTTCCAAGAAAATCGAACCCTCCCGAAAAAATGAAAGAAACTAAAATTAAAAGCAGCTGTACAGTATCACACACATCAACAAAACAATTCCAGGCCACACTCAAAACATTTTAGAAAGGTGATTGAACTGGACATTTCATTCATTTATAATTGCATTCTGCACTTTTTCTGACCTCTCAGAAAATTACAACTACAAAGAGGTCCGCTCACTTCCAGATAACATAATTCCAAAAGAGGGGAATGAAAGTGGCATGGAGAAATCAGACTGCATTTTGGAGTACAACCGCACAGCACTGACCCGTGTTTATCCCAGTGGAGCCAGAGTTGATTCCTCCAACTTTGACCCCTGTCCTGCGTGGAAATTAGGCTGCCAAATGGTGGCTCTTAACTTCCAAACGGATGGTAGGTTAGATTAGAATGTTTTTAAAGTCTCATTTAATTCCTCACTCACTATGGTTTGGCTAAGTCCTTGATATAGCAGATGTCACCACAGCATATTGAACCGCCAATCAGCCATATATATTTTTGTGGATTATTTTGGTGATTCTGTGATAAATGACATTGAGTCGAAAATGAGTAAATGACAAAAGACGATGAGTAAAAACATTTACTTTTTTTTTCAAAATTTCTCTCACTTTTAATTTCTGGATAAAGGTATACATTTCTTAACTTCTGTTAAATCAGAAATAATTTAAATTCCCACATTTTGAACTGTATTGTGTACGGTAGTAGCCAGAACTGATATCCAGAGGCGACACTTATTTTGCACATTATTTGCTTAGAATCACACTATAGGCTCTATTTTAACAATCTAGAGTCTAAAGCGAATAGTGCAAAACCACTGAGAGCATGTCCGCTATTTTAAGGATGGAAAAATGCAGTTTGCACTGCAGCACATGGTCTAACAGGGTTGTGCTTATTCTCTTAATGAGTTATAGGTAGGCCCACACGGAATCTGCGCGCGCAGAATTCCGCAGATTTTCCGCAGAATTCCGCAGATTTCTGCAGATTTTTAGCCCATCATTAATTCTGTTTATTTACTTGAGTAAATGGGTAAATCTGAATTTATTAAGTTTTTATTCAGTAATTTATTACTTTTTATTTCATATATTAAGGTTTTAGTTATGATACTCTGCTGGATACTCCCAAAATAATTCCGCAGAAATCCGCAGATTTTTACCAAAATTCTTCGCAGAAATAGCAAAAAACATCCGCAGATTCCGTCTGGCCCAAGTTATAGGTGTGTTTTGAGTATAACGTGCTTTAAACCAATTAGAGCAGGGTTATTCAATTGGCGGCCCGCGGGCCGAACCCGGCCCCCGAGGCAATTAGTTCTGGCCCTCCAAACACTGCGACCAAGACATCAAAAAAAAAATTTCTTTCAGTTGAAAAACGGCCGCTAGTTAAAAAGGGATGTGCGTCTGTTCAATACAGCGCGAGCTGAAAAGGCTGCACAGAGCGTGAGTCACCATAACCGAGTGGCGTGGGCACATTTGGATATGTTTGTAGAAAAGGCTTTTTGTACAATGCACTGATATTGTTATTAGGGATCCAACGATTAGTCGATTTCACTATTAACGGTGCTGTAAATCGCCACAGTTGATTAATCATAAAGGTTTCTCTAAGCAATTGTCATGAATAAACTGAAAAAAGTGTTCACTAAAAGTGTTTTTATATCTATATAGAAAATAATCATTTTTGTAACATTTTAATTCTTTAATGTTTTTCACATGTAAAGATATTTGTGTATTGCTGTACATCCTATGTGTAATAAGAAATGTCTAAGCATTTGGACCTGGATAGGCGCATAACTAACATGCTCTGCGCTGAACTTTAGACCAGCTTTTACTTGGCCAATGGAACTGTCTATATCAGTTTCTCAAAAAAGCAACACACCAACAATGCGCCTTAACACACCTCCTTTATAGACCAGTACACCCATGAGTCCACAAAGTGGGGCAAATGGATTTGCTATTTAAACAATGTGGCACAAAACGTGAAAATTAGGATTGTGCTGAAAATAGCAACAAATTGCGCTAAACACATCTTGCTCCTTATTGCGCCGGGTGTACAGTATATAATATATGTTGTATGATAGAGCCTTATAAGTTTAATGAAATCAATGAAACAAAAGGAATTATATTGGGAAGTGGAAAACATTAAACTGGTTATGGGGTAGTTCACCCAAAACTTTACTCACCTTTTACATGTTACAAACCAATCCGAGTTTCTTTCTTCTGTTGTACACAAAAAAGCGATCATTTGAAGAAAGCTGAAAACCTGTAAGCATTGACTTAATACTTGTTACTGGTTTTTTATCTTTCTTAAAAATAAATAAATAAAATAATAATAAATAAATAAATAAATAATAGTGTTTAAGAAAGAAACTCATAAAAGAGTAAATAGTAAGTACATTAAAATTTTTGGGTAAACTGTCCCTTTAAGCTGTTAATTTAATCATTTGGCAATAAAAGGCAAGCTAAAGCTTATCACAGAATATGAGTTTTAATTTTAATATGAAAAAAAGAGGATGTTCATATAATTTAAATATGGATGTTATATTTGACTGTTCATTAATTTCCTGTAACACCAACAAATCTCAGGACACAAGGGGGTGACAGAGGGCTATAGTATGTTACCATAATTCTGCTTGGATGCAAAATGTTGCAAACGTGGCCTTTAATAAACCAGATTAATTTGCTTATCGCATCAAGCATCACATCGAGGATATTTGAATACGAAAAATAGATTAAAGATCAATCATGTCAAGAGCTCTCTTTAAATATCTGAGCCATTAACCCCACGTCCCATTATAAGACATTTTTGGGAAAGCTAGCTATAAACATCTTGACTTTCTCTTGAAACTATTGCTCCACCATGACTCTACTTGACCTTAGAGGAAGAGTTTACATGAAAGTCTGCTACAGTGTCCCTATATGATTGTTAAACTCAAGCATCGTTCTCCAGTAAACACATCTAATAAATCTTACCCTCTCTTTAGATAACTTTATGCAGCTGAACAGTGCTCTCTTCAGTCTGAATGGAGGTGCAGGTTATGTGCTTAAACCAGAGTGGATGCGAGATCCAACCAGGAGGAAGCCTGCAAAACAAAGCATCAGAATCAGAGTAAATCACCTTTATTTGCTTCACACTGCAGTTCATCTTCATTCAGATTCAATAAAGAGGTTATTGATTTTCAGGGTTGATTTTTTACCTTATTGAACATGTGTTGTCTTTAATATCTAAAGCTAAAATTTATCCAATTACCTCACACAATCACAATACTGTATGATACTGTTTCACACTATATTTTCTGTTGATTCAGTTTCAATAAAATTAGTCTCTCCAGGGTCTTTTTATCATCACAATTGCATTTTCTATACATGTTTAACTGTATATTGTATATGGGTTTTATGTCTAATAATTCACTCAATCATACAGTTAACTTTACCAATTACAAATGTAATAAATGTGTAAATATATAATCAACGTTATTTAAAAAAACAAAAAAGGAGGAACAGAGTAGGAGTGCCAAATTTCTTCCAAAAACGTATTATTGTGCATTATTTGTCATGGTATTGTGGATTATTAACATCGAATAATAGAATAACGTTACGTAAAACTTTAACGTTAACTTAAGTGTTTGGCGGCTACGTTATAACTTACACAGAGTCGGTCACAGACCGAAAATGCTTGTCCGAAGGGTTAGTCAAGGGCAAATTGTGCAGAAATTCTTGTTATTATCACTGAAGCAGCGAAATTAATCTCTTACTTGTTTCGTTTCAGCTTCGTTTGTTGTTTATGATATCAGAATTTACGTTAACGACCAACCGCGTGCCTTATCAACAAAACTACAGTGATGACTAGCGATGAATAATCGAAACGCGTCTGATTGGCTCTTGCGCTCAGAAGCTCAACAGAAACGTATGCGACTGTTTTTTAAGGCTCAGCGCATTTTCACATTTTACATCACGTAATATAGTTTAGTTTAATTGTGCATAGTCGTTTTTGCCCCTTGTATTACATTTATGAGGCATATTTGTATTTTTGTGGCTATTCGAAGTTTTGTTAAGTTTCTCACCCTCATGTCCTATCAAAACTATTTTATTTGAGGACTCCAAAGGGGGAAATTAATTTCCTGTAGTAGCTCAGCAGATTCCATTCACTTTCATCATGCGGAAACATTTCCTTTCTAGCTCCACATAAATATTTCTAAAGGTTTTGATTGACTACAGGGTGTGTAAATCATTGCTGGCTATCCATATCTGTGAGAGGCCACAACAATTGTCAAAAAGATTATGAATTTACTTTGGTTTTCTGCAGGTGTTAGCAGCCAGACATCTGCCCAATCCAGACCACATCGTCAGTCCGTTTGTCCAGGTTGAGTTGTGGCCAAATTCAGGTCAAGCTGAAGACTACACTTTCAAAACTACGCTCTTTAGTAAGAAAGTGGAAACAAGGGTTATTATAAGCAGCATTACTTTTAGTTGATGGCTCTGTTGATGACTGCTGGTATCTTTCCAGAGGATAATGGACTGAATCCAGTGTGGTTGGGCCCAATGAATCCACCCAAATCCTTTGAAGTAAATGAGCCAGACTTGGCCTTCCTGCGCTTTGTGGTTTTCGAAGAGGACATGTTCTCTGATGCCAAGTTTCTTGCACAGGCCACTTTTCCTTTCAGATGTATTTGCTCAGGTAAATCCATCCGAATACAAATTTGAGCTTACAAATATTTAACATGTTTTAATTTGATTATTCAGTTGAATGAGACGTCACATTTTGGTGTTTGCATGAAAATAAAGTCACATAAAATGTCAAAATATAGGTAAATGTGATGATTCAGTGCAACAGATTCATTTAAATATTATACACCATACTTTGTCTCATATACCTTTTAAATAAGAAAAAGATTAAGTAACCTTACACCGTTTTATTATATTTTATGATTTTTAAATGGCTGACTAATAGGCAAATCCCAGTTCTTTGGCAAACCAGAGTAATGATTTAAAATGCATTTACTATTATATTTACTTTATATTTTTGGGATGAACTATGATATTTAAATAGTCTTGTAGTTTGCTAATTATTTTCACAAACTAATGTCTTATCTGGTCCGTTTTTATTATTATTTTATTAGGTTATCGGTCTGTCCCACTGAAGAACAGGTTTAGTGAAAATCTGGAGCTTGCATCTCTTCTGGTGCATGTACAGCAATATGAGGTGAGAAAGAACCAGTTGAGTTCACCCCCAAAAAACCTGTTCACATTCCCATTATTCCAAATATGTCTGGCTTTCTTCTGTTAAACATAAAACACAATATGAAGAATGCCTGATCCAAATATTTATTAAAAGACAATGGGCCTCATTCACCAACCATTGTTATGAACAATTCTGTTAATAAACCCCACAGTTACACGCTTTTTTTAAATTAAGAATCTGACATGTTTTCTGATCTGAAATTTGCTTTTAACCAAGAACAGAATCTCCAAACACTCATATACATATAAGTGATGATAGTTCGCTCAGAATGATCAGTTATTGCTGATTTATTTATTATTTATTTGTATGCTGAATAAGATATATGGCTGTAAAAATATATATACACTACCTGACAAAAGTCTTGTCGCCTATCCAAGTTTTAGGAACAACAAATAATTACTTGACTTCTAGTTGATTATTTGGTATCACACGTGGCTTGAAAGGCAAAGGCCTCTAGATTACGCTTATTTTACCAAAATAAAATATGATTATGCCTTGATTTTTAATGATTTAATTAGGACAGTAAGGTCTGACTTTGCTTAGACAAAAGTCTTGTCACTTAACAGAAATAACGTGCAGTATAAAATATAAAGTCATAGTGCAGTGGAAAAACAATTAATATTGTGTATGACTCCCACGAGCTTGGAGGACTGCATCCACACATCTCTGCAATGCCTCAAATAACGTATTAATAAACTCAACTGAAATAGCAAAGAAAGCGTTCTTGCAGGACTCCCAGAGTTCATCAAGATTCTTTGGATTCATCTTCAATCGCTCCTTCATCTTACCCTAGACATGCTCAATAATGTTCATATCTGGTGACTAGGTTGGCCAATCCTGGACTATCCCAGTCTTATGGGATATTGTAGGGTTTTTCCTATGGTAATTTGGAAAAATTGGCATATGCTTTCAATTAAGACATTGAATTCACTACCAATTAAAATAAAAATAAATATATCAATTCCTCTGCTTAAGAACATGTTGTGAATGTAGCGTAGATTGTTCTTATTAAGTTTCTTTAAAAAACATTTTTAAGAAGATATTGGTGAATGAGGGCCAATAATTTGATTGTTTTTACTATCATTAATGTAGCACATGGTATATACTTAGAGCACTAAATTAGACGTCTGAATGAGCCAAACTTATGTAAAGTATATATTCAGCGTTACAGTAGTGTTAGAAATCCAGAGATTTTTGCAATGAGCTATACCTGTATCCTGGATTTGGAACGCATTTGGAACTTCTAAGGGTCATTTTTCTTTTAGATTAGTTAACATTAACCTCAATCCCGCTGATATGAGAACAGAATCATCACCAGAAACGTATAGCAGCCTAATCTAAAATAACACCATTTCCTCATTCCGGTCAGTAATGTCTAATCTATTTTGTCAACAGGTGTAAAGTAAACACGCCTTAACCACAAGGAACTAGCAGACCTGTCAGTGTGTGAAAATGCTGTAAAGCAGGATGTGGTTTTTTGTCTTCTGCTTTTTGGAGGCCACATTCCAGGTTCTGGATCATCACATACATATGTTTTGCCTTGATAAACTCAGTAAACTGACTTAAGTTGCGCATGCAGGAATATTTCAATAGTTTTAATAAAGAATTTTGGCAGAAGTGTAGCACATCAATGCATTTGAATTGTTTTTGCAATACTTCATTTGTAAATTCTATGTGCAGTAATGGTTCACATACTACACCAAGGATAAAATTTACATCGCATATACTATCAGGATTGCATAAAAAATATTTGATTAATTCAAAAGCAATCTTAATTTTAAATGTTCTTGATTTGCATGTTTTTTTTAATTGATATTGGAATGAAATAATGTTTTCATACGATATAAAAAAATAGATTACAGCAAATAAGATTTTGTCAAAATCTCTAGTAAATTAGATTTTTAATACAATTATTTATTCTGTTGTATAGTCAAAATCATGATCTAAATGTAAACAATCCTGATTCTCATTTTATCCAGAATCATGCAGATCTAATGCACTGCAAGCATAAGATATGTCTCAAACTCAATTCCTGGAGGGCCACAGCTCTGAACAGTTTTGCTCCAACCCTAATCAAACACAGCTAATTTAGAAGTCTTGAACACCGTGATAAGATGGATCAGCTGTGTTTGATTAGAGTTGGAGCAAAACTGTGCAGAGCTGCAGTCCTCAAAATTGAGTTTGAGACATATGGTATATACAGTCTGGTATATAGGAACACAATTCTTGGCACTATACACAATTTATTCTTGAAGTCTATACACTAAACATGTTTAGCTCTTTACACCAACACAATGGATTTGAGGAAATAAGGGAATAACACACACCTGGCCATAAAACAGCTGAGAAGCCAATTGTCCCATTATTTTTTGGTCCCTAAACAAGTGGGAGGCACATATGCAAACTGTTGTAATTTCTACAGCGTTCACCTGATTTGGATGTAAATACCCTCAAATAAAAGCTGACTGCCTGCAGTTAACGCACATCTTGATTTCATTTTATTTCAAATCTATCGTGTTGGTGTATAGAGCCAAAAATGTTAGAATTGTCTTTGTGCCAATATTTACTGACCTGACTGTATTTCTGTAGACCATTTTGAGGGATGTAAACAATAACAATGGTCCTAATGTACTTCCCTGCTTTACATTTTTCATTTCCATAGCCCCCTAGAATTCTAAACGGGTCCATATCTTTATAAACAACATTACGACAGCTGTTTTAACATTGAGATATGATTGAATTACCTTTTGTAACAGTTATTAAAATAGTTTGACAACGATTAGGATTTGTTCATGGGCCAATGGCATCACCACATTGAAATGGTCTATTACATATAAATGTGTATTTATAATTTGATGTAAACTTTAGAAAATTATATATATATATATATATATATATGTATATATATATATATATATATATATATATATATATATATATATATATATATATATATATATATATAAAATATATAAACTTTAACCTAACTACTGAGTGTTCAAGTAAAACTCGCCAATAAACATACGTTGGAAGCGTTCTATTTGAAACATATTCACAGACAGTTTATTTTGATTGAAACTGGTTCACATATTAGGCTTATTTTCCTGTTGAAGGTTGTGTGTTCTCATTACAACAGCCACAGAGCAGCAGCAGCAGCAACCCAGCTGAAGATAGAAGCAGAAAAACACAGAAGAAACAAGGGCAGCAGTTTTATCTGCAGAAACTCCAGGAGTCATGGGAAATGTAGTTCGTTCTGTATGTACACCACTGGGCCACGGGGACCCCACTCGCATCTCATTAAGACTCAGTCTCAATTCAACATAGCAAAAAGCGCGCTTTAAAGAAAAAGAAGATGATGAAAATAATGAAACGTCATAATATGTTGTTGATAATGAGACACTGAAAACACAGATAGCACAGTGAGCTCCACAGGATATTACAAATTAATAATCAGCTGACTGAAGTATCCAATAGATCAGCCATCATCCAAAGAGATGGCTTTGGTTTTTTTTTTTTTTTAACAAAATGAAGGCTGGGGGAAACCCAGCCCCCTAAATCCTTCCCGAAAAATGGTCCGCTGTTAAAAACGAAGACCATTACGAAATGTCAGTCACATTACCACGGCTTGAGTTTCACCAGTGTACAAGATGGCACAGGTTCAAGTCCACTCACAAACGCACCTAAATAACGCACACATTCTCAAATTGAATCCATCCGTTTACTTCACGCACACCAACTCTGTCCATCTTTCACTTTAACAAACACATATTGATCCATGTGGTAAGTGGCTGAAGGGGGGCTAGTGATTTTACCCTTATATTAAAATCTGTATGATCAAATTGCAACATGCAAAAAGAGAATTAACAAACAAACAACCAACAAAAGTGGATAAAACGACAGAAAAAAAGAAGAATTCAAATACAATAACAGTGCACTTGGTCTGGGAGCGGGAAAAGGGAACCAAAAAATATATATAGGTGACCGTATGCATGAATCTCAAAAATTAAAATGAAGGCAACAATGAGTCTCCCAAAATCTTGAGAGAAAGAGAACTCGGGAAATTATATATACACTCATATGTACATTATACAGTATGCAACTACGCAAGATGGCAGAACACAAACTGGCGCCCTTATGGCACCCAGTACGAATCGCCCCACCACCCCCATCTCCGGACGGCATCTATATCTGTATGAAACCGAACACACACGCGCGCACACACACAAGCTGGACCTATGAAAACTGCTACTTTCAAGAAGGGGCGGCGACTCTGTCTAGATATATTTCAAAGTGGGAGTTGAGACAGACGCGCCTTTGTAAACATAAGAAAACTTCTCGATTTAAGTTACGACGGCAATCGATTGTTTACTTCCAATTGTTTTTCTTCCACCTCATTAGTCGAGCGATTGACTGTAACTTATTACAGTGGTCATAAACTATACGCCGATCACAAAAGCGAGAAAAACGAAATATAAAAAGGTTGAACTGCATAACATAGCACAAATCTTGGCTCGATTTGATATAAATATGCGAACATTGTCGACCGTTGTGGCAGGACGCTCGTGGTGGACTCCTATCGACCACTAGAGGCGAAGTTTACAGAGAATAATAAAGCCTGTTTTAAAAGTCCATGTTTCTATGTACAACTTTAGCGGACTTGAGTTGCTAGGTGATGCTATCTTTACAGAAAAACAATGTTTTAGGCACCATCTTGGTTCAGTATGCTTGACAAAAGTTCTTAAAAGGACCAGAAAAAAGGGGAAGTAGTCCCAGTCTACTTCCTGGACGATGTTCTCTTAAATATGGGTGTGAAATTAAAATTAAGCTGTACAATGTGGCTAAAAAATAAAGAAGAGGAGAAAGGAAATGACGAACAAAATAGATTTGTTTTCTGAGCAAAGCCCCTGAAAAGTCCGCATTAAAAATGGGGTCGATTTTCTATACAAACACACACATTTATGAAAGCAGTGTATGGAAAAATATGCTTATTCAAGTCGATAAAAATGATTTTCAGAGCGATAGAGATATAGAGATGACATGTCGAGAAGTCAACACTTCTCATGTTTTACACCAGAAGCCTCTCTCTCTTGAGAGAATGCACTAAATGACGAACTCTGAACCGAGAGGACCAAGCACACATGTAACAAGAACGAAAAATAATAACATGACGTGGAAATGGCTTTCCACACAGAAGGTGATATCAAAAGTGTACTGGAATGTGGCTCTGAATATTCAGGCCTTCACCAGATGCTGGTGCCACAGGGGAAATGGCTCCAGGTGGTTCAAGGAGAAAAGGGACGAATCAACTTGTCTTTTTAGGGGACGAAAAAAGGTACAGGTTAAAACGAGGGCCGTTGCTCCTCTGAGGGAGTTTGAGAGAAAGTCCCCTGATGATGTCATTAGAAAGGTTTCTGTGCTGTTTGATGATGTCATGAAACGTGTTCTGGCATTCAGATATGCCGCTTTAAAGAGCGTCCTTGTTTTCTGATGAGACACTAGATGATTTTTGAGCATTTATGATATCACAAGGTCCTTGTTTGAATAAATACAGTCGTCCTTTTCTTGATTATGTCGTATTCGGATGATGTATAAGCGACTTAAAATCTCCTTGATGCGTTGCGTTCACCACGCCTCTGTGTAGCGAACATCCACTTCCTTTAGATTGGGTAGTTTGGCCTTTGGGAAGAGAGAGAGAGAGAGGTTTAGATGGTGAGATGTTTATAATGTGACATGTTCCTGGTTCAACATCTGTTCCTGGAACAGCATTCCTATCGACCCATCATTCCACTCTGATTTTAGAGTCAAGGTTACCATCGATTGATAGCTGAACCAGGAACATGTTGTGCTTGTGTAAATCACTATATGCATATGGGCAATAAAATACTGTGAGCGTGATAAGAGTTAAAGGTGAAGCGTGTCGCTTCTGCTCCATTAGAAAGAGCAAATGGAAGTGGAAAAATTGACAGTTCAGATTTGTTTTTTGAACACTCCTCTCCCCCACTCGGCTATTGTAAAGTATGCAAACTCATACTTTTGGTCAGGTTAAAGTTGCTGTTTTGTGCTGGCTGTAATGACTGTAATAAACTGAAAAACAGATGTCTAGAGCATCATATTTGGGTGAAATTAACCAATGAACTTGCACAGCTGTTCAAAAGTTTGGATCTGTGTGAAGTTGCATTTATTTGATACAAAACAGAGTAAAACAACCATTTTTTAAAATATTATTACAATTACGATTTTTAAAAGTTTTTTTCTTTACATCTATCTATCTATCTATCTATCTATCTATCTATCTATCTATCTATCTATCTATCTATCTATCTATCTATCTATCTATCTATCTACTGTATCTATCTAATCCATCCATCCATCCAACTTAATTATAGACCTGATTTAATTATATTTTATTATAAATTATGATATTTTTTATTATTATTTTGCTCTTTAAAAAATTTTGTTTTTATTTATCTAGTAAATGATTAGTGGATATTTTTGCTGTTATTGTTCATGATTTGCTTTTGGAGTACATTTGGACTATAACCTAATCGCACAGTCAAGTAAAACTTGACTCTGATTAGATTTCTGGAAGCATATTGTACATTCATCCTGATAAGTTTACTAAAATAAAAAGTTGCTCAGTATGGTGTCAGGGACACAAATAAATGGGTAAAACATTTTTTTCTCAGTGTGTAAATGAAAGGGATTTTGTAAAGTTTTGCATAATGGCAGCAAAAAGATCATAACTTGCACACTGCGTTATCTTTTTCTTAATTAGTACAATTTTATTTTGAAATGTTTTGTAACAAAAACCTTTCCTGTCTTTGATTTAGCAGAATTTATTGCAGTATTAAAAAACACAAACAAAATCTTTTAGCTAGCTTCTTCTCAAATGGAAACAGGTCATTCCTCCATCACATAACATGTGGAACTGAGAAATCTTTAGCTGCAGAAAACTTAAGAAATTGTTATGTTACTTTCAGGATCTCTCAAATCTTTTGTCAAAACCCGAAATCCTGTTTTAGACTATATCAAAGGGTTATCCTGTTCTGTTGATACTAGATCTAATACACTACTAGACAGAGGGAATTTCGACTCTTGATCTTTTCACCTATTTAAACAGTTTATTTTTACTCTTATATTCTCATTTATTTATAACCTATCTAATTTTTTCAGAGAATATGTTTGTTTTAAATTCATTTTATTTTTATTTTGAGGGGAAGACAGTCTATGATTTTTTTATTCTGTATGCTACACTACCTGACAAAGGTCTTGACTTCAAGTTGATCATTTGATATCAGAAGTGCCGTATATGAAAGACAAAGACCTCTAGATTAGGCTTGTTTTACCAAAATAAAATATGATCATGCCTTGATTTTTAATTACTATGTCATGGTGCAGTGCAATGGAAAAATAATGAATAATGTCTATGACTCCCATGAGCTTGGAGGACTGCATCCATACATCTCTGCAATGACTCAAATAGCACAATTAATAAAGTCATCTGAAATGGCAACCAAAGTGTTCTTGCAGGACTCCCAGAGTTCATCAAGATTCATCAAGATGGGTTTATCTTCAATGTCTCCTCCTTTATTTTACTCCAGACATGCTAAATAATGTTCATATATGGTGACTGGGCTGGCCAATCCTGGAGCACCTTGATCTGCTTTGCTTTCAGGAACTTTGATGCGGATCTCTCGCATGTCTCCAAACTGAATGTAACCCCAAATCATGATTTTTTTTTTCTTCAGCAAACTGTGAGAATCTTGGCTAAATGCAGGTTCCAATAGGTCTTCTGCAGTATTTGTGATGATTGGGATGCAGTTCAACAGATGACTCATCAGAAAAATAGTCCTTCTGCCACTTTTCCAAATGATCAACTAGAAGTCAAGTTATTATTTGTTGCTCTTACATCTGGTATCGACAACAAGACTTTTGTCAGGTAGAGTATGTATGGTCTTGTTAAATGCAAAAAAAAAAAAACAACCTTACTGACCCTAAACCTTTAAAAAGCAGTTTCCCTTTTTGCGTATTAAACTGAGATAGGAGATGTAATATCATACATTTCAACTTTAAATTCAAGTTTCTGCTAAAGTCATTATCCTCTTACCTTCAGGTCCTCATAGGTGTCTGCGGTGAGTTTAGTGCTGTTCATATTCAGACTGCACAGACTTTTCATTGCTGCAAGGCAAATGTTACAATAAATTATCTGTTCAACATGTTAACTAATACAAACCACTAACTAATGCAAACAAAACGTAATAAAAAGGGTCAATTAGAAAAATAGATTCTGTCATTATTTACACATCTCCTCGGACCTTCACAACAAAAGCAGATGATGGTTTATATGATTCACATTGCACCTTAAAAAATAGGAGCTATTGAAAGCTGAAAGCTCATCTTCTATTACATCTCATTTGTGCTTGTGTTCATTAAAAAACACATCAGGGGGGCGAATAATTCTGATTTCAACTGTATGTATGTATACGTGTAAGTATATGTATAAAATGTCATAAATTTCTAAAACAATATTTTAGGCCTTAAAAAGTCTTAAATTTACTGATATGTTGTCTTGTAGGTCTTAAATTATTTTTAACAGGTCTAAATTTTCCTCTGTCCCCTTCAGACACATAACCACATTTCCTTGACTTCACTGATGGCTAAAACCACTGGTTATCGCGCGTAATGTGACGTGACCACTGAAAATGACATTGGAGATCTGCGGTGGAGAGCGAGATCATTCTCGAACAATGACTGGCTTCAGAAGACGCGAGTCATATTTTATGATAGTGGGGAGCTCAATGGTATAAATCAGCAACTTCTGAAAGAGTGTATGAAAAACAGGAGCTCGGACATTGTGTTCTTTGTGTTCCACAGAAGAAAGAAAGTCAGCCATACTGGTATGGAAGGACATCATGGACTGTAAATCATGACAGAACTGAGAAGGCGGTTGGAATTGATTTAGATCAAGAGGTTATAAATCTAATTGGTTTCATTTTGGCAGCAGCTGTTTCTCTTTTAGTTTTTAGATAATTGGATGTAAGATGTGCGTGAATGTGCTCTTACAGCTGAGGGAAAGCAGGCCTGCGTCTGTCACAGGAGTCTCACACAAGTTCAAAACCTGCAGACAGGCCAGATGCTCGGATAGCAAACGAAGACCCGCGTCTCCAAACTAAAACACACAAATCAAATCAATAAAAACATTTCATTTGCAGAATAAAACTTTCTTTTTTCGTCAGCAAGAAGGCATGAAATTGCTCAAAAGTGACAGCAAGGACATTTATACTGTTCTAAAATATTTCTATTTTACATAAATGCTGTTCATTCATACTTTTTTTGAAACAGATAATAAGAAATGCTTCTTGAGCATCAAAGTAAAGAATAAACTTTTAAAATATATTTAAGTATAAAGAGTTTATTTAATGTATTTGGCTGACTTGGCCAGGTATTGTCTGAGCCGGTGACATTCTTGCTGTGTGGCCGTGGTGTTAACCATTAGGCCTCCGTGCTGCCCTGACAAGGAAATGGGAGGAATAGGGGTGGAAGGGGGGATTCTTCAAGACGAAGATGGCTGAGGTAAGATACTCTGGTTATTTATAGTGGTTAAGGAGTCGTCTGATTGGTAAATCAGTGTTAGCTAATGTGGACCGCATTAGTTTTTTCTGAACAAAAATAAAACCATCTTACAGAAGACAAACTAAAAAAATCATTCAAACATTATTTGCACTTGCTGTAAATATATGGTTTGTGTGAGCAATAACTCTTTTGCGGTGCAAACTTGATGTTCTGAGTTTCTCTTACTATTTTACCATTAGTTTATTCTTTTGGTCATCTCAATGTTATTCAAAAATCTTGTCAGGCATATTTATAATAATAATAACTTGATGACCAATCACAAGACTAAAAATTGACAGTGGCAAAATACTGCAATTTTAAATTATTATACCTCACCAGCATCCTTCAAACTAATTGGTTTTACCAGTTTGTCATCATAAGCCGTTTTTAATACTCTAAAACAATCAAATTTAATGACTACTTCTTTTATATATTTAATTAAGAACAGATTAAAATAAGAACATAGTTTCATTTTTAGATGAATATATCTTTTACACTGAATGAGGATGTAACATTATTTGACCAATATTTTGACATTTCATTTTCACAGACATCAAAACAGACACTTTACTTACATTTAATATACTTTTATGTATATAAAACTACTTTTTTAATGCAGACATTGCAATCTTGTCTATGTCCCGCTTATGTAAATTGTATATGATGTTTCTTCATGCGCATTCTTTGAAGTGTGCTAGAATAGGGTCACACTTAACTTCAGTTCTAACTATTAACTAGTGGCTTATTAACTGTATATTAATAAGATCTGAGTTGTTTGTTAATACTCATCAAGTACATAAACTGCATAATATTATTCTACATATCTAGTCCTACTCCTTTATCTAAACCCAACTACCACATTCTTAACTATTAAGAAGCAATTTAGGAGTTTGAGACAAAAGCATTAGTTAATGGTTTTTAAATAGCAAGAACACTTACTTAAAATAAAGTGTGACCCACAATAGTAAAGATTTTCTTAAACGGTGTAACCAAGCAGATGAAAAACAGACCTGAGTGGACCACAGGTTGAGCTGTTTAAGAGATGGCAGTTTGATGAGCTGTTCGGCGCAGGCACTAGTGACGTTGGTGAAGGCCAAACTGAGGTTCTCCAGGTTACCAAAAGAACCAGAGCTCAGCAGACGGGCCAAGTCAGCATCCTAGAGTCAAAAAAACAAAGCCCTTGAGGATGGATTTTATGGCATGGTTTTAGAGCTGTGCAATATGACGACACATACTGTATCATATGGACAAAATAAAAGCTCTGCCGTTTCATACTATGATCGTTTATTTCATGATGTTACAAAATACATTGTTATGGTAATACTTTTTCTTTCTTTTTTATTTATCGGATTTTCTGCATGATAACATTCATTTTGTATTATTGTTTAACAACACTGCCCTTATGAACGCTCTCCTCTCTCTTTTTAATGGGAAGAATAAATAAAATAAATAAATAGAATAAATTGAGTAAACAAATAAACAGTTTAACAACAAGAAAAAAATTAATTAAATCAATAAAAAATGTGAACAAAATGAATGTATGAATAAGTGCTCAGCTTTAAGGATCAAGAGAGTTAGCCAGCAGATAATCTAAAAAGGATCGCTACATCTTGTTAAAGATTTTTAACACTTAAAGAGAATAAGACGTCTTGCCAGTAATCTATTTTATTTATATATTTATTTATATATTTATTTATTTATGTTGGACCTGTAATGATAATTTTTTTTTAAGTTTTTTTTTTTATATTTTTTAAATAAAGTAAGTATATTTCTGAGTATATACTTTAAAATGTAAAACAAAAAAGAAACAGTCCTTTATTAGGGTTTCCGCAGGTTTAATCAAGTCAAACTTAAGACTTTTAAAGACCCTTTTAAGACCATTATAAATAAAATTTTAGACTTATACAGGGCTAAACAATAATAATTATTTCTATTTGCCCGGTTGGTTGCCAAAAATAAATAAATCTAATGTAATTATTTCTTAGCAACATATTTTAATGTGTCAAAACAAGAAAACTCTAGTTGTAAACACTTTCTTTTATAACAAATTTAACATTGTTAAAAGTATATTTATTATGGAGACAATGACATAAATGATCAAAAATATACATTTGTTAACTTTTGGTCCAAATTGACCGAGTATAATGTATCACGCAAAGTGATAAGTGGCTCTGTTATTATAATAAGGAATTGTGTAATAGTTTTAAGGTTTCTTTCCCTGATAAGAAAATTCAATTTAGAGAAAATGCTGTAAAAAAAAAGTCAAATAGCTATTGTAAATTGGATCTTTTTGCAATAAAAATAAAAACTTAAATATAAAAAAAAGTTTTATTGAGATGGATTGTTGATGATTCAATGGATTTCGGCCTGTTTATTTGGACAGAGAAAAATTTAGACCAGTTAAAAATAATTTAAGACCTACTAGACAACATATCAGTAAATTTAAGACTTTTTAAGGGCTAAAATATTGTTTTAGAAATGTATGACATTTTCTACATATACGTACACGTAAACATACATTTGAAGTCAGAATTATTCACCCCCCCCCCCCGTTTATTTTTCCCCAATTTCTGTTTCACTGATTTCTTCAACACATTTCTAAACATAATAATTTTAATAAAAAAATAACTGCTTTTATTCTAGCCAAAATAAAACAAATCAGACTTTCTCCAGAAGAAAAAATATTATCAGACATACTGTGAAAATTTCCTGAATCTGTTAAACATCATTAGGAAAATATATTTTTTTAAAAATCAAAGGGGGGCTAATAATACTGACTTCAAATGTATGTATATATATATATATATACAGGATATAAATTGACTTATATGTGAGGAGATTTTTGTAAAATCACCCAGCCCTTTATGGTTTCACAAGGAAAACAACAACATCCACAAATACACATTGCAGTTTCCACAAACACAGACTTACCGTAGATTTTGAGGGCAGAGTGAGTCGAGTAGGGCCTCCTTTTCTTTGCTAAATAAAGAAATAGATTCATTTAAACAGCAGGTGGAGCTTGTGAGTTACAAGAGTAAAACTAGAAAGTTTGTAAATGGGTCACTTGTGTCTTTCTGTGTTAATGGGAGCACCGCTTTTAACTAAGAGTCTGATCTCAGACTGTGACGCCAGCAGTGGCTGTGCGTGGTCTTATCGAAGTCTCCATTTGCACGCTCACCAGCTCTTTAAGCTCCCTCTGTCTGTCGCACAGCTGCTCGTACATGCGCAAGCCGACCTGGGTACTCTCTAGGGTGGAGATGATCTGAAGCTGGGTGTCCTTGTTCTCGATGATGTTATACTCCAGCATCAAACACAAGATCTGCACAACATACACACACAAGGATGAATGTTGTGTCCTATGTGCAAGGTCACCAGGACTTAATTTTCAACACATACTGTAGATAATATTACACATATACTGTATTAATGGACTCTGTGGGACTATTCTAAATTGCTAAAACTGTCGATTTTATTCAACAACACGCAGTTTGTTGCATGTAAATTCCTCAAAAATGGTTAAAAAAGGTTAGTTACATTTATAAAGTTACTGTGACATTAATAATAGTCGAAATGATATCAAAGTTATTGTGACATTCATAATAGTGCCAAATAAGCATTACTGTAAAGTGCTCACAAGCCTATACACCGAGCACATAACATCTATCTTCATGTCTTGCTACTTTCACAGAATTTGTATAGTTTATTCAGATTCGAGAACAATATCTTTTTCAAATGTTTGCCTTTTAAGGCCCTAAAACATGCACTCAAAAAATTCTTCGGTGCTTGTAATGTAACCGCATACACTTATTCTGCACATTTGACTGATTGCTTGCATTTATTTACTATATTGTATAAGATTATTGTACGTTATGGTTTTATAATGATCAGCATTGATTATTAAAACTAATATTCAGCAAAAGAGAAGGTAGGCCTATGTTTCGCATTTTCAATGAAAATGAAAGGAGGCCTATATGTTACAGGCTCCATTTTGTTATGCATACAGTGAAAATGATGATCATATAAATATGAAGCTACATGACGCCTCAAAATTTTTAGTGTCTGTTAAATTATTATCAAAATGAAAATAGGCTGAAAATTATGTTATAAAGTACACTGTTTCCTTTAAAGATTTTGTTTTCCATTGTTTCCGAGTGTGTTTTCTATATCAAAAAGTTCAATTTTTGGAGAGGGTGCTCGTTGCAGAGCCATTTGAGGAGAGCTGAGCTCCAGCGAGTGGGAGCATGAGCTGTCGCTCCTCCTCCTGTAAGCTGTTTTAATGCGTACACCAACCCCACCCCTAACCCTACCCCCAGTGACATCACTCGTAGAAGAAGTTCAAAAAAGGTGGAGCTCAAGCTTAAGCTCCCCCTCGCTGGAGCTCAGCTCTCCTCAAATGGCTCTGCAGCGAGCACCACTTGAATTTTTGGCGCTCGAAAACTCCATAGTTTAGTGTGGACAAATGGCGTAACCGTAGCAAAGCTTTTTCAAACTAAAACGTATTAGTGTAAACGGGCCTAAAATGCCACAAAATCTGTGGAAAATATGAAAAACTGAGGTGTATTTTAGGCTTTAGCAAAATGTTAATTAATTGGCTACCTTTTATTATGTTTATTTGCTGATCAAGGCCCACTAAAACAAGTTATAGAAGATAAAATGGCTAATGAAGTGGAAAAAATGCAAAAAAAAAATTGAGAAAACATGGAATAAATGAGCAGATATAATTTCTGTATGTAATTACACATATTATTTAATTTTCAGTTTTTTTATGCAATAGTCATGGTCTGACTAGACTGTGGGTGATTCTGGATGTGTCCTTTTAGGCTAATGCAGAGTTTAGACTGAATGATTTTAGCCCTGATTTTGACTCGCCGACAGGTTTTAAGAAATCACAGACATATATGCCTGAAATCACAGGCAACTCGGAACTCGCTCACATGAGTAACAAATCACACAACTATCAAAGACGAATCGCTTATCTTAGTCGAGTCTTTAACGCCTGTGAGAAAAATATAATCTGGGGCTATCAGTGATTGAAATCATGCGGTATGTGTGATTGAAAATAACATTGGCGACAGTGGCGTAGCGGGCGTGACCAGAGGGCTAGGGGCCATGCAGTTTGAAAACATCTGTGACACAACTACTTTGAAAATTGTGCACTTTGAATTTGGCATAAGACTAGCAAAACTAGTGGCGTCAGAAGCTTAAAGTCTGCCAGTTGGAAAAGTCCTTGAGTTGAACTGTCCTAAACATGTTACTTTGGTGTGCAGCTTTAAACCAAGCAATATATCAATTTAAACCAAGCAATATATTCAGTCATATGTACCTCCACCATGGTCTGGTTCCCCCGCAGGGCCAAGAGCATGCAGGGTCCCAGTTTATTTTCAGCCAGCGACAGCAGAAATTTCTTCGTCTTGTAGCAGGAACCCATGAGGATGTGGACCTGTAAGGACGAGTAATATCAGACCATAAATGTAAATATAGTGGTAAAACAAACGACCAAATGCAACATTTCGGATTTCATTCAAACACTTTCATACCATGCTAGCAAACAACTCTCCATCATCGTCGCAAGCTACGCCTCCAGGACTGTAGAGCTGGAACCAGCCATCTTTTCCAGAGCGCACGCTGAGCAAACAGGAGTGGACCTTAAAGAGACACGTGTACATACGGTTTACAATGGCTGAAGCTCAACAAGCCATTGTTTACTAAGCCTACAGTGGCAACTTTAAGCAAGCATGCGTTTGAAACTGTAAAGCAAACAACACCCTTTCAGCAAACAGCGGTTTTCCTGTCTCACCTCTTGTCTGGGATCTTCAGCAAACCTCTGAATGACATATTTCAGCTCTCTGTTAAAATGAGAAAAACAAGAGCTGTTAGAAGACATGAGGCGTATTTGACTCAAACACTTTTAGTAACGATTCTGGCATCACTTATTCATTGTGTATTGCTATAAACCCTTATTTCTGGCTCACTTTTTTCATGCAGTTACATTTAAAGGGGACTGAAAGTTTTAAATAAATGAAAAGAACCATAAGGTATATTAAGAAATGGTTTACAAGTATTCATTATTTTTGCAGATATTCAAATGTCAAAATGTTACGTTTAACAACCTATTATTGATCAATACTGGGAAATCACGCAATGCAAATCTAGAATATGAGTAAGTTTTGCGAAACAAATCTACAAATGAGGCATTCAGATACATTCTTGGCCATAAAATAGCTTGACTATTAAATATTTGATCCACTTTCTATTTTTGAGCCCCCATTTTTTGATCCACATTTGATTTACCATATTCACTAGTATGAATTTAGAAGGCTTGAAATGTTGTATAGACCATTTTCTTGGTGTATTTTGTCAAATTGGAGCTTGGAAATGTTTATTAAAGTGACGAGTCAGGACATTTTCTTTTGCAGTTGTTACACAGAACTAAGAAAGACTTACATGTTTGAAAATAGGGTGGGAAAACGATGAGTGAATTAGATTTTTTTGTGTGAACTACACTGAGGTATCATAATGACTACACCTAACTTTCAAATCTTCATCACAACTCTTAAAGGAGCAGTTCAGCCAAAAATGAAAAATCTGAATTTCTTCTGTGAAATCTTCTGTGAAATTCTTCTTGAAAAAGTGTTAAAGAAATTTGGGAACCAAATAATATTATTTTCCAAATATCTTCCTCTATGTTTTACGTATGATCATTTACTCACCCTTGCACGGTTTCTTCCATGGAAAATAAAATATATTCAAAAGAACACATAAAGAAAAATCACCGACACATTATTTTTTATATGTAATTATATATTTAGTCTTCCTTTATGTTCCACAGAAAAACGTCATTGAGAATGAGTAAACGATGACATTAGTTTCACTTCTAGGTCAACTATCCCTATTCAAGCCAATCAGACGGTTAGTCATTTTCATATTATACATGCTATTACTTGTTATTATATATTTACAATGACTTTGCAAGTGAATAGCTTAAAATAATTAAAGAATAGTTGCCATCATGCATTTTGATCAGAAAAAGCAATTATTTTTATTGTATTACAAGTATACAAAGAATGTGTGTCTAAATATGCAAATTAGGCAGTTTTTAAATAATTTGTGCATCAATTTGCTAACTTTTCTAGCATAGAAATCTGAACATCAGAACATAAAATTTATTTTTTCTTTTGTTTTTTTTTTTACAGAAGGGATTTTGGGAATCTCTTTTTATTACTTCATTATTCAAAAAATTTTTTTTAAAGAATACAATGGTAAAGTTTGTAAAATAAAATGTTTATAAAATTGAAGTTTGGTGTGTAAGTGCTGCTTAAGTAGAGATTTATTAAGTAATTAAACTTAAATAATTTGTGAAAAGCTTTAAAATTCAGCATTTTAATCGATATATAAAGACATAAATTGATAAAGTGAGACAAAATAAACACTTAAAATGCATTGAGTGTTGAAGAAAATAAAATCATTTGTAAAAAGCTTTAAAACTATGTATTTTAATTGATACCTAAAGACAAATTGATAAAGCGGGACAAAAGAAACACTTAAAATGTATTTTGAGTGCAGAAAAAAAACATAAATTTGCCAATAACTTTAGGTATCAACTAAAATTCATAATTTTAAAGCTTTACAAATTATTTTAGTTTCCCCTGCACTAAAAATACATTCTAAGTGTTTCTTTTGTACCGCTTTATCAATTTGTGTCTTTAAATATTAATTAAATATACATATTTTTAAAGACTCAAATTGATAAACTGGGACAAAAGAAACACTTAAAATGTATTTTGAGTCCAGGAGAAAATAAAATAATTTGTTAAAAGCTTTTAAACTATGTATTTTAATTGATATCTAAAGACATAAATTGATAAAGTTGGACAAAAGAAACACTTAATATGTATTTTGAGTGCAGGAGAAACTAAAATAACTTGTGAAAAGCTTTAAATTTTTGTTTTCAAGCGATATCTAAAGACATAAATTGATAAAGTGGGACAAAAGAAACACTTAATATGTATTTTGAGTGCAGAAGAAACTAAAATAATTTGTGATAAGCTTTAAATTTTTGTTTTCAATTGATACCTAAAGACATAAATTGATAAAGTGGGACAAAAGAAACACTTTAAAATATATTTTGTTATGTTTTCTTTAAATTTGAATGATAAAAAACAATTTATACAAAGTTTAAAATCTCAAAACTGATAAATGCATGAAAAAAAGAGCCTACAGTGTCTGCCTTAAACCCTTATTCAAGCAATTCTTTAAACAGTTGGATCAAAACCATCACTTACTTTGTGAATTTGGCATGTGCGAGGGCCCTGGAAGAAAAAGCAAAGCGTGAAAAACATTGACTCAACTCAGGCACTCAAGAAAAAGACAGTGTTGTCATTCCACATAATTACACAAGTTGCTTTCTGAGTCTATATGCGGTTGCGTTTGCCTCGGCACACACGATGCTACAGTTTCAAGTGTCTCGTGTGTGCGTCTGAAAGGACCTCATCAAATGTTCTTTACATGTATTTCACAAGTGCTCTGGGATGCTGTTAACTTTTTCTAATGATGGCTGGAAGCTCAGCGTGGCGTATGAGCACAGGTGAGCCCCCGCCACCTGTTGTTCTGTGTCCTGCAGGGCCAATTACAGGAGCCACAGAGGACCAGAGATGCCTCACCCAACACCCACAATCCCACAGCAGAGGCACAATTCCGCGTCAGACCTCTCTCTCCTGAGAGACCAGTGCACCGCATGTACACACAGAGCCCCGGCAGCACTATGCAGGCTTCGCATTCAAAATATGAACTCCAATTCGTATTTCACATACTTGTGTTCAAAAGTTCAAAAGGCTGGAAAGACTTATTTATACATTTCGATTTTGGAAGAAGTTTCTTTAAATACTGTAAAATAGTACAACATATTGCAAAGTCTAAATAAATGTTTTAAATTTTATATTAACTTTAAAATTATTAATTTATTCCTGCAAATTTTGCAGCATCATTACCTCAGATCTTTAAGAACATTTTCTAATATCAACGATTATGCAATCGATGTTAAAAACAATTGAGCTACTTAACAGTTTAGTGAAATCCGCCATGCACTTTTTCAGGATTCTGATGAATGGAAATTTTTATTTTAAATTTATTTGAATGTTTTTCAACATTATACATTTCATGTTGCCTTAACACTTTAAAATGTTGGTTTAACAGTTTTAGTAAACTATAATAGGACATATTTATAGGTGCCTTATAAACAGAAATTTAAATAAAATGTAAGACTTTAAGACAGTTTTAAGATTATTATGAATGAAATGTTAGACTCAGACTACAGGGCTAAACGCTTAGGAGTTTTTCAAATGGCCCAGTTGGAAAAGATTTCTATTTGCACTATCTAACTTTTTTTGAATATACATAATATATAATTTAATAAATTTAATAATAGGCTAAAACAATGTTTGCAAAATTGTTGCTAACAGTTTATGTGTTGAATTTAAACAAAAAAAAAAATAAATTCAGTAATGTTCAACTTAATTTGTTTGTGTAAATTCAGCCCATATATATATATATATATATATATATATATATATATATATATATATATATATATATATATATATATATATATATATAAATAATTTTTTTTACAACCAATTAACCCTTTTATTTAGATTTTAAAATCATGAAACATCAATTTTACAACAAATTATTAAGAATTTAATTAAGATTTTTTACATTTATTTAAGCTTTATGAATTCTTTATGAACTTATTTTTCCTCATGTTCGAGTTTAATCCTGTTTAAATTAAAACATGGAAGAACAACACCATTATTCATTAAAATGTTTTATTTGAAAGTTATAATTATTATTAATTTGAAAACTTCTTGCAGCTTTGATTGTAATGGATCTCTATTTAATTATAATTTCAAATCATGTGGCATTGGTTGATAGCTAAAAGTAAAGGGCTGGGCAAAATGGCAAAAATGCAATCTTGATCATTATTTTCTATCCTCAACGATAACACTATATATTTCGATATGAGTTGTTAATGCTTTCACTTTTAAAAGAGTATCTCAACCATGACTGAAGGTGGATACTTCTGGCGGGAAAGTGAAGAGAGCGTGCTAAACAATACTGGGTGACGCAGCATGACCTGTAATAAAAAATTAACCTATAAATTTTGCCGACCAAAAATTCAAGGAATATCTAATCAACATAATTAAAGATTCCTGTTGTTGCATATTTCTACTGTGTGATTAGCTCTTTGAATCAATAGAGTAAAAATGACCAGAACTTATCATTGTTATCGACATACATTTTATTTCAATATGATATTGTTTCCCCTAAATTAAAGTCAAGAAGAAAAAAAAAAACAATGGTGATCAGGGTGAGAAGGATGTAAAAGCTCTTACTCTTTGGGGAAGGGGATGGGTTGAAGCAGGCTGGCCAGTGCTGGTCTCCAGTCATCATAGTCGGATCTGCAGAGAAAAAAGGCCAGATGGAGAAATTAGAGATTCAGAGACGGGAAGAAAATAAGAATCTTATGTAAGATCGGCCAGTGAAAGCTGAAACCTCTGAGGCTCTGCAAGAGGATGCTTCACAATAGGATCAGGTGGAGGTGGGAAAGGCTAAAAACAGATTCAGCTCAATGAATCTGTTAGAAATAGGCAGACTGGCCTAAGGTCACACCTGTGTGTCGGTATAGTGGAGTTGGCTTTTTTTTTAGATCCGAAAATGAACATTTATACACAACGTGGGACAATTAGCAGTGTTGAAATAGAAATAAAAAAGTAGCAATGGTACACAACATTTGTACTGAAACAGTTTGAATAGACTACCTCAAACAACTAGGACAACCAGTCAAACAAATACAATTACACAACCAGACAAAAAACTCATTTTCTGTGACTCAAACAGTGAAAGCATGTCCATTTAATTTCAGCAAAACATGTGGCTTCAGATCATTTATAGTTGAAAATTGGTCGAAGCTTTTTTTCAAATGTACATACTTAAGTTACTGTGTATGAATATATAATACATATTTTTAGATTATATTTTACAATCATGCAATTAAACAGTTACTACTACTATCTTTTTGAAAAGATGAATTATATTTTAACTTAAACATACATTATGTATTTTTTTATTACACCCATTATATATTTTGTATTGTATATTTTTAATATTATTATTCTTTTAAAGATTTATTTTTGGCCTTTTTACTTTTATTAGATAGGACAGTATTAGATAGGACAGGAAGCGAATGGTGAGAGAGGGGAAAAGGGTTGGCAAATGTCCTCGAGCCGGGATTCGAACTCGGGACGCCCTGATGTGCTTCTGCGCCGACTGTATGGTATAATTTAATAATAATGTGGTGACATTATTATCTGGCTCCTTGTTATTTAGATAAAAAAACTTTCTCAAAAGAAAAATTAGGTCATAGGTAATTACAGTACATGTGGTATACACACTTACAACAATTCATATCATGCACAACTTAATATTGTATACTATAGTACATTAATTCAGAGTATATAGAGGAATCAGAGTGAAATTCAGTAACTTTTAAGACTTTAAGACTCTTTTCAAATGTTTTAAGACCTAATAACCACTTTAGGTTTCAAATGGAAACACTGGAGAGATTTTAACTCGCAGTATATTTACTAAATATTAATGTAAGAAACTAATCCAAAACTAAAACATTATTCATACACTGTATGAAAATATAATAAATCTAGCTAATTCAGCAGGTTGATGCCTATAAAACTGCAGAAATAATGGCGTTGCCTTGGCTACAGAAGTAAACACAGCAGCATGATGTCAAATCTAGTAGGATTTCATTGATTTCATAAACTACACAGCATCCTGATATCACAGATTTAATTCAGGCAAACTTTAGCATACATTCTATATTCAAAAATTTAAAGATTTTAATACCTTGCAAAATAGCATTTAAGCCTTTTAAATACTTTATCATAAACTTTTAATACCTTAAGACCCAGCAGACACCCTGTAACTATACTGTAGTAAGTAATTCACTTTTTATTTAGTAATTTCATTAACTTTGTTTAATTAACCAACTTTTTAATTACTATATATAGGCAAGGAAAGGCTAACTTTATTTATAGAGCACAATTTTACACAACTATAGTTGATCCAAAGTAATTTACAATAAAATAAACTAGAAAATAAAAATAAAAACTGGTATTAAAATTACAAGGAAATATATATGTATAAAAGTAATACCAAAATACAAATAAAAAAAATAACATGCATGCATCACTTAAAGGCAAGAGAGTAAAAATAAGTCTTTAAGTTAGATTTAAAAGCATCCAATGAAGGAGAAATCCTGATGATCAGAGGGAGACTGTTCCAGAGCCTTGGGGCCGCAACACAGAAAGCTCGATCACCTTTTGATTTGCAGCGAGACGAGGGACAGACAACAGAAACTGGTCATGGGATCTTAACGGTCTACAAGCTGTATAAGGCCTAATAAGTTCACTTACATAGGCCAGGGAAGAATTGTGCAATGGTTTACAAATGAAAAGAAGTATTTTAAAACCAACTCTGAATTTTATAGGTAGCCATTGCAATGAGGCGAGGACAGGGGAGATGTGATCTGTTTTCTTAGTTCCTGTTATTAATCTGGCGGCTGCATTTTGGACCAACTGTAGCCAAGAGAGTGTTGACTGAGGTAGACCAATGTACAAAGAGTTGCAGTAGTCTAACCGAGAAGAGATTAAAGCATGCTATACGATTTCTAAATCTTTTTTAGAAAGGAACAGTTTAACTTTTGCCACCAATCTAAGCTTGAAAAAACTGCTCTTCACAACTTCAAATACACATAAACATACATGTATACATATACACACACAAATACACATACATGTATGCAGACACTCACACACAAACACATATAGCTATTTTGTGAAGCCAACATAATGGGCCCTATTATACACTCGGCACAATGTGGCGCAATAGTCTTTTGCTAGTTTCAGCTTGGCGCAAGAGTCGTTTTGAGGCGTTGCGCTACGCTGTTTAAATAGCGAATGCATTAGAGCTCATATGTGCGCCCATAGGCGTTCTGGTCTAAAAAGGAAGGCGTTCTGAGGCGCACTGCTGGCGCGTTGCTATTTTAACAAACTAAAATAGATTTTTTATTAGACCAAAACAAACCCAATCTAAACTCCAGCGCAGATTTGCGCCTCGCTTACGAACTGCTTAATACGCACAAGAGAGCAATAGGCAAATATATTCACATATGAAAAATTTTTAAATATTAATTATATATATAGCATATAATAATAATAGATATAGGATATAAATATAAAGGATTAAAGTATTACAAATCATATTATTTTCTAGCCTACATAAATATGAAAAACCACTGCTTTTATGTCTTCTTCATCTCAGGAGGCTTTTTCAGTTCATTCATAACAATTTGCTTTTGCATAATGTTATTATTATTAACAGTATTATTTATTTTATCCATATTTATATTTGTTTTATTAAAAACAAGCTTAGATTTGCCCACCTGTCAGGTTTTAGACCATATGGGGCACAGCATGTGTTTTAGGATATAACTAAGGTTTTTGAGCACACTTCATTATTATTGTTCATTTATTCGTTTGCTGGAAATTAGAACTGAATTTAGAAATAGTTTTGAAACGAATATTTGCGCTTAACAAACGCAATTGATTATTTATAGACTAATTGATGTCTGTGCGTAAAGGTTTCCCTATCCAATAGCGAAAGTAAAAGTAGATCCATTATCTGAAATTCTCACGCAGTAGATGCTCTGTTTAACAGTTTTGTCTTAAAAAAACTGTTAACTGTTTGCTTGTGAAATGCTCAGTTTTTCCACTTAGACTTACTTTACGTCCTGTAAATAGGAAATGCGCTTATGGCGCGACGCAGCTAGCTTTTAAAGGGAATGGGAGATGAGACTCTAATTGGTTTATTCTCAAAACACACCTAAAACTCATTAAGAAAATAAACTCAACCCTTTTAGACCATGCACCACGGCGCAAAGCGGATTTTCCCGTCCTTAAATTAGCAAAAATGTGTCCTGACACGCCCTGAAAGGGTTTGCGCCCTGCGTTTTTCGCTCTGCGCATGGACCGTCAAAATAGAGCCCATAGACTTTAGTGAAATCACAGAATGTACTTTTACAAGCTAATCAATGAACAGAAAACGTCTTTAGCATTATTTATTTCCATCATGACACTGGATGGAATTGGAAAGATATAAGAGTAGAATAATAACAGAAAGATTCTTACAGCATCTTGAGGATGAGGGCGAAGCAGCCCAGCACTCTGTCGGCGTGCGCGGGCAGCTGGATGGACAGGGCGTTGAGAGCAGGACTGACCAGCAGACAGTCGATCAGGTTAGGCTCGCCGTCGCCCTCTGCAGGGGCCTTTCGCAGCGTGTTTGCAGTGTTGTTGTTGCGCTCGAGCTCCACCAGGATCTCGCTAGAGTTCACGATGGAAGGTGGAGGTGAGAGTGGCAGGGCAGGCGGTGGGGAAAGGGTGGTGTTCGGCGGTGGTGTCGGCGGCTCGGTCCTCAGCAGACGCATGGGCATGGGTGGCTTCCTATCGCTTTGCTGCTGACAACCGTTTCGGATTTCCTTGAGGCTCGGAGAGTTGTCCCGACTAATAGAAAGAGATATAAATGAAAAAGACATATGTCACTCTCTGTGAAATACTTTAATATCAGGGCTCAACATTAAGGATTTTTTCTGTGGTTTAAGATTTTTACTTTCCCTGCCAAAACTTTCACTAGCCTCAACAAAAAAATATATAATAGCTAAAAATTAATCAGCTTTTATTGTGAGCTTCGAGGTTTTGTTTTTAGTAATTGCTTGTTGCAAAGAAAATGGCTCCCGTCTGCTTTTCCTGGAAACTGAAGGCAAACTGTGCAAAAATGTTTTGTCATGTTGTACCAACTTAAATGTCTGCTACCAAGACTTTTGAAACAGACAATTTCTTTTAGCCTCATAATTTGATATTGCCATATCTTTGTTGTACTGACTGTTACCAGGTTATATATAAAAAAGAATGTGCTCACCACATTCAATCAGATAAGAGGAACCGAAAAGCAATTTGGTGTTTACAACGTGACAGAGGAGGTAGCATTTCAAGGCTTAAAAACACAAACTGTTTGTTGATTCTGAGACAAATTAAACTTCAGTGGCAAGGCAGCATTGACCTGATCGGGCCAGTAACGTTCCTGTTTACTGTCCCGTACTGTCTGGCCCAAGACAATCGGGCATTTCCTATTGTATTGTTTATATATACATAAATACATACACACAGACACAGTTGAAGTCAGAATTATTAGCCCCCCTTTGATTTTTCTTTTTTTTTTTTCTTTTTTTTTTTAAAGATATTTCCCAAATGATGTTGAACAGAGCAAGGAAATTTTCTCAGCATGTCTGATAATGTTTTTTCTTCTGGAGAGAGTCCTATTTGTTTTATTTCAGCTAGAATAAAAGCAGTTTTCAATTTTTTAAACACCATTTTAAGGACAAAACTATTAGTTCCTTTAAGCTATTTTTCCCAACTCTCTACAGAACAAATCATCATTATACAATAAGTTGCCTAATTACCCTAACCTGCCTAGTTAACCTAATTAACCTAGTTACGTCTTTAAATGTTTCCCAGTGATGGGTTGCGGCTGGAAGGGCATCCGCTGCGTAAAAACTTGCTGGATAAGTTGGCGGTTCATTCCGCTGTGGCTACCCCGCATTAATAAAGGGACTAAGCCGACAAGAAAATGAATGAATGAATGAAGTCTTTAAATGTCACTTTAAGCTGTAAAGAAGTGTCTTGAAAATATACAGTCAAATATAATTTAATGTCATCATGGCAAAGATAAAATAAATCAGTTATTAGAAATGAGTTATTAAAACCATTATGTTTAGAAATGTGTTGAAAAAAAATCTCTCCGTTAAACAGAAATTGGGGAAAAAAATAAACAGAAGGTCTAATATATCTGTAAATTTCAACTGTGTGTGTGTGTGTGTGTGTATATATATATATATATATATATATATATTATACTGTTGAAGGAGCAGTATCAACAGATATTAATCCAACACTCTTCTAATACTAAATAGACCATAAAAATATAGTGTTACAATTTTTTTATTATTAAACTAAATTAAATTTACAATTGTTTTTGGCAACTACATTAAATAAAGTAAGTGTAAATAGTGTTCAACCCCACACTATTTATATCTCTCTTCTGTTTTATCGGGAATACATTTTTCATATAGTATAATACATTTTTGATTAACCACATCCTTTCATTCTACATTTGTTAAAAACATTTGTATAGTAGTTCCAGGCCCTTTCTATGGAAATTTTTAGATTTGCATCGCAGGCATACACAAAACCCCAGCAGTGTCATTTGCTACAAAACCACAGAATTTGAAAGCCATTATTTGACTAAAAACTAGTCATCTGATTCAGAAGAGATGACAAATGACACACGAAATGGCCACACCTGTAAATGTGCGCCTTTAAAACATGCCTAAACTGTAGTTATGGAAATTTAAGCCATTAGAGAGTGAATGAGAGCAATAAAAAAAGTGGTGCAAGGAAGCCTGGGGAGTGATTTTAGACACGTCTCATTCTCTTGAGTCATCATGAATCATGGAATCGTTTGAAAATAGTGCCTTATTCCTCTCAGGTGGGTGAACCGCGGCCCAGAGGCCCAAAATGATCACACAAACAGGACAAGTGAGACCGAATAATGTCATTTCAACCACGTCACTATTGTTTGTCGCCAAACATCCAGACAAATACAAGCTAATGGAAATTAAAGTGCGAGTATTTTAGGTAGATATGATGCAGTTGAATTGGCAAACATGATTCAGGGAAATGTTTTGAGCTCAAGTCTCTGGGGTAAACACATGGGGTAAACAGAGAATCGGACGCACCTGTTGATGAACTCTTCGTAGCAGGAGTAGATGGCAGCCAGGCAAACCGCTACGAGATTTGGGAGAACCCGAGGATGAGGGCACTGTCCGGTGGGACCGTGCATGCTGCAATCACAACATGTGAAGAAAAGGTCAGGTTAGCATAGCTTCTGTGTTTGAGAATGACAGCTGAAAGAAAACAAAGCTTACGCAGGAAGTCTGCACAGGGTTTGGTCCTAAACAGACCACTAAACTGACACAAACTGATGCATTAAAAGATGTTCGTTTGTGTACATAATATGAAGCCCTGTTCGTTGTACATAAGCAAGGTGGAGCTAAAATTAGGTAACACTGAGTATGTTTACATGGACACCAATAATCTGATTTTAACATGATCAAGACAATATTCTGAATTAGAATCTACCATGTAAACAGCCATTTTTGATTATCTTAATCCGAATAAAGTCATAATTGAACCAAACAATTAAGACATGTTCAGACATTGCCGCATTAAGACATGTGGCATATGCCGATTTTAGTCGCATTATTAAAGTGCAGTACAGACATGATTAAACTATTACCGTCATGTAGGATTTTCGCCACATTTTGCTACAGGATAGTCTATACACACACGGCTGTTTGACACTATTCTCTGCACCTACTGAGTCAGTGAAGGAATACAGACACCTGCATCGCTATATGCAGAGTTTGTCTCCCATACTGCGTGCGGTATCAAATTCCTTTAAAACTACACTCTTCCAGCAGTTCATACTCGCATCCAATATCTCGTTTGTCATGGGGGTATGCATGAAATGTTCCTGAATGAAAGTGAAAGTGCCAAAGTGCAGTTAAAGTCGACAAACTAAAAATAAAACACCCGAAATTACACGAATCTCCGGAGAAAATGCGGATAGCATGGTGACGCAATGATGTTAAACGATTTATGTGCTACAAAGTGTAAAACGGGATCAAAAAAGAAACATTCAAAAAGCAACACCTTAATCTTGTTGTGTTCAGATTAATGCAAATAATTTGATTACTGAAGTCCATGTAAACACACAGTCATAACTAGTCACAACGCAATAAGATTCCAAGCTCTGACATAGTACATCAAATAAAAGGAATAGCTCACACCAAAATTTTATTTTTTGCTGTAATTTACTAAATGCAAGATGCAGAAGACTACTTTAGTCACAAGAAAATAATATTAAAAAAGGATTTTAGCTGGAATTATGGTTATTGGTGATTCATAAAATGTAATCAATGGTTAATGGCACTTCAAAAGTCAAAAGAAACATACACAGGGCTAATACTCAAAATTTCTGATGATATATTAAGGTATTATGTACAGGGGTCCCTCGATATAATGTGGTTCCTTTCGCAAGTTTCACCGATTTTTTGTGTAATTCGACATGCTTTTCTTTTTTTTTTTTTTTTACAGCTCATTGTGTTCTGCATCCTGATTGGCTGTAGACCATTGTCAATCAATCTCCTCCGTGTCTCCTTACAGAACAGAATGTGTTCAGCTTGCTAAATTAACATAAATCTTGGATCGCTAGCAGTGCGAGTTTCAACAAGGATGCAAAAAGGGTCGTAACTCTCGGCAGCAAGACCATCGTAAAGGGGGTTCTAAACCGGATGTGCAAGATCTTCTAAAACAGCTGATATTTCTACTGTGCCACTGAGCATCAGCAGAATAACTTTGAATTTGTATGTCCCATGTATGTTACTTCCAACTGTCATGTGTGTGGCACATCCGGTGTGTGACCCCCCTAAAGATGGAGTCTGCTTTAGCTTTGTGGATCAGAGACTGCAGGATAAAGAACATTATGCTAGATGGCAACATTATCCGCACAAAAGCTAAAAAGCGTCATCTTTTGCTGACAGCGAAGAATGTTTGCGTCTGACAACAGGTTTTGATCTTTGGTTTTATTCTATAATACTGGGCTTATTATTCTATGAAGGTTTAAACTTTGAGAGAGTTTAAACAAGAGAGAAAAGTGTGAAAATGCCTGTCTGAAAAAAAAGTGTATAAATTGTGTAGCGAGAGGTTTCACAGCCCTAAAACTTCTAAAATAATTGTAGAAAATAAAGCTGACTACTTCGCGGATTTTGCCCATTGAGGGTTATTTTTAAAACATAACTTCCGTGAATAACAAGGGATCACTGTATACACTAGGGCTGTCCAAATTCAGTCCTGAAGGGCTGGTGTCCTACTGAGTTTAGCTCCAAGTTGCTTCAACACACCTGCCAGGAATCTAGATATACTAGATTCTAGTATATCTAGTAAAAGCTTGATTAGCTGGTTTAGGTGTGTTTGATTAGGGTTGGAGCTAATCTCTTCAGGACACCGACCCTCCAGGAGCAAGTTTGGACACCCCTAGTATAAGCGAAAATCTGAATATTTACTATTTATTATACTATTTTGTATTAGGATTTCTGCATCAGGGTGCTTTTAAAGATCTTTTAAGACCATCAAGAATGAAAATTTAAGCTAATATAGAGCTTATTGCAATTTTATTAATTGCTAAGCAGAATTATTTTTTTTTGCCTCATCAAAAACCAATTAGTTATGTCTTAGCCACATATTTTAAATAAAGTCAAAACAACCAGACCCTAGTAAAATATATATTGCATTTTTTTTTTACATATCTTAACAAAAAAACTCTTTAAAACTTTAATAAACTAAATGTATGCACAACTGACTGTTATAATAAAGACTGTTTTAAATAGAGTTTAGCTAATGTATTGTTGGTGTATGGATGTGTGCTTGTTTGATTGGGTAGCTTTACATAAAGTAAGACCTGTTAAAAAAAGACCTACAACAGCATATTACAGTGAATTTAAGATGTTTAAGATGTACAATTTTGTGTTTGAAACTGAAGACATTTTAGGACTTTAAGACACCCTGTGAATATTTTTTGTATTTGATACTTACATTAACTCAAATAAGTCAACAAGAATCACGATTTCTGCTAAAAATGATAAACATTAAAAATATTGATAATAAAGTTTATATTTTATTTTAAACTGACAAACTTGTTGACAAATGGTTTTCTTTTCTTGTTATTCAAAGAACTGAGGAGCATCAGTTTCAAATCAATGATATCTATGACCAAGCAGGTTCAAAAATAAAAACAAAATCAGTCGTAATAGACGGAAAACTAGATTAAAACATTGAATCTTGTATTTGGTGATAATATACCACAACAAGCCATTTTAAAAAAGCCACTCATATTACTGGGTTGTTATAAGGGTTAAAGCACACATTTGTTTTCATTAATACACTGTTTTGCTGGCAGGAGTCTGTTTGAAAAAGGAAACGAAAAAAAATTGTCACTCACCTGTGAATGAACTTCTTGACCACTTCCATGCCGGCGTTAAGCTCATTCAGAGCTAAAATATACTCCTGAGTAAAGAGACGGAGTCTGGGGCATTTCCCGAAGTCCTGGAACAAAACAAAAGACAAGGAGAGTTAGAAGACGAGGGAGCAGATACAGTATGTGTGAATTCAAGAGTATGGCTAGTGAAATTTGAGCACCCACCATGTTGTGTTTGAGGATTCTCTGAACCACAGGAGTGAACACTTCAATCACCACCATTGACCGAGGACGCTCTCTACAGTGCTGCACAGAGGAACACATTTCATATTAATATATGTAAACCATTAGAAGAAATTACTTGAGAGACGGATGATATCAAACAATAACATTACACAATGCACTATCATTCATATGTCTGGGGTCAGTCAGATTTGTTTTTATTTTTTTGAGTCTCTTACATTCACAAGGCTGCATTTACTTGATTACATATAAAATATAATAAAAATTGGAATATTTATTACTATATTTTGGAATATTTATTATATTTATTATTATTATTATACAATATTTTTACTATATATATATATATATATATATATATATATATATATATATATATATATATATATATATATATATATATATATATATATAAATGTTTATCAAGGCTGCATTTATTTGATCACACATGTAGTAAAAATAGGAATATTATTTTGTTCATATACCTCAAGAAGTTAAAAAAAATCCTTATATTTAAATATACTTTAAATTATTTTCATAACATTTAGGTTATATTTTTATTTTAAAAAGCTTTTCTAATCTCAACTGAAATGTACGGCTACTTGTTCATGATGGCATGATCATGGCTAAGAAAGTTATCCTTTGTTTCTGGGAAAAAAATGTTATTCCTTTCTTTTCTGACTGGCTTCTTGGACTTGCCTTTACTTTAAATTTGGAAAGAAAGAAATATATGCCATCTCTGGGGATTTTGCAAAATTTGATCAAATGAGGGATCTAGTTTTTTATTTCCAACACAACATAAAGACTTAAAGAAGATTTTAAAGTTTTTTTCCCCCTCTTTACATCCATTGCAATGTCTTTTTGTAGGTCATACAAGTCTTGTAAGTCGCCATTTTCCCTGGTTTCATGCTTTATTTTTTATTTTGCACAGATTATTGTTACTTGACAGGTTTGTCTGTCTTTTCCTTGTCTGCAAAACTATAATAAAAATATACATTCAAAAATATAAAGTATAAAATATAAAAAATATATTTAAAAATAAAAAGCCTTTCTGGTGATTCTCATTATCAATGTTGAATACAATGTTGAAACGCTTAACTTTTTTTTTCTAAAAAACTGCATAAAACTTTCAGACTTCAAAAAGAACAGCATTTATTTGAAATAGAAATACTTTGTAAGATTTATCGCCTGTGATTAAAATAAATAATTATTTAAAAAAGGAAAAAATTATAAACTACTGATTCTTGAAGGCTAGTGTGTCTATTTGTTTTGTATATTTTTAGTTTCTTAAAATGTATAACCATACGCTATTAGCTAATATTATCTATTTTTAAATTTAAACTAGATTTTGGCACATTTATTCATTAAAAAAAATGTGAAAATCTGAAATAGATGAAACTTCTAATGCAACCAACTTCTTCTTGAACTGTAATTTCATGAACAGAATAAATAAATAAATGAACTAGGGCTGCACGATATTGGAAAAATCTGATTTTGCGGTATTTTAGATTTCAGCGATAAATATTGTGATATAAATACAGTTTCCAATATAGTTTGAATAGCACTATTCAATGGTTTTCTGGGGAGTCTAAACAGTATTTCGGTACAGAAATTGAATAATCACAATACAAAACAATACTTTTCTTACTTTGTTTGTTTTTTTTTTCTAATCCAAACATCAAAAAATTCTTGCAGCAACTAAAACTATTGTTTTGTTTTTAACTTCAGAAGAAATTAGTCAAAAATAAGAGTTAATAAAACAAGCTACATTTTCTGTCACAGGGGTAAGTAAAATAATCTTATTAACGCTTTGAAAAGTATAAACTTTATAGAAGAATCTATAAATCTATAAGTAAGAATCTTTATTTATGTTGCATAAGTCAATAAATACAGTAAATAAATATAATTTTATAGCTTCTGGTCAACTTTAATTCAGACTCAACATTGCATATCCTGTGATGTGACTATTGCGGATTGGCACATTGCGATATCAATGAAGAAACGATATATTGCGCAGCCCTCATTTATACAAAAATGAAAAATTACAACCAGCAATAAAAAATCTATTTGTTAAATAAAACTAATAGTAATAATAATTATGAACACTTGTATTTACCTTGCAGAAGAATTCGCACAGGTCAGGGGGAGGGTGGTTATTCTCCAGCAGGGGTGCGATGGCCTACAGACAGATTTGACCCATTAGTCACCTTCCCCACAGACATGAAGAGTCTTGCTGCTTTTTCAGCCATGCTTTAAGGAAGTGCGCAACCTTCAGCGCCCCATCCAGCACATCTAGGCATTCAAGCCCTGTTTCTATGGGAGTTCGCTCCACTTTCAAATCAATTTTATTCCAGAGCATGAGCCTCAAGATATATTACGTAACCCTGCCTTGTTAGCAATGCAGTTTAACAGGCTCTTATTTGAATGCAACATGCATCTTCATATTTTCTAAGTTACAAAAAAAAAAAAAACTAAAAGCAGCCCTACTCACCACAATGATGTTTTCGTGGTCCTGAGCGCTGAGGTTAGTGTTCTGGGAAGGAAATGACACGACAAAAAAAATGGTTGAGAATTCATTGGCCAGCAATGCCATAGCTAAATAGCTCAATCCCTGTTTTTAAAACGTTCAAACTCTTTTTGGGAAAGCCTGTGTGATTCAAGGATACATCAGCCATTTGACTGGAAGTCCTTTTTAAAAGATTCACATGCTCGCTATAGGTGGGATTCAAAGATATAATCTTCATCTGCAAACCAGAGTGCAGATGCAACCGATATTTCCCTATATGCAAACACTGGAGGTCTTTGTTCTGAAGAAGATCACAGCATTGCCATGTGAAAAAGAAAGTCTAGCTAAACCACAGCTACACACACACACACACGCACACGCATGCAGAGGTAACTTTTATAAATTAATTAAACTCAAAATGAGATGCAATGTACACCTCAATTCACAAATGACACTCATAATGAAAAGAAAAACAGAACGCTGCAAGAGATCTGACAACACCATGTTAGAAAGTGAATGATTTTTTTTTACACTTGACAAAAAACATACAACGGAAATATTTTCTAAACAAAATCCTCTAGATTTGGACATGTAATATAGATGTTTTTTTTTGGTAAAATAGCTATTCGTTAATATTTTATTGATGTAATAATGGCTTTTTTTGAGGTGCTACTTGACCATTTGCTCTTTTGACTAATCGCATTAAAGCAAGACAAATTACCTTGAACATTAAAAATAAAGCAATAAAATGAAACTAGGCATGGGATGATAACTGGTTTCAAGGTTTACCACAGTTTAGAAAAGTCACAATTTTTAAAATAGCTAAAATTGTCTAATACAGTGGTTCTCAAACTGTGGTACGTGTACCACTAGTGGTACGCAGGCTTCCTTCTAGTGGTACGCGGGGGAATTAAATATGTCATGTACATGCTATACACATTTCAAAATGTATCAAAAATGATGTATATAATATGCCATATATGACATACAGCCTATATTTCTGAGGTAATCTGCCACAATTTTTTTTACCTTGCAGAGTTGTAGCTGCTTTACTGGGCCTACTTTGCTACTGTATTTCAATACTGCTCATTTTGGTGGTACTTGGAGAGACAATTTTTTTCTGAGGTGGTACTTGATGAAAAAAGTTTAAGAACCACTGGTCTAATATACCGTTCTTAAGGTATTTGTAAGGTTTTTAATGTGTTTTTTATGAAGCCTGACATGGGGCAGCACGGTGGTGCAGTGGGTGGCACAATCGCCTCACAGAAAGAAGGTCGCTGGTTCGAGCCCCTGATGGTCAGTTGGCATTTTTGTGTGGAGTTTGCATGTTCTCCCCGTGTTCGTGTGGGTTTCCTATGGGTGCTCCGGTGTTCCCCACAAGTCTAAAAACATGTGGTATGGGTAAATTGGGTAGGCTAAATTGTATGTGTGTGAATGAGTGTGTATGGAAATTTCCCAGTGATGGTTGCAGCTGGGATGGTGGCATCCACCGCATAAAACATATGCTGGATGAGTTGGCGGATCATTCCTCTGTGGCGACCCTAGATTAATAAAGGGACTAAGCCGAAAAGAAAATGAATGAATTAAGCCTGACATGTTTACCGTTTCAAAATATCATAAATGTTTCCTAAAATAAAACGTCTTTTGTTCAATTTCATCAAAAGCTGTTTTTTTTTTAACCCAGTCATTTAAGAAGAACTTATTTTAGAGGCAGTAATCACAACACTGTGATACCATGATATTTTTATCCAAGGATATCACACTGTCAGAAACGCCAGATACCAGCCCATGCCTAAATGAAACTACGTTTAACTTTAAAGAAAGAATGCATAAGCTGAAAATATTATTGAATAATACAATTTTAAAGTATTTAACAATTTTAGAGCATTTTTATTTACAACTTTAGAGTAAATCTGAAATATCTGAAATGTCATTTAAATAATCATATACTGCACCCTTATTATTATATATATATTTTTTATTTTGTGTAAAAAAATTATTTAAATATCAAATAAAATATATTCAAAAATCCAAGTAAATAATATAGTGTAGAAATAATATATACAGGGGATTTGGTAACTATAACCACATCAAAAAGTAATAGCTCACTTATCTTCAATTTTTTTTTCTTAAAGTATGCACTAAACAAGACAAGGACAAGGTCTACAGACAATTCTCTTGTCTTCATGCTTTGTTTGTGCTTTGTCATGCACTGTCAACCCTGGGACCTTATATAGACAGGTGTATGCCCTTTCAAATCATGTCCAATCAACTGAATTTACCACAGGTGAACTCCATTTAAGTTGCTGAAACATCTCAAGAACGATCAGTGGAAAATTATATGTACATACTTATACTTATGTACATGTGGTTTGTCAGGTTTTTTATTTTTAATAAATATTCAACAATTTAAAAAAATATTTTTTCACATTGTCATTTTGGAGGATTGTTTGTAGAACTTTAAAAAAATAAATTAATTTAATCCATTTTTAAAAAAAGGCAAAAATGCGATGATTTGTAATGGCAAGACAGTTCACCAGAAGCATTTGGGCTGACTATAAAAACTTTTGGGCTGAAAATGAAGTCTTTGTGCATTGTGTTGTTTCAGCCTATTTTAGGTGAGTAGTTCAAACAAACAGTAAACTTAATCTTTTGAGTGTACCTCAGCCAGCAGGGTGGAGATGATGTGCAGCGGGGCCTGATGGATGGACTCGTCCTGGAGGGGCGAAGTGAGGGCCATGTCCACCAGAGAGCGAATCTCCTTCAGAACAACATCCCAGCGGCTCGGGTTATTCAGAACCTTGCGGTACTTGTAGATCTTTTTCTGCAAATGAGTCACACACACACACCTGCCTTTTACCGATGTAACCAACAGTTATGAAACTGACACACATTTGATCAGCAGAATGCAGCAGTAGTCACATTCTGATTACATTACTGCGTGAAGTATCACAGCAATTTTTATCCAGAAATGATGGGTTTATGGGGTTTGAATGTGAATTAATTGATTTTAGTTTGTTTACAACCACATAGACTTCATTTGGCAACATTTTTAGATATTTAGATCATGATACTAAACCATAACAAACCATTAATTAGCACTAATAGCTTAATAAACTACTAATTAGCTGTTTATTAATAGTTAATAAGGTAATAAGTTGGGTTTAGGTTTTGGGTAGGATTAGACTATATTTTAGATCAGTGTTTCTCAACCACGTTCCTGGAGGACCAACAACATTGCATGTTTTGGATGTCTCCTTTGTCACACCCATCACAGGTCGATCAGTCTCTATATCTAATGAGCTGGTGATCTAAATTAGGTGAGAAAACATGGAAAATGTGCAGAGCTAGTGGTCCTCCTGGAACGTGGTTAACATTGCTTTAGAACTACTAATAAACAATCCTAGTAATGGGCAGGTGATAAGTGAGTACAGCATGAATTGTGAACTAAACAAAAGTGTTTTCCTTATTTTTTATTATTTCTTTAAAATCACACTTTACTTTCTCACTAGTTATTTATTTTTTTGGTGTTTTTTTTACATCATTTAAACCTTTCCCATCGCTCTCAAAATATGACTAGAAACTACTTGACGCATACAAATTTCTGGTTACAAGTGAGGTTTTATTGTTTCCGCTACATACATCATCATGTCTCAAATTTCAAATCAAGGATGAGCCGCACTGAGATGTTTGTTCCCTTGATAACCATTACCAATATATAATGGGGACAACGTTTTTTTTGATGGAAAAGAAGTCACAACTGAGGTCACAGTTTAATATACAGATTTTTTTTTTACTTTCTAACATACTTAAATGGTGAAATGACAGTGCTGACTTCTGTGAAAAATCTTTCACATAATGTGACTTGATTGAACATGATGTACAATAAGAACGGCTGCCTGCATGTTTATTGTTTCCTTCAAACATCATCTCTTGATTCGACTTGGCGGTCTCCTTGGTAACTTAAGATATACTTTTATAAATCTTTAATGGGGAAAACTGTTTTTGATGAAAATGACGCCACAACTAAGGTCATAAACTGTAGAAAAAACATAAGATTATCGTAAATGTCTTTGAAAAACATTTAAATGTGAAAATGTTGCTGGTAATGTCTCAGCCTGGCTGAGGGCAATATCATAGCTGGCTAATTTTATGTCAAATGAACATAATTGTGCACAATAAAACTAAATTACAGCTTAACTGGTTATGATGCACAATAACAAAATCGTAAAAGATATTTATACTTCAAGTTACACAAGTCAGTGACTTCTTTGTCTTGGTAAGGTGCTAATTTCACAGATAACTATTTTTATAAGATTAAAAAAAAATACAATCTGACAAAGTTGATCTGGGCAGTGCACAGAATAAAAACTACTGCTCACAAGTTATGTTTATTATTTCATAAATCTCCTATAACTTATCTTAAATGACTTAACTGCTTGAAAGCAAAGTATTTATTCTTTAATTTTTTTTTTCTGCTTAGTCCCTTTGTTAATCTGGGGTTGCCACAGCGGAATGAACCGCCAACTTATCCAGCATATGTTTATGCAGTGAATGCCCTTCCAGCTGCAATCTATCACTGGGAAACACCCATACACTCCCATTCACACATATACACTACGGACAATTTTAGCTTACCCAATTCACCTGTACCACATGTATTTGGACTGTGGGAGAAACTGGAACACCTGGAGGAAACCCACGCGAACACGGGGAGAACATGCAAACTCCAGACAGAGATGCCAACTGAACCACCCGAAGCTCGAATCAGCGACCTTCTTTCTTGGAGGCGACAGCGCTATCCACTGCGCCACCGCGTCGCCGGAAACAAAGTATATACTTTGTAAAATCATTATATTAAAAAAAAATTAAGTTTTTGGTGGAAATGCCACCACAACTGAAGCAAAATAAATTGACGCAAATAAATTGGTAGCCAATAAACTAATATTAAAGGGGGCATGTTGTCTCTGGTATCCCAAGAAACCCAAAATACAGCATATATTATATAATACAGCAAAATACAGATTATATATAGCAGGAAAAATAAGTATTGAACACGTCATGTTATTTCCTGTGAATAATATTTCTAAAGGAGCTGTTGACATGGAATTGAACCAGATTTTGGTAAAAACTCCAACAATACAAACACAAAAATTAAACAAACAAAAAAAAAACTGAAAGCTGAGTTATGTGTAATAACAATGAAACGCCATAATGCATTGCTCAGGTGTGAGTTTTTCCAAAGACTTCAACAAAGAGTGTAAAAATCTTGATGGTTCTGTGGTTCTCATCTAGCAAATCTGATATTTGCTTTTTATTTTCTATTGGATTCGAGTCAGGTGATTGGCTAGGCCATTCTACAGCTTGATTTTCTTTCGCTGAAAACATTTGAGAGTTTCCTTGGTTGTGTTTTGGCTCAGTGTTTTGCTAAAATGTCCAGCCTGGTTTCATCTTCATCATCCTGCTTATGTAGATGTTGAACTGAAGCAGCGAATATTAATTTACACTGACGAAGGGCAGAGGGTTGCTGAATAACTACTGAGAGATTTCAGATGCTGTCTGGGCTTTCACTGCACTTCAATGCCTTTGTTTCTTCGTGTGCTCAATACTTTTCTTTCATTGTTTATTTTGCATAACTTAAATGGTAAACTAATCAGATTTGTTTACATAGCATATATGGATTTTTTTGGTTGTTATCAACATCCGGGGAAATTTCAAGTCAACAGAACTTTTAGAAATAAGTTTTCCGAGAAACGTTGACAGTTTCAATTCTTATTTTCCCTGCTGTACTATACTATGCTATAAATGGCCCTTTTTGGATAGAAACAAAATCAGTTTTTCTGTGTCTCTTTAAATGCAAATAACGTTTACACTTGAAAGTTACACACGATACACACGTTATGTGTTAAGCATAAATACTATGCATATGCACAATATGACCTTTAAATCTATTCACACTATAAAAGTTTCATTCTTCCTTTACAGAAAGAAAAATTCACACCGCAAAGCTAAAACTCTGAAATCATCTTGTCGATCATCAAAGCGGGAGCATCTTAAGAACACCCACATACTTATAAAATAATACTCTCACTTTAAACCATGCAGAATGTCATTACGCCAATGCTTTTTGCAAATCGAGCCTTCCTAGACATATGACCTTACCTTCCACTGTATAGAGTGAAACCACTGGTCCCGCAGATAGCTGTTAGCAGCCTGTGAGCGCACACAAACATTCACAAAATGAGTCAGAGTGTCATCGCAACATAGGTGTCATGAAACATGAGGGGGCTGGATGTACCTGCAGCAGAACCGTTCCTCCAGGGAAGCTGAGCTGGACACAGTATTTGGGAGCATTGTCCCAGGACAGCAGCTGCAGGTCTTCTATGGTGCTGTAGGACAGAGGGGCCTCCATGTATCCTGTGGGCTGCAGAAACAGGAAGAGACACGTTTAAGTTTGCAGAAAATGACTCATGGCTTTAACACCTCTTAAAATGAGCTTTGTATACCGCATTTATAAAAGCTCGGTTGGTTTCGTCATTATAAGGGAAGGAGAAAAAGGTTTTGTTTGTCTTCTAGAGAAAGTCTTATTTGTTTTATTTTGGCTAGAATAAAAGCAAAAAGCATTTTAAGGTCAATATTATTAGCCCCCTATTTTTCAATTGGCTATAAAACAAACCAGTGTTATAAAATGACTTGCCAAAATTACCAAAATTAACCCATTTATGCCAATAAGTTGCACTTTAAGCTGAATACTAGTATCTTGCAAAATGTGCCGTTTAATCATTTGCATAGAATATCATATGGAAATAATATGATGGCTGATCTCTGGATGTCAACATGCTTTCAAAGATGCATCGTCCAGCTCTTAATGTACTTTCTCTGTGCAAGCATCACCCATGATGATACTTCAGGTATACTTCAGTTTAATTTTGAAATTAAACTGAGTTCAGCACGGGAGAAGTATCAGTTTTATAGTATTTCTATAAAAATAATTACATTATTTTAATCATGACAGATGGAAAAACACAAAACTAAAGGCCTGTTGTAGTTGTACTTTATTCCTGCTGTGAATGTACAGAAATATTAGAATAACCTTCTTTTTTTAAACATTTATGTTTAACAAATAACTATAATAAATTTACCTATAACATATTTTCTTCTAGAGAAATTATTATTTGTTTTATTCTGGCAAGAACAAAAGCTCTTAATAATAATAATAAAACAAATATTTTAAGGTCAATGCTATTAGTCCCAATGACTTGCCTAATTACCCTAAAGCAGAAGTGTCCAAACTTTCCTTATAAAAGGGCCAAAAACCAAACTTGATTGAGGGTGGTGGGCTAAAACTTTTACATTAAAATTGCCATGGTGATGTCTTAATTTATTTAGATTTTAAAATAAATAGAAAAAATACTTTAATCATATTAATAATTAAATATATATATTTTAACATCCTAATGTAAATGTTTTTTATTGATTTGCTTATTGCTGTCTTGCTTCTATCTTCGAGTGACAGAATTTACACACAAAATAAATCTGATTTATGCACATTTAACTTAAACATTTAATTTCAGTTTGCTTTTTGCTACTCAACAATAAAACAAACTAACAAACATGAATCTTGTTTCGGGCGGCCGCTGCTATCACATTCTATATCAAAGTGGGCGAAAAAACGAAGTTAGTTGAAATTATGGGAGTTTGCCAGGAAAAATAACAAAACAGGAGGGTGTCGGGAGATGGGTGTGAAATACGGGAGACTCCCAGGATAAAGGGAGTGTTTGGCAGGTATGCTCACACATACACTCTGCACTCTGACTACTTCGAAACTGTTGATAAGCCGTGGTGGGCATTTGTCTCTGTCTCGTGCTTAACGCAGTCGACAAATCACAACAGACTGGGTCATCGGAAGAATCAGCGCAGATTAGCATCGTGCTAAGGAGATATTTGGAAACAAATAAATTGCTAAACGAATCATAAGGGTGTCGTTGAAATAATTAGGTAAAAATAAATGCATATTTTAAGACAATGAAAGTGTTTTTTGACCTTGCATCCAAATCAGCCTGTTGTTGGAGACCTCCAAAACCAAAATATGACCTTTTTAATGCATAATTAGGAAAATCATTGTATAATGATGGTTTGTTCTTTAGAAGGGGGCTAATAATATTTACCTTAAAATGGATTCAAAAACTTAAAAAATTGCAGTTATTCTAGCCGAAATAAAACAAATAAGACTTTCTCCAGAAAAAAAATATTATAGGAAAAACTAAAAAAACTCACAAATTTACAACTGTATATATATATATATATGTATGTATATATATATATATGTATATATATATATATATATATATATATATATATATATATATATATATGAATTTTTTGAAGATTAACAGAATAGTAAAACTAATAGTAACTATAAATACTGACATGCATGACATTTTAACAAAATGGAAACGCTATTTGTTGAAAAGGAAAGGAAACTGCTAGGCTTTAGTTCTAATTTGGTTCAGTAAGCAATTCTAGGCATCGGTCAAGCAGCAATTGAGAAGACTTGAGCATCTTTCTAACATATTAGCCTAGAAATAACATAACATAAAAAACATTAGGATATTTAGTACATTTGATTAGGTACATGTACACAAAATAATTGTTTGTTAAGTGGTAAAAATAGACAAAGCTCTATTAAATAAAAAATAAAGCTCTAAATAATTGAAAGTCTGGCTTTACTTAGAGCGTTTTCTACATTATTCAAGTATCCATAAGTTGAATTGTTAACTGAAACAGTTCAATAGTGTGTTATTCATTCATTTATTAGCTAATTTATTCATTTATTCATTAAATTTGTTTCTCAGGTGATTAAGTCCTTCACATCTTTTCAGTGAATCAATAATAGACAGCATGACCAGTGCAGTCTGATTCTTGAATGAGTGAATAAATAATTAAATGTTATTTTTGGTTAATTAAATATATACAGTGTCACCAAGAACGCAGTGGTGCCGTAGGTAGTGCTGTCGCCTCACAGCAAGAAGGTCGCTGGTTCAAGCCTCGGCTGGGTCAGTTGGCGTTTCTGAGTGGAGTTTGCATGTTCTCCCTGCGTTCGTGTGGGTTTCCTCCGGGTGCTCCGGTTTTTCCTCCACAGTCCAAAGACATGTAGTACAGGTGAATTGGTTAGGCTAAATTGTCCGTTGTAAGTGAGTGTGTATGGATGTTTCCCACAGATGGTTTGCAGCTGGAAAGGCATGCACTGCATAAAAACATGCTGGATGAGTTGGCGGTTCATTCCGTTGTGGCGACCCTGGATTAATAAAGCGACTAAGCCTAAAAGACAATGAATGAATGAATGAATGTGTCACCAAGAAGGTCCAATTCTCAAGCAACTTGACTTTTTTTTTATAGCGCTTTTACAATGTAGATTGTTTCAGAGCAACTTAAAATAAAAGTTCTAGTAAATTGAAACTGTGTCAGTCCAGTTTTCAGAGTTGAACTGGTGAAAGTCCAAAAGCTGAAGAGCAAATCCATCAATGCACAGCTCCCCAAGTCCCAAACCAAGCAAGCCAGTGGCAACAGTGGCGAGGAACAAACTTCACCAATTGACGAAAGTGAATGAATAAAAAAAACTTGAAAGAAACCAGGCTCAGTTGAGCACAACCATTTCTCCTCTGGCCAAACTTTTTGTGCAGAGCTGCAGTCTAGACTTTAATGAACCTGTTCTTTTGAGTAAATCAAAAATATACATAGCAGTTACATTTGGTTAATAGTAATAGATTCTTTATGATTTCATTTAAATGCATATGTAGAAATTCAATTAAACATTTCTGATTGTTGATCACTGTTTACCTCTATATTTCAGATCCTCCACAGTCAGAGCTGATCATGACCTACAGAGGGCAGCAACGCTCCACATTCCGAGACATCTGCCATCTGCATCCGAAGACTTTCAAAGGCATATTGTAGTAGGACTGGGTTCATCCTTTCTTCTCTTTTCGACTCTCAGCGGTATTCTTGTGGGCAGATTTAATTAATGAATCACTATTTACATCCCGTCTTTTTTGCCCCCGTCTCCACCTGACAGAGGCAAGTGTGCAGATTGACAGATTGCCTATTTCTGGATATCAGCTGTAATTAAAGCTCATTTAGGCTGCTGATGGCATTTTCCGCCCCCTCCATCCACTCCAATTAGAGACAGTATTAGGTTCCAAGGCTCATGGATCAGATAGGCTTATTAAAAGGGGAATGCAAAAGGTCCAGGGCAACAATGTGCCCTGGTGTCCCGGTAAGCTTCTGGGCGCAGCTCGGGAGTTATGGATGTTCTATAATGCATGATGGGCAAGCGCTTGGTATTGATCAGATAAACACTCAGAGCTCAGGATGCTATAGATCACACAGAAGATAAATCTTCTCTCTGCTTGGGCCTCCTCTGTTCTTTCTTGCTGTCAGACTTTCCGCGAACATGCTCAGTTCAAGAAAGATAAAGTGAGCATTACTCTCAACCAGATGTGTATAGTCTCGGCATGAGTAATTATATTATTTATGAATTGTTGATGCACACCAAACACAAAACTAAAAAACTGAAAGATTCTCAATGGAGTGGCTTTTGATAAATAATCTCAGTGTGAATGAAACAAGAGGTTGACTCTTATGAGCTGGTTATTTTCAGTAAATGACTCATGATATGTGGATCTTTTTTCTGTGATTTAAAACTATAGAGCATAAAGTGAAGTCTGATTCTCAAGCAGCTGACACTTATCAGGCAGTTCTTCTAACAACATGATTTTCATAAGCCAGTTCTTATCAGTGAATCCAAAATATGCAGAGTGACGTCTGATTCTGAAGTTGATGAGTCTAATGAACAAGTTCTTCTCACTAATCGATTCTATTAAGCCAGTTCTTTTCAGTTATTATCTGCTTGTTCATTGAAGCTGCAGGTAAACTTTTATAAATTGATTGACTGATTTACAAATATAAAGTAAAAAAAACAAACATTTTATGTAATTAATATACACAGTTGACTTCAAAATGAATAACTCCTCATCTAAAATTTTAATTCTTTTAAAAATATTTCTCAAATCATTTTTAACAGAACGTGAACATTTTCACAAAATTTCCTATAATATTTTTCCTTCTAGAGGAAAGTCAGATTTTTAAAAATTTGGCTGGAGTAAAAAGCACTTTTTAATTTTTTTAAAAGCAATTTTAAGATCAATATTCGGCTGCATATCCATGATGCGAAACTTCCGTTTCATCACATCCCAAAGGTGCTCTATTGAATTGAGATCTGGTGACTGTGGAGGCCATTTGAGTACAGGGAACTCATTGTCTTGTTCAAGAAACCAGTCTGAGATGATTTAGGCTTTATGACATCCTTCTGGAAATAGCTATCAGAAGATGAATACACTGTAGTTATAAAGGGATGGACATGGTCAGCAACAATACTCTGCTGCTGTAGTCCAT